CCCACACTTCATCCCTTTTGATAATTATCAACAATCTGTTGAAACTTTTAAAATCTTATGTAACACAAATACAGTTTAATTTATGAACCAGCCATTTGAAATACTTTAGTAATGTCAAATAAAAACAGCTAATTGTAAATCATGATAGAACGGTAACAAGAGGGTATGTCGCTGTTTAAGAAACTGCTGAAAAACAGCGTAATGATGCCTATAACCTCCAGTAAGTCCATTTAATATCCAGACTGGCAGAATTCTGGCATCAACAATGACAATTCACAATATACCTCTAACTGGGCTGCAAGTTCATGATGTCTTATTGCTAAGCTACATGTACTGTTTATAAATGAGCCACATGCGGTAAGAGAGTTGGTGGTGAATAGAGTGCATTAATAAGAGGTATCAGACTTTCCAGATATCACGTTAATAATTTCACTTGTCAACATTTTGACATTCCCTGTCTCTGTGTCTCACAGGCTGGTGAAGAACTTATTTGACCTGGCTCGCCAGCATAAACCTTCAATCATCTTCATCGATGAGGTGGACTCGCTGTGCGGCTCCAGGAATGAGAACGAGAGCGAGGCTGCCCGCCGCATCAAGACAGAGTTCCTGGTGCAGATGCAAGGTGAGAGTAAATGGTAAAAATGGACTTGAGCTTGTATAGTGCTTTTCTAGTCTTCTGACCACTCGAAGCACTTTTACACCACAGGTCACACCTACACATTCACACACTGAGTCTAATGAGAGCGTTCAGATGCAGAGTGATAAATATGCAGAATGTACTGTACAGGGGAAAATAGAAAGCATCAGAGTAAATATTTGAATAGAAGACGCTAAACATACCACAAGAAGTCTCCATGGAGAGTTAACTGTGGCTGCTTGGTTTTGCAGGTGTGGGAAACAACAACGATGGGATCTTGGTGTTGGGAGCCACAAACATCCCCTGGGTGTTAGACGCTGCCATCCGCAGAAGGTCAGAGGTCACTTTAGTACTCCATGGTTCAATGTGTTTATTTAAAAGGGTTTCAAGATTATTCAAGAAGCTAATTTTCACTCATCCAAGAGGAGGCAAGGTGATCTCTGTCAGTCAGAGGAGGAATCACTGAAGCTCTACATTATCTCTGTGTCTCAATTCATGTCCTCCCATCTTTTATTTTGAGTACATAATTAACATTGAATGTTACAGCATAATGCAGTGCATTGTAAGTACTCATGGTCGACTTATAACAGTCAAAATATTTTGACACTACCTTGGGAAATTCTCTCACAAGCAAGTCAGTAGATCTGGCACACAGTGTATTGCAAATTAGACACAGCATATGAAATGAAATGATGATTCTAGTCAACTGGAACAGGATCTTGGTCTCTTAGTTAAATTACAGTTATTCTATTTATATAACATTAGTCTGCCGTTAGACTTCTCATCTTAGTGTTATTTGTCACTACAGGCACATGTGTATTTCAGTAGTCCTAACATGATGGACTACATGATGTAACAATGTGCATCTTTATCCTGCACACGACTGTGCTTTTGAAGTTTACCATTTTATGATCTGCTTTTGAACATCTTATCCAGGTTTCAGAAACATGGATATGCTACCTGGAGTTCTTTGATAGGAACTTCTAAATCCTGTGGGCAAACCATTTATATTTTTAAAGAGCTTGGCCATGTGCTTGTCTTCTTGTCGTGCGTCAGATTTGAGAAGCGCATCTACATCCCTCTGCCCGAGGAGCAGGCTCGGGGTCAGATGTTTCGCCTTCACCTCGGCAACACACCACACAGCCTGAGCGATGTCGATCTTCGACAGCTCGCCCACAAAACAGATGGATACTCCGGCGCTGACATCAGCATCATTGTGCGGGACGCTCTCATGCAGCCTGTCAGAAAGGTTCAGTCTGCCACGCACTTCAAGAAGGTGAAGAACCACACATCTCAAAAGCAATTCTGTGGTTTTTAAATTTACAATTATCACTGAGCTTTTTTTGTGTGTTCTTTTTCCTAAAGGTTCGTGGGCCGTCTCGAAGCAACAGCCAGCTGATGGTGGACGACCTCCTGACTCCTTGCTCCCCTGGAGACCCTGCAGCCCTCGAGATGACCTGGATTGATGTGCCTAGTGATAAGCTACTGGAACCCATTGTCTGCATGGTGAGACACTTTCTTCCACTGCCTCCACAGTAATACTTGACATGATAATTCCACTTTAACTGGACTCACTGTCCATAAACTTTCAACTTTTACATGCAATCTGTGGAATACAGAAAGACGCAGTTATACGTGGTTAAGGGACAGGAGTTCTTCTTTAATGATTGTTTTCCTTATAGACTTTCTGTGAATGTATATAGCAAGTTAAACTACCATTCTGGGAAGCTCTTTGAAAGATCTGAGAACCAAATAAACAACAACAACAGCACAGTCACAGTAAATAAATAGGCACAGATTTGTCTATTGAAAATCTAGGTAATTCTCCACCTTATCCTCTTCTTATCATCTTAGTTTTTTGCTCAGTGTACTTTTTTGTGTGGCTGATTCGGTTTTATTGTATTTATTTATTTGTTTATTTTGACAGGGACAGTGTACCAGAGTTAGCTATAAGCTCATTTACATCTGTAGTCCCTGGGCAGGAGACAAAGACATAGTCTGTGTTAAGAAACAAAAATGTAAATTGGCTTTTAGATTATCTTTTAGATTAGCCTGTTAGCTGTTGAAACCCCGGGCAGCCAGCTCATGTTAGTTTATGTGTGGTTAACACTGTATGTGTGAAATGTTCCTCTGGGTCTTACTGTGCCTCTTATGTGTATGTACGATAAAATGAATCCACAGTAAGACAAACTGTAGGAATCAGACAGGAGGTTGACAGACGATGAAAGTGAAACTTAATAAAAATAAAAATAAAAAGTGACTCTTTTCTCCCTCCCTACTTTGCAGTCGGACATGCTGCGCTCTCTGTCCACCACCCGTCCCACAGTCAACACTGAAGATCTGCTGAAGGTCAAGAAGTTCACAGAGGACTTTGGGATGGAGGGCTGAGGGACAGAGCCCCTCCACCTTTACCTGTCAAACACAGGATCAAACTACTCTCCACAAGCTGCCCCCCATAACCCCGTTCAACTGCTGTACCATCCTGTAAGCTTTCTCTCAGCCCAGCTCTTGGTTTACTTCCTCTCATGGAGTTCAAAAGGAATGACTAAAATGTGATTAAAGGGAGAGAGAAATCTTATAGTTCCTCCTTCTTATCATACAGTCAGTTGTGTTTGAATCCTTCAAGGAAGTTTACCAAATGCTACATTGGTGTGATTTGGTGTTAGGACAACAGAGCCTGTTTCCCTCAGCCGCTACAGCATATACACTACAAGAACTTTTGAATCTAACCCACATCACCGCAAGGAAACTGAAAATTTGCCCCTCTCTGAGCTGACTCCGTCTGATGGAACTGAAGGACTGTACATTTTGTTGCCGTCGTGCACTTTGTTTTTTTGATGGCCATGAAGGACAGTGACATTTGAAGAAGAAACAAAAGGAAGTAGTTCTCCTGCGTTGGCATGCGAGCGTGTGAATGCATTTTAAGTGTTTTTATTAAACTTGTGTGTCATATTGTATTTGTCTTTAAGTTAAGAGCCCTGTTATTTTGTTATTTGAAGAAAAGTTCATTGATTATCTCTGCCTCAGTGTTCCCATTAAGCTGTGTGTCTAAGCGATGTATTTATGTTCGACATGTTCAGAACAAGAGATGTGCTTGATTGAAAGCCAAAATGACATTGCTTTAATCACAAAACATCCAGGTACAATTATCATCTGGAGCTTTTTGTCTTAAAAAAATATGATTTTGTACACTCTTTGCAGTATTGACATATTAATATGTTTTTCTAAAGGACTTCTGATCCATGGTTGCTTAAAACCTGAGGATCAAAAAGTTCAACAGCAGTTAGCTTTTGATTCGATTACATGATGTTCACCATCACAGCTTTGGAGCCTGAAAAGTGCACAAAATACTTCAAAAGAATCAACTTGAAATTGGCTGCTATGTGTTTCCTTTAACGTCAGGAAACAATCACATGTTTGCACCCTGATATCAGGATGGAAAAACAAACAGCATTCTTGTGATTGTTGGGCCAGATTCTGGTGACAGTAATGACATCAGTAACAAGACAAGAGAAAGAAAATGTAAAGATATTTGATCAGCTGATCAAGATCATATGAAATGACAGAAAGCTCCAGGACATTTTCTAAAATAGATCGGGTGGTTACAAGATTTCTTCAACTGCCGTTTCAAATAACACAAACTTTAAACCTCTATTTAAATAATGCTAAGTTATTTCCTACGCTACATCTCCCAGAACAAACTTTACTAAGTTTTGGGTTTTGTCTGAAGTTTCCCGATTGTGAAGTCTGTACTCCTTTATGTGAAGCATTGAATGTTACCGTGAAAATCAATGAAGCACATCTCTTCCAATGTGAACATTTGGATTTCTTTTTGTTTCTGCACATTATTTATACAACATGTTTGATGACAGGACATGTAACTTGACTGACAATTATAGCATTTCAGTATGTTTACACTTGAAGTATTTGTTGTTGTTTTCTGATAGAGCTCCAGTGATAGTTTGTTGGTCTCTTTTTTTTGAGACTAATACACACACCATGTTCTCCTCTGAGGCACACACACACACACACACACACTACCATGATGTTTCATTTACGGTTTGTTCAGGGCTGGCCGTCATTCTCTAACTGGGTCACACACATGATCAGTTTGAAATCTGATTGCTATTGGACGTTTTGTTGTGTAGCGACTCTCTGACCTCTCACTGTCGCCTCAGGACCTCGTCTGCCAGTGACGGCACTTCATGTGTTAGCTCAGAGTGCTCGTGCTGCTCAGTCTGTGTGTGTTTGTGGAGGTGCATACTTGTTTTGTGGGAGGTCCTGCCGCTGGCCCTGTAACCATTACTACTAATTTATCCAGCATAAATAAAAACTGACATTTCAAATGAAGACGACACAGCTGCTGGTTTGACATTTTTTATTGTATTCAAAAACTGCTTGTGTGAATGGATTTAGAGGTTGTCCAGTAAGATTTCAGTTTGCTTTCCCAGTTCAGTGAATTTCAGCCAAATACTTTTACTGGCAACCGAATGTCAACTGATCTTTTTGGTGATTTTTGCAGACAAGACTAGCTTTGTTTCACAGTTCATTTTAGGCATTCAAGCTGAGACATTTCAAACAGTTCCCCATGTGGTTGAATAAGGTTCGGGCTTTGCTACTTCGATCAGTTCATGAAGCACATTAATCAGCGAGTGAGTTAAAGTGAGTGACAGCTCAGTTGCAGCTCTGAAAGACCTGCGGAATGATAACATGGTAAATGGACTTAAGCTTGTATAACACTTATATTCTTTACACCGCAGGTCACACCTACACATTCGCACTACACTTGCACACTGACGGCAGAGGCTGCTTATGTAAAGTGTCCATCAGTATCATCTAATTCCATTCATAAACAATCACACACCACTGACGTCACAAACGTTGCAGTGGTAGGAATTCAGGGTTCAGTGTCTTGCCATAGTACACGACATCAGCATGTGACTGCAGGAGCTGGGGATCAAACCTCTTAACCTTTCTGTTAAGAGACTAACGACTCTACCACTGAGCCACAGCTGCTGCAGGAGATAAGAAAGACACAGTAGTTCCTGAAACACTCAAGTGTTTTTCCAGGTTTAAATCAACAAGTCCATTTGCAGAAGAGTAAAGTTGTGCATGTCAGAGTTAGAAGAGGTAAAAGTCTTATTAATGAGCATTGAAGGAATCCTGACCTTTTAAAAAAAAGATGAGACTGTTCATAAACCAATTGGCAGCTCACCTCGCCCCCCCCCCCCACCTGACGCCATTTGCCAGTTGGTTTGGAGAGGAGGAAACCTCTGGATAATTTGGCTCCTTATATAATGAAGATGATAATGAAGAGGGAACAAGAATCTGATCGTGTAGCCCCTCCTGACATCAGTTGGAGAGGCATTGATTATTTCCCTTAAAACCGCCTGACTCCACGTTTTTAGCAGGCCTCTTTGTTATGAAGAGGAGAAGACCTTTGTTCATTTTGTAAAGTTCACTGCCAGACATGCTGCTGTTCCAACATTTTTCTGTGAACAATTACAGAGAAAATCATTTTCAAGACTACTTAGATTTTCTTTTCACTGATGTTTTGGAAATACAGGCTAACTCTATGACACTTACAGTCAAAAATCAAAAAAGGGAAGATGACTAGTAAGCAAATACCCTGAAAGTTTACCTTTTACTTTAACTGCCAGGAAAACAAATCCAAAAAAATGAAAGCAGGGGTTCCACATTTTCCATGAAGGACACTTTATCTGGACACATAACTGGTCATAGAGACACACTGATGGTGATGAGGAGAAAACTGGCTACATGCTTTCTTAACAAGGCTTGCCATCCATTTATTTGACCACTAACTCTTTGAATTGTACAGGCACGTTCTTCAACTTCATTTCCGTTTTCTCCTGACAAAGGTCTTCAAACAGACCCAAGCACAAGCAAGTTGGTTCAGTTACCGTATCACTTGACCTTTATCACATAACGTGTGGTTACAGCCTTTTAATGATCACATGACCTCTGGGACGTTGATCAATGCAGAGGACTGTGTGGGCAGTCCAGTGTGATGTTTATCTGTGCCACAGTTTGTTTGCTTTAGTTGAGTTCAACTGGTCTGTTTGCTCCAAACACTAAAGGAAAACCTCCTCATGAGCACAGTCACGGTCCCTGCAGAAAAGGCAGGGTTGAGTCCACTGTCTCCCCGTCTTCATCACACTCTGCTGCGTTTGGAGTGATTCTCAGCTGAAGCAGCAGAGGCCCGCTTGTTGCGATGGTGGGGGAAGGTTGGCATCAGCTCGGGTTCACAGGCTGTACAGAGAAACACAGAGACAAGATGAATACCTGACGATTTATCCATCAGAGGGTCATGAGAACAAGCTGAAAATCTCTTCACTCACGCAGAGGCTTCTCTTTGAAGTATGAACTCTCCAGACAGTCTTTGGCATTAGCTCTGAATCAGGAAGACAGACAACAGTCATTTATATGAAAGCTTTTAAATCATTTGAAGGGTGATTCCTATTACTATTACTTTGCTTTAAGGCTGGCAGGACAGAGAACAGGAAAATGTGGGGTGAGGAGAGAGAGTGGGGTAGACATTCATCAAAGGACCAAAGTCTGGAGTCGGGGCGCCTACTCTAACAACTTCGTTCAACTGGCGCCCTCCCATTTGTATTCTGTGTGTGACAACACTACAAAATCGTCACTAAGGAATTGCACCTGCTGAGGTAAGACGCTTTTTCTTATTACATCATCTTGACTGTGCATCACCGGAAGAATATTATTGTGCATCTCAAACTATGATCAGTAAGTGGATGATCCTGACACTCATTGTATCAGTATCAGTGTCAAAGCTTGTACACTTTTTGAGATATTCTGATCTCCCTGTAGTGAAAAATGTGTCACATCGACTGAGCCACCAAAAGAGCAAAGAGGACTCTGAAACTACAGTACGGATTGCAATGGTTTGTTAAAGGAAAACGTCCCACTGTATGCAAATGGATACTGTTGAAGAGCAGCTGCAGTCTGTACTGAGGTTATTCGAGAAGCATTTGATTTTTAATAAAGCAAGTCTTTTCCTTTCAGACATTTCTAATTGTCATAGTAGGAAAATCCAAAGTGTTCCTAAAAACATTGACCAACAACTATTCTAGTGTCTCAGTAAGCCATGACAGTGTGAACACCACAAAAGATAAAAATGCTAGATAGGATTCAAACATCTTACATTTCATTTTTCACAAGTTTGATTTTCCTTCTGTAAAATAAAACATCTTCTGTCACAGTCATGTGTACAAACTCACATCACGTTTGTCCAAAAGAGGCAGACCCACAAATGATCCAGCCAAAATCCCACGACCCCTATAATGTGTGTGTGTGTATGTGTGTACCTGCGCTGTGGATGGTACATGAAAAGCAGGTTGAGCAATCTGTGTCCTGCATCAGATAACCAGGTGAATTTGTTCTTCAGGTTGTTGTACGGCTGCTTCCTCAGACTGTACTGACCTATGAGAGGCAGCTGCGAGAAACCCTGACACACACACACACACAGATCAATTTGCATATTCTTGCACATCATCAGACATCACAAGATAAACAAAGTTTAGTTAACACTGTGGACTTGAGTCTGACCGGCCAGATGTTTTCATTGGGCGTTCCCAGCAGCTGAACGATCAGGTCCACCTGCTGGATCTCGGAGGTTCCAGGCAGAAGAGGTTTGTGAGCCAGCAGCTCTGCCAATATGCAGCCGACAGCCCTGCAATGAAAAAACAACAAGACAAGTTTTGTTTTGTTCTTAAAACCATCCTTGTTATGCATCTCTTATTGTTGTAGCAAAATCCCAGAATATGACACCAGATAAATTTACTTATATATGTTCAATTCAGATAATAAAATAATTAAACAAGCACAAGGGATCTCAAACATAGGACTGAATTTATTTCAATGTAATAACGGCATTAAGTTGATTTGCATGCTGGGATAGTTTGTGTGTTCTCACCACATGTCCAGAGCTGTAGTCTGCGTTTTGGTCCCTAGGAGGAGCTCTGGAGCTCTGTACCTGCAGACAGATGGAGGAGAAGGGGCACATGAGGGGATTGCTCTGCACCAGCACAATAAAAGCAAAATAATGATGATCTGCAGGGTTCAACACACTCACCCTGACACTCACCACAGTGTGACCACTCGAGGCGTCATGGGCTGCTGGGGGATGCCGTACATTCTGGCCAATCCAAAGTCAGCTGCACACAGAAGAAACAAGAGCATGATCCGTTTACATTTTTTTAATTTTGAATATATTTTTATATTTGGACTGCAACATTTTTTCATTAAATGAAGCAGTGCATCACAGCCAACAAAAGCCCAGTTATAACTGAATAAATACCATCAAGTTTCAAGAAGCACATATGACGTTCACAGTGATCTGGAGAATTTTATACTTAAAGCATCGAATAAAGTAAGTAGGAATATTTTTGTGCGTGTGATGCAGCAGCTGTTTATTTTGTTTACTAGGCATTGCTAATCCAGGAGAGTGACACTAAGCCCATTAGAAACACATTAGAAACGGATGTAGAGGACTAAAGTCACTGCGTCATTTCCCCACAGTGCCCTCCAATGAGTGTAGGGGGCGGGGCTTATTATGCAGCATTAAAAGGGAAGGTTATATTTGTTTGGATATTATATTCAAAGATAAATAAAACTTTAAGAGGAGCTGATGGAGGATCAAAGACACACATGAATTGCTTTTGTTAACGTCTGCGACATAAATCAATTATTAGTTTTTTGGTCCAATGGTTTTGGTTGCCCATTGTTGGAATGGATGGTGTTGTGTGCTGTGAGTTTCTCTTTTTTTCACTAGCGGCTCTACAAACAAACTTACATTTAAATGGGATGAACCTAATTTAGTTGTAGGGAAAAGCAGATAGAAGTACAAGGTCAGTGACTGGACGGAGATAAACAGTCTCAGGCTGTCTTTGTCAGACAGCCAGTGAAGTCAAACGTCAGTGCTGCAGAGTTTGGGATGTGTGTCAGTGCAGGTGTTAGGTGATCACAGTGAGGTGGTTATAGTAACAGGGATGACTCACCGATCTTAACGCAGCCTTTGTCTGTCATCAGCAGATTAGACACCTTCAGGTCCCTGATAAGAAGATCGAAGAGGATAATGAACAATCTGAAGCCCCTCCCCCTTCGCTCGTCATTGATTTGCAGAGCTAATGCCCAAACTGCTGTCAGCTACAGCTCTGACTGTCTCTAAACATATCTGCCTCAGCACATCTTTATTTCCTGGCAGATTTGATTAAGCTCAGTCACGTTGAAGGGGGGGGGGGGAGAGATACTGTGAACAGCTTCACAATCAACAAGTACACGTGCACTGTCTAGTTGTAGTTTCTGGAAAATTCTCTGGAATCAGTTGATTGTTGGTAACACAACACAAGACTCTTGTGTCATCCTTCATGTGTTTCATGTTTTGGGACTAGTTTGTCAGAGTTTTCTGCAAGCGCGCTCTCTGACTATTATTTAAATTTTCTACATCACGCCATCGTTTTGAACTAAATCATTTAACCTGAAGAAGGATTTATTCCTCTTGAGTGTAAGTTAGTGGTGGCTCAGCTCACGGCATTTGAAGACAAACTGATTTTCAAAATAAAAGTGTATTATTCAGTGTTTTTAATTGTTTTAAAGACAGGGACTATACCAATATATCATCTCAAGGTTAACAACAATAAATAGTGAAGGAATACCAACCCAATAACAAATTGAGCATATACTAAAAGAAACTAGTGGCAGCTCGGCTCACAGCTCCTCTTAACGTCCCGCGTCCTCAGAATTTGAATGGATCTAAAACACCCAGTCTATTTGTTTTGTTTTGATGAACATTGAAAGGTAATTTTGAAATTTGGTCTTTAAAATGAACAGCGTGAAGTTCAGTAGCTCCTGCGTCTCTCTGTAGAAAAGTGAAGAGATTCAACAGACAGAATTCTGATCAACTCTGTTACTTCCTCATAAACTTCCTCAAACTTTTAGGGGCTTCCTAGATTAAATGTTGTGTTATATAACATGCACACCAAAAAGTTGCATATTTTTTCCGTTAGATCTTTTCCATATTGATTGCTTATATTTCTCACTGAAGGGAAGGCTTCATTTCAAGTGGAGAAGATACAGTATATTTTCCTCTAGTAAGCAGAGTAGGGATCACCTTTTCTTACCTAAACCAATAGATTCCTGCGTCATTAACTGTTAATCTGCTGTTTAACTACCGTAAGCCTTTTTCCAGCTGAGTAAGACCAGACCTCTCTCTGAACTCTAAAATCATCTCATTAGCTTCATTAATTGCTTTGGTAACTCAGCGTTAGATTCAACAGCAGCTCCGAAAACCCGATCAGCCCACTGAGCTCATCAAACTTCCTAGCTTAATGATATGGAGGAAGGAAGAATAAGAAGAGGAAGAAAGAGAAGAGTACTGAGGAGCTCAATAAGGTGTTTACCTATTCTCCTTCATGCACTGCTGTAGTTCTGAGTTTACGGCCATCCATCACTCAAACATGAAATATCTGCTGTCTATGACAAGCGAACAGGTAACAGACGTGCTCCTCTCAACAAAACTAAAGCTGACTAAAAGCAAGATTTAAAGCTCTGACTGCCGGACATCGTATTGGATTTAATCTTTAAGCCGATTAATTCCACATGGCTCTGTGCCGGTCACTGTGACACTTTAAAGTTTTGCACGAGCCAAATGTAATCTCATATCCACCCTGATGTGAATTCCTCCTGGAATAAATGAAGAACAGTTTAGCCTTCTGAACATGTCCAAGCCTGGAAAGATACTGATGGGAGATTTTTTCTGAACTTTATCCATCATTTGCTACTTCTATTTAAAACACAGCCAAGTGGCTGCTCTTTTGGCTGCACTTGGGAAGATGGCAGATGCTGCACACTCTCATTCGCTTCGTCCAGATGTTCAGTTTTACTAATGCCTGCTTGTCACAGAAGCGCCTGATAATTTCACACATGTCCAATACAGAGAGGTTGTACAATTTGAACAAGTTCTCACAACTGGATACAGTCTGATTGGTTAAGGTGAGGATGGGTGACTGGGCAGAGCAAGAATAAGGCGAAGTCTTCCATGATGGTGGATGTTTCTGCGTTAAAAATGTTTAAGAATGTTTCTGGAATGCAATTGCAAACACAGAAATCATAACACAGGCAACTGAGGGAGCAGTAAATAGTAGAAATCAGAGCAATCGTAGTTGTGTATTTGTTGTGCTCTATACAAACTCCCTGTGTGATTGTTTAAAATAAATGAAAATAGTAATTTAAAATGTTTACATTATTATGTAAAAGGCTAATACAGACATAAAAACATTACAATGTTGCAGTTGAGCCTCAGCAAGAACTGCCACCATTAGAAAGACTTTGATGCAATTAAAACATTTAGACTTTTGAAAAGGATCCATGTTAACAAGCAACAAATGGCGACTCGTGCCACATTCAAACTGGTATGTTGTCAGCTCACTGGTATGACAGTGAGCTGACAAGATACTGTGGTTAACTAACTAACAAACTGAGTGTTGTATAATTAACATGTGTTAGATTTTACCATGTTCCTGTGCTGTCACTATTATCATTCTGAATAAACAGACAAGACACACATGTATGTGAGTGATTGGACCTCACCTGTGTATGATGAAGTTGTGATGGAGATACTCCAAACCTCGAAGCAACTGAAGGACAATACACTTCACCTTTGAAGAGAGTTAAGAAAAAGGAGACATTAAGTTACTGACCACACAGGAGTCTTTTTAGCTCACCAATAGAGCATGTATCTTTCAGGTCTGAGTAGGAAATGATGTATCAAAATGTTGCACTGATTTCATTCACTGAGACGAGACACACTGTCACTATGGAAACCAACACGTTAAAAAGGTTTGTATTCCTTCGAAGATGTATTATTTTTACAGATTAATGGAGACAAAGAAAATGTGAAAATGTGCTGTATTTCACAAGGAGATTTCAAGAATTAAAGAGAAGGCGATATCGACATGTGTTTCTTCTTATTTCAGATTTACTAACCCTGTAATCGGACAGCTTGTGTGTGGTCCAGCATTAAAATGTTTTAAACAAGAGTGCGTTCACAGCTGCTGGTCTGGTATGTGTGGCTGATCAATCAGGCCAAAACAGAGTTTGCTTTAGTTTGAATAAACATTACAGGACTGTATTTGGAACACCTGGAGCAGAGTGATACACGGTATCAGTATCAAGTCCAGGCCATGTTGAGCTCTATATCAGCACTTATGAAATGCCTCTTGTCTGATTTAAATGACATGGAGGGAAAGTCAAGTATTCATGAGTTGTGTGGATACTAGTACAAACAAATGGAGACAGAAGTCCATTTGATTTTTTTAGAAATTGAAATCATGTGCACAAGATCTTCACTCAGTCCTACCTGAGCCTCAGAGAACGGCGTCTGCATGTTTTCCAGCAGACTGGCCAAGTCCTGTTCACAGTAACTCATCACCAGGAACAGACTGAACATGAAACACACAGAACAATAGATGATTAAGTGTCAAGGAGGAAATCTGGTGGATTTTAAACCTTGGATACTGTATAATGCATTTTGGGACAAATGACTAATAGGTTCGAAAAGTTCAAATAAGATGATTCTTTATCGAACCAAAAACAGCCGTTACATTTCTTCCTCAAAGCATCCAGAATCCACTAGAACACAAGTGATTAGACCTTGGAGAACAAAGGAGTAGCATAAATAACTACCATTTTAGCATGTTGTTGGACCAGCAACTCCTCTGTTTTGTGAGGTAAAAATCAATGTTTTGGTGATTTAAAGGTTGTTTATGATTCTAAAAAAGCCTCTTTGTCCTTAACGTTTAAGTTTATCTCTTCACGACTAGGTTGATCCAGAAGAGCCACTAAAAACGTAAGTTATATCATGTAATGTTATGTTATATAATAGTGTTATTTAATGCGGTCACAATAAACACCTAGATGGACACGTTAATGAGAAACATAGTCATTAAATGGGTCCTGAAGTGTATCTGCCCAGATTCTTTCTTTCATTCATTACTCAATGTCTGTTGCATGCTTGTGAGTTCACTTATGTCTAGCTACCATTTCACATTTTTGGAGTTGTGTGTCTGTGCATGTGTGTGTGTGTCCGTGTGTGTGTGTTCTACCTCTGCAGTTGGCTTCCAACAACCACTTCTTTCAGCTCCACTATGTTGGGATGTCTGAGTCTGAGCAACAGGTTGATCTCTCTGAGGCTGCTGATGGGGATCCCTGGAAGAGAGAGGAATATTTAACGACCATTTAAAAGATGGTAAGGGAAATGACTTGGATCACTGATGCTCCCTACATTCCCCAAATTCTATGCATACATAAAAAACACAAAACCAAGAAAAATGTAATTATACAAAACACACACAACCACAACTCAGTGTTAGAGCAGTGCTCTTACCATCCTTCTCTTTGTCCATGCGGACCTTTTTCAAAGCTACAATCTCGTCCGATTTGGTGTCTCGGGCTCGTCTATAAAAGGGAAAGAAAGGTTTTCCACTTAACATAGTCACAGTGAACTTAATATGTCTGATTTAATTATGAAAATGTTCTATAGTCTCCATCATGAATTACTTACAGACAATTCCATAAGTTCCTTCTCCGATGCGGTTGAATTTCTCAAACTCTCTGACGCTTCTGCAGCTTCCAAACTGAAAAAAAAAAAAAAAACAGGTCAAATGTATGAAAAGACAAAGAGGTGTGACACTATCTGCAATTTGATCCATCAGTGCTAGGAATTAAGCTTAAATAATACTTGTGTCACATACTGGGAAAGTATTTATTTATTCTTGATTAAAAATAGATTAAAATGAATTTAAAAAAATGGAAAAAAAGAAATCTGTATAAAATAAAAAGAATAAAAAGCCAATTTCAATACAATACACATTTGACTCGTTCAAAAAGGGATATGAAGAAGCCTAGGGTTGTCAAGTCCTACCCCCATTCTTCACCATTAACAAATGCAAAAGCCAATAAAATAAAATAAACGGACAATACAAAAAAAAAAATACTCCAATCGAGCTATTAAGAAAAACAGAACAAAACCAAAACAAACACAAAAAAAGAACAAAATGAACAGTCTCAACTGAGGCTGAATGAAAAGTTGAACAAGGAATCTATAAATTGATCGTCAACAAAACATTTCCTTGAATCAGAAGAATTGTCTTGAGGTGGGGGGGGGGCTGCCATCAGCAACATGGAAAAAAATCTATCCAAAAGAAACTGTGACTGCTCTTTAAAGTAGTTCCCTAAGTGGTCATAAAGGTATGCTGAAGGTAAGGAGGACACAGTGTGGATTCACACACTAGGTGAAGGGGATAGTTGGATATTCGTGCCGGCTTATGTGTTGGAGGAAGCCTGTAATGAGATTGACAGCTAATGGAGACAATGACAGACTAACTTTACCTCGAAACAAAGGTTCAACACTAACTCATTACTTTTCAACGATGTGACCTCATGAGCTCAGGTAACAAGAGCAAAGGGAGGTCGTCACCGGTCATGTTTGGTCATGTTTTTACAGATGCTTCATTGAGCCTCTGCATGCTAATCTGATAGCATTTAAACGTGTTGTGTTAGGATTAATTTAACAGAGACAGCTGGGTTATCATAGTTACATATTAGAATTAAATGGTGGCTTTGTCAAATATATGCAGAATTTGTTAATACAGATATATGTGTGAAAAGTTAAGACTTTCTGTAATAAGCGATGTGACGATGTGTGTGTGTGAACAGTCTCCACACACTAGCTCTCTCTTACCCTGTCATTTTGAGGCACTGTAAACGTTTTATTATTCTTGATGGACTTCAGCCTTATTGGGTCCGGCTCTTCGTCTCCAATGGAGTCCATTCTTTCTCTTATTTTAATCTAAGAAAGAGAATAATTGTCCTCCGCCGCAGCTTTATCCCGAAATGCAGCAGCTTCGTTCGATGGGGGCCGCCATGTTGTTTTGTTTCCGGTCCGGCCCACCAGTGTGACGACGAGGTCTCTCCCGCGAGAGTTTAAAGAGGAAGGGTCTGCAGCTGGGTGGTGGAAGTGATGTACATCATGAGTCCTTCAAGGAATACTGTAGAAAAAAAAAAGAGAAGAAAAAAAAAGAGAGAGAGAAATACATATAGGCCTATGTATGTGCTACATGCATGAATGAAAGTGTTTAAATATTTCAACTTTCTTACTGACGTGGTGTAGCCTTCTTCCATAGTGTCCTTTTCCATAGTTGTGCTGATGATACACAGTTACACCTTCCTATCACAAACAACCATCCCAACTATCTCAACCCACTCAGAAACTGTATCAAGGCCATTCAAAGACCTTTAATCTATTAAACAACAATGAATACTGACATTTTAGTCTTCGGGCAACAAAGTGCAGGTTTTAAAGGACCTATAGGTGATTTGTCACATTATGTAGTGCCAGCAGCTAGAAGTTTAAGAATGATTTTTGACAGCAACCTGTCTTTGGTCCAGTCAGGCTTTTACCAGCTCTGGAGTATCACAAAATTAAAGTAATTTTTACGTTGTGTATGATCTGGAGAAGGGCATTCATGCTTTTATCTTCTGGGTTAGACTACTGCAGCTCTTTGTCTTCCATCAAAATGCTGCAGCAAGAATTTTAACTAGCACTTAACAAAGAGATCACTCCTATGTTAGCACACCTGCACTGGCTACCTGTAAGTTTCAGAATAGATTATAAGATTCTACTGATTGCTTTTAAGACACAGAAGGGTCCGGCCCCCCCGGATATGTCACTACATTAAAACGTTTTATGAGCCGACTCGCAGCCCTATAAGGTCCTCTGGCATGGCCCTTTAAGTTGTTCCACAGTCCAGGCTCAGGACGAAAGGTGACTGTGCGTTCTCTGTTAGGGCACCTGTGGAACAGTCTGCCAGAGGAAATTAGGCCAGAACAATCAGTTGCATCTTCTAAGGGCACGGTCACACTGGCAATGTTGTCCCGTACCGTGCTTGGTTGTTTGTAAATTTCTTCTTAAAACATACTTTTATAGACAGGCTTTTATGTAGACCATCCTCTAGTATTTTTTATCCTGATGTTATGTTCTGTTTTAGACAACATCTGTTTTTATCTCTGACTGCTAATGTGGTTAGCTGTACTTGTTTAAATCACATATAGCTTACATTCTCTCTATTTGTTATGGTTTTTTTAAATCTCAGATTTATTTTTTATGTAAAGCACTTTGTAAACAGTCTTAAAAAGGTGCTCACATGGGGCGCTGGTGGCGCAGTGGTTAGTGCGCGTGCCCCATGCATGGAGGCTGTCGTCCTCCAAGCGGGTGGCCCAGGTTCGAGTCCATCCTGTAGCTCCTTTCCCGCATGTCATTCCCTACTCTCTCTCTCTCTCCCTGATTTCCAGCTCTATCCACTGTCCTATATCTCAAAAAGCCCAACGATAAATCTTAAAAAACCTCTACAACAGTCAGTACAGCATCTCTGGGATCTTTCACTTTGTTTATCTCTTCACCGCAGCCAGTTGTTCTTAATATTGTTCATTAACATTACAGCAGACACAGTTTGTCTTCATTTAACAATCTGACAGCCTACCTCAGAATCACACAACAGTGTGTTACTTTTAACTTTTCATGATGTTAATCTAATAATTGTTGCTCGTGATAATTCAAATATAATATAATATAGTTGCAGAGTTTGCTTTACTCTCTGATCGTACCTGATTCCCACTTTAGCTTCTTTGGCAGGTCATGTTTGCTTACTTTCCAGTTACCAGTTTATTCCCCACTATGAAAGGCGTGCACAGAGGCCTCCGCTCTTTGAGTGCGTCAGCTATCGTCATCGTGGGCGGTGAGGCAAAGAGGTCTTCTTGTGATGGAGCTGTGATGAGGATGGTAGGTGGAGGTCGGGAGATGTAAGTTGGCTCTGGCTCTGGCTCTGGCTCGGGCTGGGCGGTGGTGGTGGAGGACTCTCTGTAACTATGAGGGAGAAAGTGACACTTCAAATTGAGCATGAAGATAGACAAGGCCTAACAAAAGTACAAGTTCAATATAGTTGGTCAAAAACTGGGGAAGCCAAAAGAGCTCAACACTGCAGTTTGAGTAAAAGCTTGCAGACAACACTGAGGAAAATTAAGAAAACATGTTTAATCCTTTGAAAATAACTTTGAGAAAACATGCTAATACAGACAACACAACATGAGCAACATACCACAACCACGATCACATGCCATGACACAACCAAATACCAAACCACAGTCCAATAACACAAGTCAACCAAGAAGAAAAATAAGAATAACTTAAACAACTCATTTCAATCACACAACCTAAAAGCACTAAATCAGCGATACCCAAACATAACCAAATGACTCTACAAAGCTTTAGACTGTGAGGTAACAAAATACAACACAACCAAATACTGTAACATGACTAAATACCATATACAAAAACCCAACTAAAGACAGATATCATAACCTTATATCATACAAATAAATATTACACACAACCAAATACAACACAACAAAAGGACTCAACTCATTTCAATGGAGAGAAAAAAAGCATCCAAAATGACCAAATACTAAAACAGAACAAAATAACAGAATTTGTTTTCATAATGAAATACAACAAAATACCCACTACTGTGAAATAACAAACAAAACCATGAACATAGCTAAGAATCAGAAAACAAGAATATTACTCAACACAGCCAAATAACACAACACAAAAAAATCCAATACAGCCAAATCGCCGACCTCAGCACAATGAGTAACATATCAGAAATAAAGACACCATCACAAAAACCCAATTCAACACAGAACCAAATTACTCAACACAACAAATCACTTCAGAGCAAAGTAACTCATTACATCGTTGTGTTATTTGAGTTGTATTTTTAGTTTGTGTTGCAGGTCGTGGTGGACTGTGTGGTATTTGGCTGTTGGGTAATTTGATGGATTGTAAATCATTTTTTGTGTTATCTGTATTAATAGCCAGTTCTCTTAATGTTATGTAATTTTGCCCCCCATTTAAATCTCTGTCCAATAAACAAAGCCCCCCCCCCCACTTAAAAGAGTAATCTACTGGACTAGCATTGGCCTGTGACTGACCCATATGTCCTTTAAGTTACCTGCTGACTTAGGTCTTTGTGTGTGTGTGTGTGTGTGTGTGTGTGTGTGTGTGTGTGTGTGTGTGTGTGTGTGTGTGTGTGTGTGTGTGTGTGTGTGTGTGTGTGTGTGTGTGTGTGTGTGTGTGTGTGTGTGTGTCTGATCAAAGCGTTTCTGTATGAAGAGCAACAGCACATTTCAAATTGGATTGTGCTAATTTCTTAAGAGCGTTAGGTTTGTGTCTACATCTCAAAAGGAGGGACAACAGTATACATTAACAATGATGATAAGGTTTCTTAATACATGCGCCCACTATTAAAATGCACCAGACATTTTTTGACCAATTGACACAGTCATATGTATACACTGTGCAGCTAGAAATCCACATTTAGAGGGCTTGATTTGTATATAATAATGATATGCTTTGTTTGGCTTTAACTGTACATTTATAAATACTTCATTAATTACATGGATCAATTTACCTTCCCATCTACAGTCCATGTCTCAGATGTGCTGTAAATAAACTAAACGTTAGCACAAACACAATAACAAATATTGAAATTGAATGATCTGAATCCATCTTTAAAGCAGCGATCCTTAGATCTAATCTGGATAAATCAAAGGCTTACCATGTTGTTGATAATGACTCTGTATATTTATCTCTTCTGTTCTCAAAGTCAATATGAAGTCATTATGTCATGTATTTCATTCCTACCTATATTTTCCTTTTGGCTTGCTCCAGACCCCATCAGGCTCCACTCAAGCTGTTGTTCAGTCCTTACATGTCCACACACATGTCGCTCACATTCTGGTCAGTGTATGTTGACCAATGTTCAGAGTGTGCATTTAAAAAACCAGTCCTTTGTCTGAGGCAACAGATTGTGCCAGTCTCCCTCTCCCTGTCTCTGCCACGCCCCCTCCCTGAGTCGTCACTCGATCTGTCTAGGAGACAGACACTAATCCGGGGCAGTAGTAAGAAGTTCTGGATTTAAAGAGTACATAAGGACACATTAGTGTAAACTCTTGTTTTGTCATTTAAAAATATTACAAAACGGTCACACGATTACTCCTGAACTGTAATAAAAAATATTTGTAATATACCAGGTGATTTAGTAACAGGTGATCCAAAGCATATTCAATTTGACAGTATTGACAGTTAAAAATATTCATTATGTGATTTTTTATTTTCAATAATTTGTTAATATGAATGGTATATTTTATGTCCAATTAACAACCTTTCCCGGCTGATGGGATTTAACCTAAGTTTTGTGTTGTTGATGCAAATGTTTCCTTGAGTTAATTATAAAGGCTGACATATAAATGGTTGAACTGTTATTATCAACGATGAGCTCATCAAAGCAAAATGCAAGTTTTTACAGAACATAAAATGCAGAAAACAATGCTTGAAATCATTTAGAAAGCATGTCCTTAATGAAGTTTGCCCAGCAGAGGGAGCTCCTGTTCCATTATATACAATACTCTGTGCACTGTCTGGAGGCAACACGTTCTCCACTCAGGTTTTCAAATAGCAATGGTGTCGGGCCTGTGGTGTTAAATTCAGACCTAAAAGTAGGCCTACACGGATTCAGAAAATCATGAGAGTGAACATCAACAAAAAACGAACTGTCTTAATGTTGTTCCTCATGTTTTACATGATATGAACTATATTTTTCAAAAAACTATTTTTTTCATCACTAAATTGGCACCAATAAATCAGAGTGTAGCAGATAGTTTAGCAAAATGGTCTGAAAGCATGGCCACTACACTCACGACTCAATCCAACACAAGAAATGTAGGTATACTGAGCGACAAAGCCTCGCCTGTTTACATTATAATGTGTTCTTGTTGCAATAAATGTAGACTCTTGCAATGTGTTACTTGCGTCACCCAATTGCGATTACAACCCAATAGCAATTAATTACACTGCCCAACTTCCAAGGTTGTGCTGTTGCACATCATACAGAGGCACATGGCAGTGTCTGTGGTCTAATTGTCTAATATGTGGCTGACCTCAACTGGGACTAAAATCACAGTCTCCTGGTTGCAGGGCCTGTGTTGTTTGACCCATCCATAGAACCGAACCACAAGCCTTAGCAGATGTGTGATAAAACATTGTCAGGTGTCTGGAAGAATCAACTCAGTTCAAATGAAACCATAACCTCCCACAGTAGATAAAATGATGCAGTTTTATAAACACAGTTCTTTAATAAAGGCTAATTTAGACAAGTAATATCAACACCATAAAAATTACCTAAAGAGGGCAAAACAGGTAACATGCTTTTAAATTCTACCTGTTTAGCTTTGTGCTTATGATGTCGGTCAATCACTCAAATATTATCAAGGTAACAAATACTGGAAACTGTTATACAGGTGTTGTATAAATAATATAATTGTTGGGCTTTTGTGCCTTTAATGGAAAGATAGGACAGTGGATAGAGTCGGAAATCAGGGAGAGAGAGAGAGTGGGGAATGACATGCGGGAAAGAGGCCACAGGTGGGACTCGATCCCGGGCCGCCCGCTTGGAGGACTTTGGCCTCCATACATGGGGCGTGCACACTAACCACTGTGCCACAAGCGCCCCAAATGTTTTTTATTTTTAGCTGTTTGAAACAGTAACTCTTGTAAGAAGGAGCTTAACAGCAAACAGAATAAATACTGTGGCACAAAACCTGAAGAGAACTTAAAACTGCGTATTTAAAAACTACTTGTAGTAATACACAAACATTTAGGGCCACTAATGAGGAGGCTTTTAAAAAGGCTCTGGTAGCTGACACAATGAAGGAAGTTTCAGAGGAAGGGGAAAATTCATATTGCCAAGTATAGTTATGAACAAATAGCCTCATAAATTATTCAAGCATTGTGTACAATGGCCTCTTTGTATTGGTAAAATGATCGTACTCTTTTCCTGACCTTGAACTTACTCAACAACCCTGCGCGTTCTAAATACTCAAAGAGAGTCCAGTATTTTTAAAGAGGGCCCTATTTTCTGCTGCATTAGATTTCTTCAGCTTCTTTAAAGGCTTTAATGGCTGCAACAAAAACTCTGCATCTTATCTGTCATTTAAAGCAGGTCCTCTTGAAGAGCTTGTTTTGCCTTTGACAGGCTCATTTTGTTATTGGTAACGTCAGAGATAAATGATCTTTACAGAGATAGACCTTTGATATGGTAAGATCCTTCCAGAAACAGCCGTTAAATCTATTTAAAACACCCACAATCCTTTGACAAAAACAGAGATATAACATTGACACGAGAGTTACTGGTCTAACGCTGCCTGGATTGGTACGTTTATACGGCAAATCTTTAACTTTGTGTTTTAAAGGTTTTGTTAGATCATTTTTACATCATTAAGACCCTACATTTTCAATATTACAACCCCGGTGTTTTCAAGGCAACAAAATTTGATTTCATGCTTTAAGTGCTCAATGGCATCTAATGTTTAAACAATCATAACACACTCATGAACTATGACATTTTTTTGCCTTTTTATTCCCGCCTTCACTTTCCTCTCGTCCCACAAATGCTGGTTTGTTGTAGCTGATACTGTGTTCACGTAGAGTCATTTGCCCAGCGCCGCAGATACTCTAACGCATCCTGTACCTCATCTTCCTCTGTCTTTGCTTCGAGGGAAAGAAAAACAAACATAGTGGGTAATTTGTGTTTGCATGAAGTCCACTCCCCCTTCAGAGTCAGCGCCAACTGGCTTTGTACAAACATGACCATGAATCTAGGATGCGAGTCCTCTGCTTTATAACTTGATTGAATTGACATGGAGCCTCGGTTCATACCTGGATTGGAGGGTGATGCAGTGGACAGCTCTCTTTGACAAGAGACTCTCTCCTCCCTACTCTCTGCCAGACTCTCAGCCAGATTCTTCTCCAGCCTCTCAAGCTCTGCCAGCAGCTCGCCCTGATGGGAAGCACACACACACACACACACACACACACACACACACACACGTTGCTGTTATCACCATAAACTTGACTAAGATCACCACATACAAAACTCTTGCTTAGTCAAAATACCCTCCAGAGCAAGCCGCTTGCATGACAAGGTTAATACAGCAGAAATCAATCAATCTCATGCTTACTGCTGGGGATCACACACATATAGAAAAATACAAAAAGGCATAATCAGTGCTAAACAAAGGCCCTGTTTATATTATCTACATGCAACCTGGATGACCTGTACACAGCTGGACAGAATGCACAAGATTCATTCAGGATGCACTGTAATATGATGTTGGATCACATTCTGAACAGGGCCTCACTGAACCAGGACAACACTGACAGTGATAGATCACTTGCCTGTCATTCTTGCTTTATTTATTTGTTTATTTGACATGGCCATACAGTAACACTGGTGCTGTAACATTTAACCATGCACAAGTTCCAGATGCACTGCTCTTAGTGTTTTTAGCAGAATGTTAATTTTCAACACCTGTCCACGGGAGGCTTTTAGAAATAATAGATAGAGATAAATAAAAAGGAGAAGAAAATGAAAACAGTTCAGTTATAAACACAGTGCAGTTATGAATGCAACAAGGATAAAATACAGTTACAAAGAGAAGGCAGCAAAAATATACGACGGACATTTGTGATCTCATGTACGTTTAGGTGTGGGAACAATGTTGTTTCTCCTTCAGCCATGATTTAATACCTTTGTTTGAAACCTTCTAAACTGTAACGTATTAAACACTTTGAGTTTAATTGTTGAACCTGTCATTCTTTACTACTTTAATCATTTGCATCATAACAGGCTGTGTTCACTTATGTGAAAACAAAAACTACATTTGTACTTATTATACTTGTTATGGGAAAAAAAAACAAGATCATTTGTCTCAATTAATTGGTGCAATTATTATGACTATACTGTTACTTTTACTACTACTGCTGCAACTACTCCTACTACTTCTAATAATAATCATCATGAATGATGATTATTATCATATTTAGTATCATTAGTTTAGTAGAGTTGTTTCTTTTACCTTACATTTTCATAGTCTGAGAAGTTTGAGAACTTTTTAAACTTTTTTAAATATACAAGATGATGACCACAGCAAATCACAAGTCAGAGATGTGACCCACATTTCATGAAGAAGACAAGTGCAGAGCTGATCTATGTGTCAGTTTATTACTGCTAATAGAGACTTCAGTCTGCAGTATGGTTCTTCAACTGTAATGTTAAACCACACAGCTGTAGACGAACATTTGCATATCATCAAAAATGTGTATATAATTCATATCACTTCCATCTTTCTGTGCATTTTCACACTCTGAATGTGTAATTACATCTGAATCAGGAACGTGTGATGTGATCACAAGTGCTAACTAGAGACATAAAATGGAGACATTATTATGCCAGGGATAAACTGACATACTCAGATCTACCCACATGTTGATTTGATCACCAAGGACAGATGTTTAGGTCAGGTGTAAACAGGACTAAGGACAACATCTGAGGTCAACAAAGTAATACTTAATAAAAAAATCCTTGAAAGAATGATCATCGTGTACCTCATCAAATTCTAATCCGAGGCTCACAGAGGTGTGGAGGTTGTCTGACATGTCCAGAGTGTCAGCCGGCTCCTCCTTGAAGTCCTTCATCAGGTCATCCATCTTGTTGACGATATCTCTATAAAACAAGAAGAGGAAGATCAAATATCTGAGGCTAATTTTAGCTCATGGAATGAAATGTGTACGAAGAGCATCTGTATATGTTAAACAGTGTTCTCCATGCTAATATTTCATATCTGCGTGTTAAGTTACATTTTGAGTTCATTGTTGTAAATATCCAATTGTGATATTTCTCTGCTTACATGTGTTCATGAGCAGACGTAATGGCTTTTAAAGCACTGTCAATGTTCTTGAGATGTTTCTCGTACCACTTCTTTCTCCTCAGCGCCTGAAGAGCCACTGGAAGGAAAGCACAGTGGGGAACAGTGTTAGAAAGATTATCTGTTGGAGATAGCAAATTAAAGGGGAAAAATAATAATGATGATTTTCAGGCTTTTTGACAGAAAGCTAAACAGGTAAGTAAGCTTCTGGTACTGTTGTAAAATGTAGTATTAAGATAAAGTAATGTCCTTTTTTCAGCAGACTTTTTGTCTAGACACATTAGAAAGAGCCATAACATTGGTTTTTTTTTGTTGGATTTTGAGTAGTTTAATATGATGATTATGATAAAGGATGGATCACAAACATCATCATGTTACCATGTTTTATTGATTTGTTTGACAACAATATCATATTTGGTGAAATGCCACACTTTCCCACATTCATTTGTATCTGATTCAGTTCAGTGTGCTAAAGGTAATGCGCAGGAAGAAGACCATTCAAAACATTCTTTCAACACAATACGTTTGATTTGTTTCAACTTACAAAAAACACTTAAAACATCAATTGTTCTTTTATTATCAAACTCTTACAATGAAATATTATTTTCTTGGCTCACACAGAGTGGTCATGATGTAATATCTAGTTTTTGAAGAAAAAAAGAAGAAGAGAGATACACTATTTAGTCTGCAGGGAAAATCTCAAGTGGCTCTTATTACTTTTTATCATATAATTATAAAAACATTTGGTATTAATTCTAATTATGCATCCCGTCACAGAGGACAAGCACAAGAGTAGGCCTGATAACTAACACAAGTTAAACAATTGTCCTTACTATTTGTTTTTAACCTTTGGTTTCAATGAGGGCCTCAGTCACCATGGTGATACTAAATTAACTGCTATAGACCTTTTTCTTAATTTTACATTTCAGCTTTGTTCTTTATGTGAACTACGCTGAATTGCAATTACATCCTTATTTTAAAGCTCTGACCAATAATTGTCAGTAACAGTACTGGTCAGGGTCTCACTAACCCTTGTTCAATGACCTCAGTAACTAAGGTTATTTCATAGGTATGAAGGTTGCTTGAAAAATGCTAAATCTCACCCTTTCTGTTTTTTGTGCTGATTGTCTTGACAAACTGAAGTTCCTGCTCAATCTTTTTCTTCAGATATTGTTCCTTCTTCAGAAGCAACTCCTCTCTGACCTGAAGTTTCTCTACGTCGTCTTGTTGGCAGGTCTTCTTCACCTTTTCTCCTCCGCTGAACATCTTCACAAACTGAGACATGACCCTGACGCGCCGTTTGATGGAGACGTGACGTCACTGTGTTGCCCTGGTTACACAGCTACAGCCAAGCTAACGTTAGCATATAGCTACTCTTCACTGACCACAGCTGCTTCTTACCGAGAGAAACTTTTTTTTTTAAAACAAAACATAATCCTTTATTTTATTTTATTATAGCCTAGCATTATTTCTATAAATTAGTCTCTAGTAAGATAAAATTCATTGCTTTTACCGCCTCGAGATAGGCTGTAAGGGGCCAGCTCAGCCAAGTGATTAGTCTTGCTAAAGAAAACAACAATATTAAAATAATAATTATTATTATTACCCCAAACTTTGTCAATACAAAACACGGAAATTAAATATCTTTAATGTAGGCTAATTTATGCATAAAACATAGCCCACTGCAGTTAAGAAAATAGGAATGTCTCTTTCTCTATGATATAAACTGGACTGCTGATATAAGAAAGTCATTAGCTCGAAGGTTATCAGAAGGTGTTGGGAGGGATATTTTGTTGCCCTAAATGGTTAAACAAATCATGTTGATAGGTTTAAGACTTAAAACAAGACTCTACAGTAGGCCTAGATGGCCGTAATTGATCTTGAAGTGACTTATTGAAAGTCCGAGCAGAGAAGGGGAACAAAGAAGAATTTTAGAAAAATTAACCAAGAAATCACAAACAATATGGGGACGGAGTAGAAAACCTTTCAATTTTATATAAAGACCCATGACATCATGTGAAGGGAGGTATTTTTAGTTTAGATCAGTAGATTAGGCTAATCTGGTTATGTGGATCAAGGATCTCTTGATTGAAAGATTAATTGAATTGAGAGGAGCTATTCTGGACACTTTTGTTGAAAGTGAATTAACATACCTCAAGAGAATTGGATGTTGTTCACAGATAATCGTGAAACTTTCATCAGGGAATTAACATTTGGACTTTATTTTACAGAAATTGCAATAATGCAATAATTAAGAAGTTTTAATTAATGTGAACAGGATTTAGATTGTAGTATAGAAAAGATAATGTTTTTTTAAAGAAAGATAATTTGCTAAATAGGCCACTATTCAGTTTAAACCCATATGATAACAAGTTGTGATATAAGATGTCTTGTTGGAAGTGACTTGGGCAATAGAGTTGCAATGAAGACTATTTTTATCTGATTAATTAGGTTCGGATTAAATAACAGGTGCCTGATATTTAGATCTGCATCAAGTTCAGCTCCTTTAAAAAGTTATATCACATTCACTATCAGGCCCTGGATTTATTTTCAGGTGCCTCTGGAACATGCTCCAACTTTGGCATCATTAGGTAAGATGTTTAACTTAACAACAGAATTAATTAACAGAGCAAATCAGAGAGCCTGCCAGGAGCCAAACAGTTAGGCTATTATTATAGGCCTAAAGAGTTCAAATATAGGACTGAGAATGAGTCTTGGATAGGCCATACCACTCCATGGTGAGAGCTAACGAAATTAATAAAAGTAAAAAACAAACATAATAATCAGCAAAGAAGCCATAAAAAGAACTGTATGGAAAAAGCTAACTCTGGTCAGAAATGAGAATGGCACTTAAAAGAATCAGGAAAGAGGTAGTTAAAATCTAGCTTCAGATTATTATTATTATTTACATACAAGGCCAAACAGCAAATCTGATTCTGATACAGAATAATTGTTTTCTTGGTTGTTTTTTCTTTTAATTGTTTTCTTGATTTCAAATTCAAACCATAGACTGTGAATATTAAACTGGATACCACATGGTGGCGATACTGTTTCAATCCGTTGTGTGACAACTGCTCGAAAACCTTGCAGAGAAGAAGAACTCCTCCTAGACCAGGAAGTGAGACAGTCGGTATCATAACAAAACAAGAGTAGCCTGTTCGTCAGCTGAAAATAAGATTTCTTTGAGCAGCTGGACTCATATTCGTCTTGCCATGGATGGTATGTCGTGTTTTAATAGCTGAACTATCAACCTGGATTCAAGTCTTCTCTGTTTAAAGCTATCAAACCAGTATAATGACAGAATGCTATTATTAGCTTGTTAGCTTGGGTGTGTGTTAGCTAGGTTAGCTGTCAGACCTGTTTGTGGTTTTCGGTTATTTATCATCTTGTTGCAGCCGGACAGACGATTTATTATGTCGTTGCTTTGAAATAACTTCTTGTTTTAACACTGAATGTTGTCAATGTAAATAAATGTATTTTGAAGAATGTAACACTTAAAAATGTGATTAGAAAGTTATAATCTGGACCCCTCCTTACGTCTCCTCTCCTGACCATGACTACATCACGATGACTTATGTTACTCAATAGAGGAAGTGAATGTTTGGCCAAGGCTGCTTTTATTCTTGTTTTTTAATGTATTATAGATCTGTTAGTATGAAATATTAAATCCATGTTGACAGTTTACATTAAACCCTCCAAATTCCTGATCCTGTCCCTTTCCCTTGTCACAGATATGATCTTCAATTTAAGGGTATGTATCTGTGAGAAGGATTAATCCTAAATAGCATGATCCAAATTGCACAGTGGATTATTTATAGGTTTTCTTTACAATTTTGTGTTTGGTTCACAGTTCACTTCTAAGCAGCTTGAGAGACTTGCTAAGAAAGCAGAGAAGGAGTCTGAAAAGGAGCAGGCCAAGGTTAAGAAGGTGAGCACAGTTAATGTTGAGCTGCATGTAGAAGACACTGTGAGAAATGTCCTTCAATGATAAAGTCCATCTAGGAAGACTGATGCATGTCACACTCTTCTATCTAATCATTTTACTTCTTTGATCTCTATAAAGGCTGAATACAAATCTATCTATGTGGCGTCACCATATTTGGTTTATGTGAATACTAAATTAGGGGAAATATGGATAACATAATGGATAACTCTTTCATTTGGTTCTCTTAGTTTAACACAGTAGTAGTAGTAATCATTTATTTCGGTCACAAGAAACCAAAAAAAAACAAAAACATTTTGACTGAAAAGGTGTGAGGCTGAAGCTTTAGTTTATTACACCTAAATCATATTATTTAAGACACTACTAGTTTGGTTACAAAAAACAAAACATATCAGAACAAAAGTTGTTCTAAGAATTTATTTCAAAACAAAACAAATGAAACAAACAAAAAATGAAACAGAAGTGAACTACACATTCTTAATTCCATGTCATAAGTCTTCCACAAATGAACCCCTTTTACTGAAATACACCTGTTCTTTATGTTTCTCCTTACCTTTGTTTTTTTTTATACACGCAGGCAAACCATGAAAAGCTTTCAGACTGTAACTATATGAGTGCAGGAAATCTGTTGCTTTCTCTTGTCTTCTTTTTCTGCATCAGGTGTTTAATGTGTCATGTGATCTGTGTAGTGGGCCTGTAGAGAGTGGTGCTAATGTTTGGGTGTGGCTGTTATGCTTAGTCTTTGTGTTCTGTAGACTTAAAAAGACATGAACAATCGTATCTGTTTGTTTTAGTTGATGAGGCATTGAGTTAAATAATGTATGTAAAGTCTGAAAAAGATGTAAAGCTTTAACTATAACCAACTGTCTGTTGATTAAAAGGGAAAAGCCTTTAATGCTTTTATTTTGATCTCATAAAAAATCAAACTTTATCATTGGTTTTGAAAGAAATCCAACTCAACTTAAAACATGAAATAAGAGCTAGTTCGCTTTGTTTGCCTCTGATTGCCAATTAAAACCCCTTTTTTTTTTAAAATTTCATCCTTTATTGTGATGTAAGGGCTGCAAGCGAAAGAAAATACACATCATATAAAGAAAAAAAATCAAATGAGGGTACGTGTTGAATGACTCATGAGTACATTTGTGTTCATTTGTTCTTCTGTTTATCTGATATTTTACAAAGTAAGGGAGCTATCTGAAACAGCTGATGATCAGAGTTCACCTACCAACAATGTCTGTTGTTACTGAGGTTCACAGCCCTCCTGCTCCACCCTTTCAAAGAACACCCTCGCTCACAGATGGATAACAAGATGTAAAAAGAAAGTTCTCTTCCCCCCACCACCTTATTTGTCATGTTTTTAATGACATTCACAAACAACACCATGAAAAAGTGGGAAACCTTTTTACATCTTCAACTTATTATAGTTTTGAGTTAGTGTTTAGGCTTCATGATTGATATTTATTGTAATCAAATTGTTAATATGCATTCTACTTGTCTAATAAAGTCAGAAGGTGGCATTGCAGCTCAGCAATAAACAAGGAGTTGTTTAGTAAATCGATATGTCTTTGCCTATTTATTTAAGAGGTAAAAAATTCTGTTCTGATGTCACCTTTTTTAAATGCATGTTCTGTTTGGATGTTGTGGTAGAAGATATTCAGGGTACTTCTCTCTTGCGCCACTATCATCTCACCGTGCAGTGATATTTCCCTGTTGAGTCATAATAGTCTTCACTTTCCTCATTTCCTCTCTAACAGCTCTCATGCATTAGAGATGAGGAGTGAGCTGCGGCTAATGATGCTGTTTGTTTTTATGACTGCTGAAAGGATTGTGGTGGTTGTTGTTGTTGTTGTTTTTTTTACAGACTTAATGGTAGACACACTTTTCAAGAGTTTTTCCACATATTGAAACGACTGCAAAAAGAACAATTTCATTACTGGACAAAATTAAAAAAAATAAAAAGCCCTGGTCGAATCTCTTCAAAAGACAAATCTACCCATAATATATTAAATGTGCTGATGAATGATTCCTTTTTTAGCTGATTGATGTTTACAATAATGATATCACATAGTTAAACACACAATCGTGTTTCTGTAATACTCGTTTTAATGAACGTAATGTAAATAACTTTTTGTGTTCCGCTAAAAAATGAATCATGGATGATGTTCTTGACTAAAGCGTCTGTGTTTCATCAACAGGCTTTGCAACAGAAAAATGTGGAAGTTGCCAGAGTCTATGCAGAGAACGCTATCCGGAAAAAAAATGAAGGTCTCAACTGGCTGCGCATGGCGTCACGAGTGGACGCGGTGTCCTCCAAAGTCCAGACTGCAGTCACAATGAAAGCAGTATGTAACAGTGTTCAATCAATGCACCTATCCATGCTGCCTGAGAGTTTACACAGATTAACTTTACTTTCACGTTTTTACACTTTGCATCATTTACTGTATTGTGATGATCTTTAAAGATGAGGTTTCTTTTCTTTGCCAACACGTATTAAAGGCTTCTTTCTTTTTTTTTTTAAGGTTTCCAAAAGCATGGGCCAGGTGACCAAGTCCCTGGACAAGGCTCTTAAGTCCATGGACCTCCAAAAGATCTCTGCTGTCATGGATAAGTTTGAAAGCCAGGTGGAAAACCTTGACGTTCACACCTCGGTGAGTTTCTGAAGATAGTTTTTTGTATATTGTGCTTCACTGTGTGGTTAGATGTTAGACAGTTGAACTTCATAACAAAGGACTAGGACTGATCAAGGCATGTTTTTACTCATCTTGTTTAAAAATTAAACCCAGTTCTGCAATCGTTTGTCCCTCTCCCTAAGTAATCCATGCCTCTTTTTCCTGCACCAGGTGATGGATGACTCCATGAGCTCAGCGACTACACTGACCACACCTCAGAACCAGGTGGATGACCTGATCCACCAGATAGCAGAGGAGAGCGGTCTGGAGGTGATGGACCAGCTCAGCCAGCTGCCTGCAGGGGCCACCTCAGTGGGAGCTGAGAGCTCACGGAGCAACGAAAAGGAGGACCAGCTGTCTCGACGGTAAGGACCAGCATCTGTAGATGATTTGTGGCGCCTGGTAACTACATTCGTATCACAGAGGTCACAAGCAGCATCTTTGTGTCTGGGAGGGATTTCTTTAAGCATAGTGATGAATACCGTTACTGTTGAAGCAGACCCAATTTCACTGTTCTGTGGATTAAGACTAACAAGCAGCACATGAGTAGGCAATTAGAATAGAGCATGAGATGAGAAAATGTGATTACCCTCACCCCCACCACACACATACAAATAACTAAAGGCAGAAACACTGGATCCTTCTTTTGCACAGCTAAGAAGCACACACGTCATAGACTCAAATGCTCATTTGCCTGTGCACCCACAGGTGTATAGGCCTACTTCCCCTAAAGAAGCCTTGATAGATTTCTACAAGAGCCATGCTAGAACCAGAAAAACACCTGAATGAGTAAGACCCAACCTGTGACCATCACTAAGCTCTCTCTGACGCGTAGACTCTTAAAATACTTACAGACACGAGCTCTTAAAGGGAAACGTATCATCGGCCTCAAACATACTTACCAATGCAAACAACATCATCTCTCTTAATGTTAAGGTGCACTTGTGGTGCCTGCTGCTGTGGGATCACTGTAACTGAAACATCTTCAACCTGCATATCTCAATATTTCATACAGAAGAGTATCTGCAGGGGGACAATAACACTGGAAAAAGAAAGATTTTATAGATTAAAAAATATAAGTGTTAGTTTTGATTTCACCCAAGAGATTTTAGTTCAGTCATAACACTATATCTGATAGGCATTTTTTTTTAATCAAACAGGTATTTGACTAGAGGTTCATTAAACATGCTGGTTTACGCTTTCAAATGTCAGGGGGGTTATGCTTGTCTCTGTTCTATATCTCTGTCCATTAAATAGGTTTAATATTTATCTATTGGTTTTGCAAAACAACAATGGGTTGTCACCAGGAGCTCTGGGGGATTGTACTGCATGTATTTCCGCTCTTCCCTCCCCCCCCCCCCCCCTTTATATCAGAGATCAGTCAACAAAGGATCATCAAATTAACTGTTTTAAAAGTTGTTTAACATGATTTCCAAACGATATGATTACGATACACTTTATTGTCCCCTTTGGGAAATTTTACCCTGAATGAGATGCTTAAAAAATGGTGCTGATGTTGATTGGATTGAAATGCATCAGCGTGTGCTGTGCAGCTGTGGAATCCTTGTCTAAAAAGATATTTCTAGACATTGTACACATGAAATAGGACAAGGCAGAGAAACCAGTCTTCACATGTCAACCATTCTGCAGCTCATTAAGCAGGTGTTAAAATCTAGAGGTGTTGTTCTCATTACTGACAGGTTTTCTGGCAGGATTTGTGAGGCTCAAAGAGTTATAAGTGTTGAAGCAGCCTAAAGCTTTAAAGTTATATACGTTTTTTATTTTTTAAGAGAATCTTGCTGTCGATTCATAATAATTTATTTACCCCGTTTCACAAACGCTCCAAACACTTCATCTCTCTCCTGTTTTTCTTGTCACATGTTGCAGGTTGGCTGCTTTGCGGAACTGAGGGCTCCTCCGGGAGAGGTGACCGCCGCCTACAGCTGTGTGTAAGCAGATGGGCTTAATGATGGCAACACGAGCTGTGTGTGTTTCTATTGAACTGTTCCTACCGGGAGGACTTAACGAGCCTATTGATTACCATCCCCCCTGCTCTATAAATAGACACATCGGCCTGAAATACCAACTGAGAGGGCTTGAATCTCACCCAGGTTCACCTTCTTATTTCGATCCATCTATTCCTGTCCCTTCCTTTCCCCTCTAATTCCCCCTTGCATCTCATTTTACCTTCCCTCTCCCTCCCTCCTTTTTTTATCCCTTCTTCTCTGCCACTTTTTTCTACTCCTTGGCTCTGATATCACACTCTTATGGATGTATGCTATGTAAACAAAAAGAAACCAATCTTATAAATTGTATGATGTATAATAATAAAAAGTTTTATTAGGCAGTTATACACTGCAGTCGATCATAAGGGGCAGGGTGGGTTGAAGATGTGTCTACATGTTGTTTCTATAGTTTTCAGACTTTGTCAGCACGGGGGGCTTTGATTGGGTGATTCTGATTTAAGGAGCGAGACATTTAATCGTAAATCAGTTCTGGCTTGAGCAATTTAGGCTCAACTTGTATTTAAGTAACACTAATGCTAAACTCACACTAATGTATGTTCATTTATGAACACAGAAGAACTTTTGGTACGTTTATGGCTGACATCCACACATCACGAGTGTGACCTCCAAGTGGCCCTAAAACTGCAGCTTTTGAAAATGATGGTGAGCTTTAAATTTGCAAACTGAGAAACAAAACTGGAAACAAACAGATATGCTGGCTGATTGGTCTTTTCAGACATGCCGCTATCATATGGGCCTTTACTGATAGAAAAATAAACCTTTTTACATGCTGCGGTTATCTGAACAGTAAGAAGTAATAGTCGGCGCTGCTGCATTGTGTTGCGATTGAATTTTGCATAAATGTGCAGGAGGCAAGCTGACATTTGCGTGGCCTGTTTTGTGTTCCTGTTTACACCGGCATGCACATGAATGGTCAGGTGAAATGGCTTTCAGAGAATAGTTATGATACTTTGCTAAAACAAATTTTGGATGGAGCTCAATGTGATTTAAATTACTGTCACAGTAGTCTGGAGGTAGGGGTCTCCTTTCCTTCTCAGAATCATCCCAGTTAAAGCCGCTTCATGTTCTTTCACTCTAAAACATCAAAGGACACTCTTCAAACCGGGTGGGCCCCCGTGTCAAAATGGTTGTTTTGGTGTTCTTCTTTCTGTTTATTCAGATTTGTTTTGTTTTTTGCCTGTATTCATTTTTTAGTTGTTGCTTGGAATGCCTTATTTGGGATGAAGGTGATTGTAAAGGTGCTTCCCTCTTCAGTGCCTGAAGGATTGTAGATAAGAAAGTGAACAGCAGTGAAACGAGACTCCACAGACATCAGTCAGACAAAAATCGGTTTCAGTTCGTCTTCCTGCCAGACGAGCTGTAGATGTTTTGAGCTTCGTTTGGGATGAAGGTGATTGTAAAGGTGCTTCCCTCTTCAGTGCCTGAAGGATTGTAGATAAGAAAGTGAACAGCAGTGAAACGAGACTCCACAGACATCAGTCAGACAAAAATCGGTTTCAGTTCGTCTTCCTGCCAGACGAGCTGTAGATGTTTTGAGCTTCGTCTTAACCAGCATCACTGACATTGATAAGTGTGAGCTCAGGTTGCCGTTGCAGTCAGGAGGACATGATCTTAATCATAACATTACATTATCTCTTTGAATTTGCATCGTGTGGAGTTGTTTGATCTCTTTTTGTTGTTGTTGTTGTGTTTGATTTAAATTAAGGTGTTGAAGATCTCCCATACCAACCCGGAAACCTCATGCAGATATTTTTGGAAACTTCTCTGTGTCCAAATAATTTAATCTTCCTCAAGTGTCTCGTTCTATCAGGAGGACACTTCAGTGTATCTTTAGCAGGGATAAACATGCTGGACAGTTTTTTCTAATATGACAACAAGAGGGAGTTCATGCCCCTTGTTGTTATTACCCACAGGTTTTGCTTAAAACGTCTATCAGTCATGTTTGACAGAAATGCAGAAGATGTGATTTGCATAAATAGCAGGTGATATTTAAAGATAGTGGAATAAAATGTATAATGGGGGCTGCATGAGCTCACTAAAAGCTGGTTCCATTTGTTTCTTCCTTTTTTTAAATCCAGTCTCTGCATTGAGTTACAAGTGCTGGCATAGATGTTAAAGTTCAGATAGGCTGTAGTCACACATCCTCTTGTAACGGGTCAGCGTCACCCTCTGACAATGTTCCAGGTTTTTTTTTTTTTTTTTTGTCCATTTTAATCACAAAGAGGGTTTATTTAAACTCAGAGTTCAGCAGAACTTTGCAGCACTTCTGTTTTGTATATTAACCTTGTGAAAATAAAAGCTTGCCCTCTGATGCATATGACTTCAGTGGTTTGTTTTTAAAGTGGTGACAGACTTCACCCGATCTTTAAATTGATGTGTGTGCTGAATATGTAACAGTGCTTTATGTCAGGTCAGATTTCAAGCAGCATTAGATGCTTCAAAGGTGCTGGTTAAAGATGAATCCACAACATCATAACAATAAAAAAAAAATTTATGGAGCATTGAAAAATGTCAAAGAAAAGACAAACATTATTTCAAAAAATAAAATAAGAATTTTGATTTGACAATGTAACAAGTTAATAAGTTGGTTTACTGATTTAATTATTAAACTAAATAAATATCCTACAATAAAAAGGTCACTATATAATTGTTTAATATCCCATAGCAAAAATAATTTTCAGAATAAAAGTAGTTCTTCACTTGTGAAATGCTTGATTCCTTTTCCAGTGACACTTGTTGTCCTCCATACATGGGATGGCCAGATTTTGGTCATATATCGTGATGGAAAGAGAGCAAATGTTGGTTCATCATTTTATTCTAACTTGACTTGCTTCAATGCATTGAGAGAAGGTTGGGGGAACTTTATTGCCATTAACAAACTGGTTTGAAAGTTTCTGAAGTGAACTTAAAGTGCAAACACGCTTAAATAATAACTTTCAAAAAAATATACACAGAACATCTTGAACATTAATCTTAAAAAAATGCATCTGTATGAAAGATTTATTTATAACGCGTTGAATAGCCTCATAAAATGTTGTAGAGGCATTAAGGTTTCAAATTCACTTATAATTACTCCAAAGAGAAGGAAGCTAGATAGAAATTGCTGCAATTATCAGAATCATTTTCTTTAAAAGGCGTCTTCAGTAATTATAGTAAGAGGTAGTAGTTTTTGTTTAAGTTATTATTTGGGGCTTTTTTGCCTTTATTTGATAGGACAACTGAAGAAACACAGGATACGTTTGGAGGCGAGATCAGGGGATGATATGCAAGAAAGGGGTTGCTCGGATTCAAAGCCACAGCCGCCGCAGTGAGGACAATAACCTCTGTACATGGGGCGCACGACATATCCACTAGGTTATTGGCGTTCCCAAGAGGTGGTCGTTTTAGTTGCACTCTTAAATCTACAGTACAGATACAGGACAATCACAGGATGATCATGAATCTGCTCTGGTTGTCATGCTGTTGCCAGGCCATCTAGCAGAGCATCTGTTTGTGTGGACTGTTGCTCTACTGCCATTTTAGAACAAGGTTTTTATGTCATCACAGCTGCTTATGATCCGACTGCAACCCAACACAAGAAGGATAATTACTGCTGCTCTCAACTAGATCATGAATATTCACACTGACGCAGTTTCTTCACAGGTTGCTGTGTTCTAAGGGTAAACAGCTGAAACTGCGGCATAAACAGAAAGGAGTACTGTAATTTCTCACTCAAGACTTTTCTCAGGAAATGAGAATGAGCAATTGAACTAAAACCACATTTTGCTTTCCTTTTAACTCTCTCTCATTCTCTCTGTCACTGTTTGTGAAATAAATCATGAGGTGAAATGTTGTACCTTGGGTCAGAAATTAGACAGCTGGGGGAGGGGAGCAGCACAGGCAGACAGGAGATGTGCGTGTCAGAAGCCCCATAACCACATAACCACAGGCTGTCCTTTCATTAAATGTCAAAGAGGGGGCTATAGTCATCACACCAGCAGGTTGTCTTGGCGTGCACTGAGTGTTTCCACTGTGGACTCCCCCGCCTTTTCTCTCTGTGGAAGCCTTGACTTAGCCATGCTGACAGAAGGAGGACACACAACTCATGGAAAAACAATTTATGATGAGCAGGCTATCCCGGGACTGACTTTAATACTTGGAGCAGAGTGGTGGGTGCCCTGGGTGACGTTCTCAACGGAAAATACTGACCCAGTGTCCTCACTGACCCTCTGTGGACTCAAAAGATGGATGTTATGAAATTGAAAATGGCTTTTAAATATTTAAGTGACTCCCAGTGTGTGTGGTACTATAAAAAGCGATGCTCACAGTGTTATGCTGACAAGAGTGGGAGTTCCCATTTAAAGCTACATTCCCCGAGATGGGCGGTAGTTTCAGGTTTCCCTGTTGTGTCTGCTGTTTTGTGTTCAACAAATAAGATAGAGCCTACTTGGCAGCAACTGTGAAACTGGAAACTGCTCAGTAAGCAAGGAGTGAAAGCATAATGGATCAGTGTCACTAGATACTACAGGGACCAGAGGACAGGAAACAGAAACGGTGAAACTCTGGATTGAGTGGGCTAAAGGGAGGAGCAACAACATTTCCATATTTGCAGAATACAATAGGAAAGGAAAGGAAACTGAGAATGAGAGATGAGTTTAAAGCAGGATTAAAATGAACACCAAGCAACCCTGTGTGTTCATGATGATAGCTGATACGCTTTGCTTTTTGCCGGATTATCTTTTTATTATCATCGCAATTCCGCCATTTTATTTGGAGGAGAGAAAATTAAAGCATGTCACCCTGTGTTTGTTATGGGTAATCCCTGTCTGCCCCCCCCTCTACCCCCGCCCCGGCGGATAGAAATCACGGTGTTCCCTCTCCCATGTGGCCGCCCCTGCTCATTGGCTGAGGAACGGGGAGAGTGTACAGTTTGTGCTGCTCCGATTGGATTAATGAAGAGTTACGTCAAGGTAGTCATAGTTACCCAGAAAGAGACAGGAAGTAGAGGGATTTTTCCTTTAGAAATAAGCGAATACAATGTATTATAAGGGGGGTTAACGGATTATTTCGACACACAATATTCTGTAATCAGCAATGTTGTTATTATGTAAAGTCAAGAAACTAGTAATTATTTGGTAGGCCTACTACCTGGCCTTAAATGTGCTGTTCGTGTAAAATATAAGATGTTCCGCTGCACATTGTGGGATAGAAATTGAATATCTAACATCATTTTAGTTTTTTTATGATTAATGCGATATAATAATAAATCCACCGTGAAATTTCACTTTATTTGACAAAGTAGGCTACAAGCGTCCATACTGCTTGACATTACATTATAGTGGTGGCAACTCCCATGTAATTTATACTTAATGACATTACTAAACACAGCTGTCACTGTATTAATTGTAGGGTTTTTTTGGAGGCACTCGGAGCCGGTGTCTCTAGATTCAACCCGGTTAATCCAGTTTTAATTAATTGACGAGAGCTTTTATTTTGGTAAAAAAAAAAAACGGAAGTTAATTTTTTAAAACAAGCCAACTTTACCGTAACCGCTGTGAGCTGCAAATACACGGCAGCTGAGCTAAGATGCTCGCAGTTTCCATCAACAGGGGACATAATAGAAAAGTAAGAGCAGAAGAGGCTTTTGTTTGTCGAGACGGACATTTTACCGTCGTGTAGAGCCCTTCAGGAAGCAGTCAGAGACCTGTGGGAGTGTGTTTTCTGTGTGCCGGGGCGGCTGCTGTTTCGCTCGGCTTGGACAGGACAGGGCGGGGTGATGTTTAGGTTCCGGTATAAAGGCAGCGAGAAAATGGGAATCAGACGAGATGTGGAGCCGGCTGTTGACGCTGTCGTTTTTTACCGGAGACTAGAATGAGAAATTTACCGTCCTGGTTTAACAGGGCGGTGGTGTAACCGTCTGGGGAGGCCGCTGTCGGGGAGATTGGTGTCTCTGCGGCGCCACTCCGCCCCCTGTCCGTCAGTAAAATGAGGACGCTATTTACATTCTGTTGTCTCTTCCTTATTACCCGCGGAGCGGACGAGGCGTGGGCGACCGGAAACCTGACAGTCGATAGCAGCAACGACAGCAACCTGACGGCCGACAGCAGCAGCAGGTATATCAGAATCGGGGACGGGTCTTCTCAGGAGTTTGAGTTTCCTGAAAACACCAACGGCGTGATTGTAATCTCCAGCTGGTACAGGAGCTCGGCTGCCAGCAGGAAGGGCCGTCAGAGCTGGAAGCAGACTGTGAAAGTCCGCTCCCTGGACCCCGAGGTCCTCTCCATCCTGAATGTGACGGACAGCGGCCACACAGGAACCGCCAGGAGCTACATTATAAGCATCCGCTCGGGTTTCCCAGGCAAAGCTCAGCTGCAGATCCAGCTGCTGGACCTGGACCAGGATTCGGTTCCGGTTCTGATTGAGGAGAGGACAGATTACTCCATCAGAGTGGCTCCTGGAAGTGATGATCCGGCCACCCGGCTGATCCAGTCGGGTGGCCTGTCCCATTTCTCTGAGAACCCCATTCTGTTTGCCTTGCTGCCCCTCATCTTTGTCAACAAGTGTGCCTTCGGGTGCAAGGTGGAGGTAGAGGTGCTGCGGGGTCTCCTCAGGAATCCTGTGCCCCTGCTCCTGGGGGTGCTGGGTCAGTTCCTGGTGATGCCTTTGTATGCCTACTGTATATCCCGGCTAGCTGTGCTGCCCAAAGCGCTCTCCCTGGGCCTGGTCATCACCTGCTCAGCCCCTGGGGGAGGTGGGGGCTACCTGTACAGCCTGCTGTTGGGTGGAGACGTCACCCTGGCCATCTCCATGACCCTGGTGTCCACAGTGGTGGCAGCAGCAGCTATGCCTTTGTCATCAGCTTTTTACGGGTGGCTACTGGGGGTTCATGCCGCCTTGCATGTTCCATTTGTGAAAATCCTGGGCACCCTCCTCTTTATTGCCATCCCCATCTCCCTGGGCATGCTGGTGAAGCTGCGCCTGCCCGCCCTCACACGGGTCCTGCTTAAACTCATACGGCCGTTTAGCCTGGTGCTCATCGTTGGTGGCATCTTTATGGCTTACCAAATGGGGTCATCCATCCTGGCCAATCTGCAGCCGCAGATTGTGGCAGTCGGGGTGACAGTGCCTTTGCTGGGGCTGGTGGTAGGAGCCGTCCTGGCCAAACTTGCGGGCCTGCCCCCACCTCAGAGGAAGACGGTCAGCATCGAGGTGGGGGGTCCAGAACAGTCTGTTGGCACTCGCTGTCATGCAGTTGTCCTTCCGCCGTGAGGAGGCTGACTTTGCGTCCCAGGCACCCTTCATTGTGGCCCTCAGCAGCACCTCAGAGATGCTACTCATCGTCCTGGGATACTATGCCCATCGGAAGTTGTGTGGGTCTGCCGTCCCCAGGAGTGACGACTGATTGTAGCCACAGTCCTTTTATCTGAACTATTTTTCAAAAATGAACCCCTCAAACCTGTGGAAGTTTTGGCTACACAATGCCAACAATCACCGATCCATTCCTCACTGTTGTGGTACGCAGGACAGTGAATGGACTTTTTTGTGCATTGTCTTTGTTTTTCGTATTTTTCATGAAAACCAAAGGCCTTTTTCCCCTCCGAGACCTTTTTGTGTTTATTTTACAGTATGTACTTTTTAAAATCAGAAAATACTGTGAGGTACGTAATGTAAATATTCCTAAAAAGAGAAATACCTATCAAAGAAAAGTTATTTTTGTACCAGATTACTTTTTGTAATCAAGCAAAGATTGATTTGCATCATGTTTACAAGAGGTCCATGTGTCTTAGCCTGGGGGAGAGCTTTGGGGGGGGGGGGTTAAGTATAAACGTTTGTAAATCAAACAGGAACATGATGGTGGTGTTTTTGAAAGTATTTGCTACTGATTGTGTTTTCTGGATCTGCGAATCCATGTACTTGAATATTGGAGAGGAGAGAAGAAGAAAACATAAATAAAAACATTGTTAAAGCAGACTTCAGTTTGGCAGCAATGTGTGTATAGAGAGACTTGAGCAACCGGTCTGTTGTGACAAGACTGTTGGCTGATGGTGTCAGATCACAAAACGTGTTGCTGTTAGCCTCTGCATGGTTGGTGTTTCACTTTAACACACTGGTGATTGAATCAATGCTTCAGGGTTATGCAAAGAAGGACAATGTCACACTGTGTGGTGAAATTCCCAGGAGGAACATTTTGCCTGTTCAAATTTCAGATATTTTTGGATTAACGCTACTGATAGCAGTTTGATGGGGTATAAAACGTGTAAATGTTTCAATTCAATCCTTCGAAATAGGATTTACTGCCTTAGAAGGTTGAAACAAAAGTGTAAAAGCTAAAAAAAGTAAAAATTCTTACCAGACAATGTGTTTCTAAAATAGTCCACAGAACATATTGTGTACAGTTTTTAATAGAAGGACTATTCATTTTGTTCTCAGGATTATACAGAATGCCAAATACATCTTTGTTTTGTGGTAAGCAACACAAAGACACTTTTGGTTTGTAGCAAAATGTCAATGGCAAGACATTTTATGGTGTTGTTTACTACATTTATTTGTGTCAGGCTCAAAAAAAACAATGTCCAAAAAGGTGAAATATGCTTCATGTCAGATTTAAATTTGATCTAAATTCCATACGTAGTCCGTGGCCAGTTGGTCGAAAAACCAAGTGCACTCCAGTACGGAAAACAAGGTTTACAAAGTGATTTGGCATACAAGCAAAAGTAACATTAAAATAAAGCAGAGACTCCCAAAAAGACAACACGACAACATAACAGGAAAAGTACCCAAAGAACAAAATATCTAAACACGTAACAAAAACATCGTAAGAACCCACCAGCATGAAATGAGATCAGGAGGAACAGATGACGTAAGCAACCAAGTGTTGAAAAAGCCCATGAATGACAAACAATGCAATAGGTCAGTATGTCCACACTGAACATGTATAACCTGCCTGCAGTTTAGTAACACATTGTTCCAGAGAACAAGGTCCAGCTTTTATCAGCTTCCTCTTGTTGAACAGTATGTGATGAAGTGAACTTTTGAACAGAAATCTGCTTTCACCCAGATGTTCACAATCAAGACAAAAAGCTAAACCTTTGCGCCCTTTAGAAACCACCCACAGCCTCAGTGGGAAAAAAAGGGAGGGGAGGTTTAATTTGCAGGTATTTTTACATAAAGAGTGCATTTCCTGTTTACGTGTCAAACTGCAGACCGCTCTGCTTCTATAAAAAACATTTTCTGAGGAAGTTCTTTTGTGGAGAACAAGGTGGTTGAGACGTGCAGTATTGGCTCAGCAGATTTGACTGAGCTCTCAGGAATGTAGCACAGCTGTAAAGCCTCCAGGCTGAGCTGGAGCTGCTGCTTCTCATTCAGCGCTGGTGTGGTGGACTCACTCAGGAGGAGAAGTCTAGCAGGTCTCCAGTTGTGTTTCACAATTGGAATAAGACATATAATCTCTCTGCTTCCATTCAATTCACCGTTTGGTCGGATAACTATGGATTTTAGTCACCAGGGACATGTATCAAGAATCAAGCCCTTTACTGACCTACATGAGTGTAACCGTAACTTAATACGTTAATGCAACAACTGGAAACCTAATACACAACATACACATACAAACACAAGATTTGTATATCTCAGAAATGTATTTCATGTTTTAAATCTTGACCTTCTTGTTTTGATTTAGAAACAAACAATGTACAAAGATCATAAAGATTATTATACAGATAAATTAATAAGGGGGGTGCTGGGAGTAGAAGGCTCATACAGTTTTTATACAGATTGAATTTAGTCGGGTTTATTCCACTCTCCTTAATTAAAAAACAGAACACAGATGTAGAAAATATAAAAGTATCAGTGAGTTGGTTGTAGAAGCCCTCACTGGTTTTGGGAAAACTACACACAAAAGACAGATTCAAAAATACATTAATAGGAATGTAAGTGTTTCATAATCATATTTATAAAGTAAATGTAGAATAGATACAAACATGAATAGTAGTAGGAGCAATTTCCACATTACAGTATTACAAACAATTTATAAATGTGTAATTTTTCCAGTTGAACAAGTAGAGGCCAAATGACAAAATGTGTTGGAAGATTTGTTTTTCACACACACACACACACACACACACACACACAGAGGAAATCCTGCTGAGGTCTAGAGCCAGTCATTCTTTAATCAAAAGTTTGCCCTGCAGTGACAGAGGCCGACTTATGATTCAGAGCTGCCACTGTAAGTGAACGTGTGTGTGTCTGTATGTACTCAGGTGTCACTGTGTGTTGTTCCTCAAGGGGGCTGGTGACAGGTGATGACGCTCTGCCTTGCTGGTAGTTTTGCACTCAGAGCTGTCTGCACATCAGCACTCCTGTTTATTCTACTATCCTGCACATTAGCGGCACAATAGGAGGAGCGGGCTCTTAAAAATTTATGAGGACACATTGCATTAACTTTTCATGAGTTCCTCTCACCGGCTCCCATGAGACGGTTTTCCTACTGCCTGCCGCAATGAAGCTGGGAAATCCAGAAAAGTCATGGGCGGAGAGAAGCACACTGGGTGTACACTGAGAGGAGTCATACAACACATCAAGGGCAAGATGGAGCCTGCTGCTGCACAGTCTAGGCCAATTCACAACTTCATTCTGGGAGTTCTTTCACAACCAAACAGAGTTAGGTGTGGAGATCACCATTCAATACCTCAACTGAGTCAAAATTCTTGCCCAATGATAGATCGATTCAAAATTAGCTTAGATATCTATAATCATAAGGTGATGCTATTTCACGATTGACATGTTAGTCACACTTTTCCTCTCATACTCCGCATCCTGGTAACTGTACATGTTATATATCTGCATTGGTCTTCATGTACTATTGCCCCACTGTACAAGAAAGAGTGACAAAGGAGAAGTTGAATCATAAAGAATTGCAGATAGATACCAGAAGTCGTACTTTTTATCGTCACAGTACTAAAATTCAAGGTACACAAACAATTATTTAAATAAAGTGCAGTCACCTGTAATTAATCTTGACTATTATTTAAAAATTTTGTTTAAAATTGTGGGCTATAATTTATGTAGCCCACAACAAGGGTTTGACAACGACTTTGGTGTGACAGATTTACACTTTACAAATACCTAAGGTCTTATCCTAAAACTGAGAAGAATGAATAAAGTCAAGTATAATGAACAGACAAAGCACTGCAAATGCTCCTATACTCTTCAGCTGTGTTTGAGAGAGTTAAGTAGGCCACAATACAAAAGGTTCAGGTCCAGTTTCAAAACCTGTTCCATAAAAATCCCTTGGCTGTATTTAAAGAGCACACAATGTTTTAAGCAAGTTCATGTGAAGCTCTCTGTACATACCAGAGCCACAAGGCCTACGTTTTGAGTCACAAAGTAAATTAAAAACAATCAAACATAAAAAAAATATTTGTGGGAATACACAAAAAATAAAAAACAAAATTCCAATATTCTAGTAGAGGTTCAAGACAGCTCTAAAATATTATTCAACAGTTTTAAACATTTGAACATTTCTGGGCAACATCTCTAAAGTGCAGTAGAAAGATTGAAAGGTATATACCCACATGTTATCTAACATCCTAAGAAATGGCACCTAATAAAACACATGTATATGTTTTATAATGTTGTGATTGTTCCCTTTTCCTAAAACACTTTGAATGACTGTATTTTTCTATGATTAACAACTTCATACTTTCAGTCAGTCGTTGCTTATGGTGAGTGCCTGAAGGCACATAGTCTGTCTGCTAACAAATGGAGACACTCTTTAACATGTATTGATCTGTTTGTCCCTGTTTGTCTGCGGTGATTGATCTGTCTTTTAATTCCTTGAATAATTTAGTGAGGATGAATTTGGTCCATAAACACATAAATGCTCATGATGATTTTGTGTTATGAGTTGTGGTTATCTAAAGTAAAACACACCATAACACCTGAAACTATCAAACAAACAGAAAAAAACAACAACAACAGAAACACTGACAAGGACGTGTAAACTCCGAGTTAGTTTCTTTTTGTCCCACATGCTTATGGTTTACTCTGATTGGCTGCAGCACGGACCAATGAGAGAGAAGAGCGCGACGGGGAAAAATGGAGGAGAAGTAGCTTGATTTAGCAGACCAAACACCAGACATCAAATACAATAAATATCCACCATACAGATAAACTTTAACAGCAGATTTATTCTTGCATCCAAAGTGAAATGTCACTGAGTGCAACATGTGACTCGGTCTCTCAGAAAAGGACTCTGTCGACTCTTCTGGGTGAGTTGACTCCTGAGTATGTTTTGTGTTGTTGTAAACAGTAAGACATTAAAAATACTTGTCAGTGAGTATCGTTCATGTCAGTATTGTATGCCCCCATTGTGTCGATATATCCAGACTGACTTCTGTAACGCCACTGATTTATTTTGAAGTGTATTAACCCTTTCTCTCGATGAACATGCACACATCTATTGACAGGTTAAAGGCTGAAGTTTGTAGCCATGACAACATGTGTTATACGAGCAGCGTATGTCTGTCTGTCTGTGAATGGCTCAGTGCGCGCGCGTGCGGTGTGTGTGTGTGTGTGTGTGTGGGGGAGCGAGTGAGGAGAGAGAGAGAACCCATGTTAGCATCTTTTTATCATGGTGTGAGTTAACAAACATTTACATAAAGTCAGCTAAGTTTGTGCTAGAACTTTATTCAAGTATCCAAATTACACTGTTGTTTGAAGAGGTACTGATGATATTATTAATTGAGCTTTTTCTATATGATTGGATAGTTGTGAGACTTGTATGTTTTTTTTTTCTTCCTGCTGTTGTGTTCTCAGCTGGTCGTGTTGTGAAGAGGCCAAAGCAGGAGGATGGTCAGCGGCTGCAGGAGGCAGCGATCCAGCTGTTGGAGCAGCAGCAGAGCCTCAGCTGTCTGCTCAGGGAGGTCGAGGTGAGTGAGGCCACTAAAAACAAATCAAACACACAGTATACCCAAATATTGCAACTATAATAATTATATATATATATATATATATATATATATATATTATATTATTATTATTTATCATCATTATATATATACTGTACATTCTATATATTTTATTATATTAGTCTATATTATATAACATTTCATTATATTACACTATATTGTTCATATTGCACTATATCATATTATATTATACTACATTATATTATATAACTGCACTCTGCATTACTGGGGTACAACACTGCCTCTCTTCTCTGCTGTATTTACATTACTTGCTGCTATTTTATCATACCAAGTCACTTTAATCATCACTTGTCACTTTATCTTGTCATTCTCTGCAAATACTGCCTCAATTCTCAATTCCCTGCATAGTTAACTTCATTATTCATTTTGTACTTGTATATACCCCCTGTTTTTATTTTTATTTATCTTATCTATTCTGTTTAATGTGTATTTTGAGCTTTCTTGTCTGTGCTGCTGCAACGCCCGAATTTCCCCTCTGGGGATCAATAAAGTTTTATCCTATCCTATCCTATCCTATAAATCAATACCTTAACATCGTTTATTATTCTTTCTATTCTGAGGAATGACAAAGTGGCTCATAACAACTGACAGTGTCATGAAACAAGATCACTTAAATACATTGCAGTTCCGAAAAGAGTTTCCCTTCAAGGAAATTGTAATGTCATTATACTGCTGTTGGTTGAATGATTCATGCTTGAGAAACTGTTGAATTTCTTTAGGATTTAAAAAAGCCTGCTCACATTCACATTCTGATTTCCTCAGGTGTTGAGAGCTCCTAGAAGCTATTTAGACTGATGGACTGTGATATGTTCAAATTTGATAATTCCTTATTTAGTTTTATGCTTTTAATTGATCTGTATTAATTGAACTTTTTGAACTTCTATTCTTGTAGAATCCAGATCTGTGCAACATTTTCCAATCACAGAATGGAAATCAGAGTCAGGCAGAGTCTGAAGGTGTCTTAGCTACTTTTCAAGGTTCACTGCTGGGTAAGCAACCAATCAGTTGAATTAATACAATCTCAGTATTTGTTGTGTTATGTAGACTCAGCAACATCTTTATATATGAGTGAGCTGCTGAAATGTATGATGAAAAACTGACTATGACCCAAAGTTGATCTCATAACCGCAGCATGTTTTGTGTTGTCTGTGGACAGTGTGTGAGCTGAGGCGCGAAGCCTCAAAGCTTGGTGTCCCGGTGGTGGGGCTTTCAGTCAAGATGGTGCTGAAGAGACTGAGGGAGATCACTGGTGTTGAAGAGCAGAAGGAGGAAGAAGACACAAGGAGATATCTGCTCTCTTACTCTCAACGAGTGAGTACCTGACAGGAGGATTTGAAGTCGTTGTGGCATAATCCAGGTCAAGAATAAAATCAATGCCCTCGTGTTAAAGTTTAAAGAACTCCCAAAATGAAGTTGTTGTTAAATCTGGACCCTCAGAACGTTTACCTAACGCCTCATCAACATTGTTTTTTGGTAGAGAAGTGAATCCAGCTGTGATCGATATAAACACACATCTAAATATAAATGCAGAATATTGTAGGCATTCAAGACTTTTATGTGCCAAATATGTCCTGGATTCTGTTTGTGTGCATGGTACCACACATCATGTTTAAGCAGGCCAAGGCATTATGCAGAAAAACAGTCCCATGTGGAGTGGAAAAGAGGTTGAATGCATTAGCCAAATGCAAACTTGTATCACCTGTTGTTGTTTTAATGAAAATGTACCTTTTTTTTTTTCTTAATCCACATAAAGTGATATCTTCAGATGATTTCAGACAACAATCCAACCACAGAACTCTATTCATAGCTTTCACGTGACGTAACACAGTTATGGAACCGCCCACTTGGTGGATAAGAAAAGCATCGCCCTGTATAGATGGAAAATGTACGAGCCCGTGCTGGAGATCCAAATAGTTTCCTATGGGAGCCGGCTTTGTTCTACGCTCTTTTTGCCCTCCAGGCCTCTGCGCGGGTCATGTGACTGAAAGCTATGAATTGTCAGTCAGACTGTAAACATTGACCAGAGGACAAAAGAGGAGGTCTTGGCCTGGATATCTTGTATTGGTTATCTGATTATTCACTGGCTACATCGATGCCCCAAAATGTTAAGTACCGGCCTGTGAGGCTAAAGAGCCGTTAGACGATGGCTTTAGGGGTTCTGACACTGGTTCAGTTGTCAACTGGGACTATACACACAAGGTTGCTGACATAAAACATGTATATATATATATATATATATATATACACACACACACACACACACACACACACACACACACACACAGTATTTTGTTTTTCATTGCATACTGCTGATACTTATAGCCAGAAAAAAAATCCCAAGGTTTTGGTTTTGGTGAGACCGATCCAGAGAGGAGAAAACGGACTAATAATAAAAATGCTTCTGCTACTTTAATGACTTTAATGGCTCATCCCATCTTTATGTCTGGACTTATTCAAATATTCTCTAGTTATTTCTTAATCTTTATTTACCACTTTTCTAGATAAATGTTAAACACAAACTATACACTTTTGCTTCTTAATGCCAATCAGCATGTGATAGATATCCGGCACTCATCTTCAAATGAATGTGGCAAATTGATTTTTAAAGTCTTTTTTCAAAGGTCAGCTTCACCTTTGAAACTGACCATTGTCTATATGTTGGTGATCTGTATGTTTATCTCTGTCATCACGGTGTTGTATGCACAGTCCCATCACATTTCTACTCCCTGTTATACCAGTTCTGAATGTCTAAAGTTGTTGCTGCCTCACATCTGTGCTGCAGATCTGTTGGCAGATTGTTCCCTCTGTGGTTGAACATTGTTGAACTGCAGTTACACCACAGCAGTCACAGCCCAGAGGTTGTCTTTCATTACTGCATGATTCCTTGTTCAGATTACACACACAGCATGTTAAATATAAAAGTGTCATTCCTGTCCTGCACAGGCCCAGATGTGTGTCCTGCTGGAGACCTGCAGAGAACTGCTGTCACAGGGAGCCCTCTGCCCCAAACTCCTGTGGCAGGAGTACAGAAGAGAAGAGGTGTGTGTGAGGCTTAAAAAAAAACACATTTACTTCTTACATTGTGTGGTTCATACAGGTTCCTTTAAACACATTTGTTTTAGAGTTTGAAGCCAATGAGTCAAAGTTGAAACACAGTGAAAGAGTTCACTCACTGTATCTATTCTTTTCATCTGACCCAGACTAACATTGTAGACAAAGCCAGCTTGATGACCTGTTATAGCAAATGAAATATTAAAGTCAGTGTTCTTACAGAGGCTACCCAACCTGGAGATGGTGTACCAACTTCATGTTTACAGCATCATTACTCTGAATTACATCTTACAGAGGTAAGAAATAGTCAAGGATTGATATCATGCTGCTGATGGTTACATTTGATAATTAGACATTGAAGTAAATTCAGATTAAAGAAAAAAAATCACTACTTTGGAATGACTGTCATTTCTTCGAACACTATAGAAGCTGAGTTTAATTTCAATGGAAAATGAATACATTGGTTAGACATTGAACTCGGCTTGAACCCTCTGTGTTGAATCTTAAATAATCTTATGTTTAAAGCATTGGATTTTTATTTTTTGGAAACTTTACTTTTCAGAAATTTAAAATCAATGTTTAGAGTTTACAAATTAGATACTTCAAGTGTATCCAATTTAAAATCTGATATTATTAGGTTGCTAATTTATGTCTAGATTTTGATTTTCACTGTTCAAGTATAAGCTCAAGTATTTTGAGTATTTTCTCAAACTGTATGTGTGACTCTGTTAAAGAGATCTTGATTGATCTAACTTTAGATTACTTTCAGTTTATAATGTTTCACTAATACAACAACATTTAAAACTTTGTTAAATTCTCTCCAAAAGACTCCTAACACACACTTGACTGTCAGTTTTTGTTGAATAAGCGCCCCTCTGTGGACGTTTTTAGAGCTGTTTTGGAGTTAAACTCTGAGTCCAGTTTACAGAGGGACTTAAATATCAGCTATTTCTGCCCTGTTCTTGTTGTTTTCCTTCAGTGATGACGCCGTGAGACTCTGGTTGGGCTCTCAGTTGAAGTCTCTGTGCAGCTGCAGACTTTCACATGGAGAGGAGGAAGAGACCAGAGAGGTTCAACAGAAGGTTTTAATGAGTAAGGATACAGATCCGCTGTATGGGTCCATGATACTTAAAGCTGTTTATCAGATACGCCCAACTCTCGAATGCTGCTTCAGGTTTGGGATGCTAAACAGGAGTAGAATAAACAGCGTCCTTCTCCAATTGAGCCATACTTTAAAAAAAAAAAAGACTGATCTGATTCTGTAAGACTTGCTAAATTCATCTCAGAACTTTGTTGTCTCACAGAAGTGACTTTTTTTTGCAGCTGAGGTGACTAACTAGTTAATTTACGCTCTTTCTTACGTATTACACTAACACATTGGTACCTCTGCAGAGTAATAATTTCATGCCGCTTCTATCAATAAAAGGATAAAACTAATCAAAGATCTGTGTTACAGCTTTGCTTGGAGTTTTGGTGGGAATGGGCTTCGAGCAGAACCCTGATCCAGCGCCAGCAGAGCGGAGGACGTCCCTGCTCTGCTGCTCCACGTTGGACGACATGCTCTTCTGTGAGTCTATGTGGCTTTGTTCCACTTCCCCTGCTCTGTGATTATCAAATATTTAGTACAGCACTTTCTTTCACACCTCTGGAACTTGAAAGCTGTTTTTTACCTAAGCATTATTTAAGAACTTTCCTTTTTTATCTTTCTCTTTAACATTTCATTGTTGTTGTGTCTTTCTTCTGCAGGGCTGCTTGATGCTGTGGAGGAGGGTTTAGACCCTCAGGCTGCAGGACCAGGACCAGGACCTGAGCTATGGTACTTTGAGATTTAAAAAACTTCAGTGTTGTTGAGATTAAAGCTTCTGTCTGAATAAGGAGCCAAGAGTTATGTAGACAGACAACATGAAAAGGAACATAGATGTATGCAGAGCCATTTGCAGTAATACAGTTGCAGGAAAAGGTATGTGAACCCTTTGGAATTTCCTAGTTTTCTGATTAAATTGGTCATAAAATGTGTTCTGATCCAATCAATGAGACAAGATTGGAGGTGTAGGTTAAAGCTGCCCTGCCCTATAAAAAAGACACTCCAGCTTTGAGTTTGCTATTCTCAAGAAGCATTGCCTGATGTGAACCATGCCTCGCACAGAAGAGCGCTCAGAAGACCTACGATTAAGAATTGTTGGACTTGCATAAAGCTGGAAAGGGTTACAAAATTATCTCCAAAAGCCTCGATGTTCATCAGTCCACTGTAAGACAAATTGTATATAAATGGATGAAGTTCAGCACTGTTGCTACTCTCCCTAGAAGTGGCCGTCCTGTAAAGATGACTGCAAGAGCACAGCGCAGAATGCTCAATGAGGTGAAGAAGAATCCTAGAGTGTCAGCTAAAGACTTACACAAATCTCTGGCACATGCTAACATCTTTGTTGATGAATCTACGATACGTAAAACACTAAACAAGAATGGAGTTCATGGGAGGACACCACAGAGAAAGCCACTGCTGTCCAAGAAAAACATTGCTGCACGTTTGATGTTTGCAGAAGAGGACCTGGATTTTCCACAGCACTACTGGCAAAACATCCTGTGGACAGATGAAACCAACGTTAAGTTGTTTGGAAGGAACACACAAACACCATGTGTGGAGAAAAAAAGGCACAGCACACCAACATCAAAACCTCATCCCAACTGTGAAGTATGGTGGAGGGGGTGTCATGGTTTGGGGCTGCTTTGCTGCATCAGGGCCTGGACAGATCGCTATCATCGACGGAAAAATGAATTCCCAAGTTTATGAAGACATTTTGCAGGAAAACTTAAGGCCATCTGTTCACCAATTGAAGCTCAACAGAAGATGGGTGATGCAACAGGACAACGACCCAAAGCACAGAAGTAAATCAACAACAGAAGAAAATACAAGAGAGCGAGTCACACCAGACATCCCAAGAATGTTGCTGAACTGAAAAGGTTTTGTAAAGAGGAACGGTCCAAAATTCCTCCTGACCGTTGTGCAGGTCTGATCTGCAACTATAGGAAACGTTTGGTTGAGGTTATTGCTGCCAAAGGAGGGTCAACCAGTTATTAAATCCAAGAGGTTCACATACTTTTTCCACCCTGCACTGTGAATGTTTACATGTTGTGTTCCATAAAAACATGAAAACATATAATTGTTTGTGTGGTATTAGTTTAAGCAGACTGTGTTTGTCTATTGTTGAGACTTAGATGAACATCAGAACACATTTTATGGCCAATTTATGCAGAAAACTAGGAAATTCCAAAGGGTTCACATACTTTTTCCTGCAACTGTATATAAAGTTATAATTACAGCCATGACAGCAACTTATCTATCAACTTAACGGAAAGAAAAGCTGGTCAACAGCATAAAAGTTTTTTGTGTTGTTTCTACTAAGTAATATTTATACCAAAGTTTCTCATGAAGGTTTGAACATTTCTTTATTCTGGGTCATGTGTTTAAAATGGAGAAAGTGTTTGATACAGGCTGTCTCTGTTTCTTTCTTTCTCTTCCTGGGTTTTCTGCAGGATTAAGATCTTTGATGCTTCGTTGTGTGGAGTGTCGGCTTCAGCAGACGCCCTGCAGCGTTTCTTCACACACTCCCTTACACACTCTCTGACTTACAAGCCTCGACTTACAGGTAGGCACAAGTTACAGATTGTTTTAAAGCTTTGACAAAGATTTACCTTGAAATACACGTCAGCAACACTCATCAGGTACAAATTTAGAGAAAGTCAGACAATAGAAAACCTTGAAACAAGTGTTGTGATGTAAAATACATGCTGCCTTCATTTTAATATTATTAATCATTTAAAAAAAACCTGAATGTAAAATCTCTACTTCGTGTCCTCAGTTTCAGATGCCATCACTCTGCAGAACAAGTGGATATTTGCAAAATCCAGCCGCTTGTTGACGTCTCTTTTTCGTAAGGTACATTTGTTGTTACACCAAGAAATCCACAAAGACAATGCTTTAAGGAGTTTAGTGTCCTGATCTCGCTGCAGTTTGCACCTTTCTCCACAGAATATAAACTAAAGGGAAAAGCATGAGACTGACTAATGAGGGGTTGTTTCTTCTTGTTCAAGATGGATCCAGAGCAGTCAAAACTAGGGCTGGGCGATATGACATTAAAATGTTATCACAAAGGACATTTTCACATCAGTCGATATCAATAATTGTCATGATAAATTTCAATTCATGTTTCTTTCACATTTATAAAGGTAGATTGTTTGCTCCTGAGTGAAAGTTGAAGAAACCTGATTATTAATTGTGCTTTAACCATTCTTTAACTGATGAAGGCCCTCTTTTCTAGAAGAACAGTTTGACTTCAGACGTTAGCTGTAATTTCGTGTTTCCGTTTACCACAATACTGCGCAGTTAGTAATTTGTTAGGAACCTGAATTATTTTTTTAACCTTATTTTTCATTGATTTTTAAAGAGAAAACAACAAAAGCTCAGTGCACTACTTGACAAAGTATTTGCAGGAATCTCACTCAGCATTTTTAAAGAGCACAGTACACACAGGATTAACAGTGTTGTTAATCCTTAAACCCTTTGAGTTTTATTTATGCCAAGCTTCAAGGATTCAGATGTTTCTCCCATTTTCTTTAAAAAAGTTGAATTCGTCCTCAAATACAGAATCTTAACTTTTCTAAAGTGACAACATCTGATAGCAGAGATGTCTACAGTTGAAAAGAAGTGGATTCTTCCCAAATCCACTTTATCATTATAGCCTTCTTAATAAACATACAGAGATATTTTTAAATATAATTTTTGTTGCTGTTTTTTTCCATTAAAGCTGGCTGTGATATTCAACATGGAGCAGCTGCTGAGTCACCTGCAACACGTTTTGGAAACCCATGAGGTCAACTGGAAACATGTCCTGTGCTTCGTCTCCACTCTGCTGGTTTATAACCCCTGTGCCCAGTCCAGCCTGAGAGGTACATGCTCATAGTTGATTACATGAAAACTCCCAAGTGCCAGGATATGACCTAATCTGATGTAGGCAAAGAAAATTTAAAAGTACTGTTCTTTATTTTTTTTTCTTTTTTTTTCTGAACCAGCATAAAAACTTACATTTTTACACGTGTGTTTAATTACAATGTTACATTAGAAATAGATCAGAAGATAAACTCAGTTTTTATCAATTTTCTTTTTTTTTTAAACAAATGAAAACACACAAAAAAATCAATGTGAATGAAAAAAATATCAGATTCTCTGAGTAGTTTGTAAAAGAGTATTGAACATGGATTCTATTCTAACAGGCTTTTCATATCTGTTTCTGTCAGATCTGCTTTCCAGACTACTGACTAAGGCATTCGAAGGGTACGACTTGGAAAACATGATAACTGCCTTCCTATTGGCTCGACAGGGAGCGCTGGAGGGACCCGGCATATTCCCCTCGTACAACGACTGGTTCAAGGTTTCACAAAATCTTTTTGACATCAGCTCAGTGTTTACTGATATCATCTGATCATTGCTGCTTATATTAGAGTTAAAGTGTTATGTAATGTTTAAACCTGAGCCTTATCTTTACAGATTTAATTATCTAGCTGTCACAATGCTCTATATGCTGTCTCAACCTAACTTTGAATAACGCTTATCCTTCATAAAATCAGTAAGGATGAGTTTACAAAACATTCGTCCGTACTGTGTGTGTGCCGATCGAGGCATGAGCCAATCATACCACTATCATTTTTTTCCACCAAACTGTAAACATGTAAATTTCTGCTGGCGTCTTTGAATGAGGTGTGTATGTGACTTCTGGTCCTTCTGCAGCCAGCCTCAAGTGGACACTCAACCAACTACAGGATTTTGCACTTCTGCATTGGCTTTAGTTTTCAACAGAGGAGTTTGCCGCTTGCTCTTTACACATAAAGATTCACACACACTGTGTGTCTATGTATTAAGCTTTGTATGTCCACTCAGTACCTTTTTTTGGGAACATGAGCTGATACGTTTGAGAACCTCTGCCTTAGTTCATTGTTTTCATAATAGCATGCTATCTTTCTACGTTTTCAGATGTCATTTGGTGGAGGCAGCAGCTTCCATGCAACCAGCAAGAAATCTCTGGTGTTTCTGCTGAAGTTCCTCTCAGACTTGGTGCCCTTTGAGCCCCCACAATACCTCAAGGTGACATCCTGCATGTGTGTCTGACTCTGAAACATGATACGTGATAGATGGGCCTTTGATAGTCAGGATGGTTGAATGGAAGCGTGTAGAAGAAATACTGACTGTTTGAGAGGGTGAAATGTTGAGTGATGTAGATGATAGATAACTATAGAGCAAGCTGAAATAAGGAATGAGAAATACAGCTGTGATTTTTACCACCTTTTCATCACACACACTTGCAGGTTCACATCCTGCACCCTCCATATGTACCCGTGAAACACCGCACTCTCCTGATGGAATATATCTCTCTGGCAAAGACGAGACTCGCTGATCTCAAGGTAGGAGCAGGGGTGAAAACTAAAGTTCCTACATTAAGTAATACACTCTCAATCCCTCATTACTGCATTATCAAACATTATTGTTTTTTATTTTGAAACACTTAACCAGTGACTATCTTGTGTCCGTGCAGGAATCAGTGGAGGACATGGGTTTATATGAGGATATTTCTGGTGCAGGAGGGGCATCAGTGCAGGTAAGACTGACACCTAGTGGTTTGTTTGTGTAATGATTCCTGTTGGTGGATTTTTAATGCTTCAATTTTAACAATTACAATTAATGCCAGACCTCAGGCAGAATATTTTGACGAGGCTCTGTGAATCACTAGGCTTAGGAAAGGGGGAAAGGCAATTAAACATTGTTATGTTCTAGAGACATTTGATTTCCTGAGGGGCATTATGTTAAATCCCTGCCAATGTAAGAATGTGGTTGAACCTGCAAAGCCAGTTACCCCATAAAAGTTATCTGCACCTCAAGAGGATCAGCACACCAGCCTTTCTTATATGCAGTTTCAACATGTTAACCTTAACTTGTGAAACTGTTGTAAGTTGTCCCTCCCGAGAGGTTAGAGAGGTCTTTTTGTGGGTCTGAGGTGAGGTCCTGACAAACATGTTGTGTGCAGGGAATAATATCCTCCTAAAACTGTTCAGCTGCCGGTCAGCTTTAAAGGAGGGTTACAAGTTCCTAAGGCGTCAGTAACCCTAAAAACCAAGTACAGGGATCAACTTAGTCCATACATAATGACTAACTGTTAGAGCGGAGGAATAAGTCTCCTGCAGGTTCCCTGAATAAAGTAAACGTGTTAGTTTGTGTGTGCGTGAGTTGGAAAGAAGAGAGAGAAAACCTTTTTCCCTAATTTGAGTGGTCAAGTCTCTGGTCGATTCTGGATCCTCTCCCAGTCTCACATCACTCTTCAACTTGAAAGAATTGCCTTGATGGCTGAAAGAAGAATTAGAGACTTTGACCCTGCTGTTTAGTCCATGTTCAGTCTCTTGAGCAGTTGTTCACCACTAATAGTGCAGCTAAACACTTAACACCTGAAGAAAACTGCTTTAGCCAAGCTTCTCCAAAGCTTGCCCTAACTTGATAATAAGAAAAGAACAACTTATCAAACAAACTGACTCTCCTCTGTGTACTCTCCATCATAAAAGTGTCCTCTTGTCTTCACTATGAACAGCGATTCGTATGTTCCCTCATGATTTTATTTTCTAGTATTTGTCGTCTCTTCTATGAAACTGCCAAACTGAAATAGCTGATGAGATACTGTGCGCTGCATGAATAGTTAAACTTAACTGTTTTAAAGTTTAAAAACAGTGTAGTGTGTGTGTGCTGTTTCAGTGTCAGGCCACCCAGGATGTGGAGAAGGCTGTTTCTCTGTTTGAGAGTACAGGAAAAATCTCAGCCACGGTTATGGAGGCCAGGTATTCAGCTGCATTATCATCTCATTTACTGCAGCACATCCACATATCACAGGTAACTGAGCTGAACAAACAAGGACAGATTAATGACACCTCTGTCCTTTCAGTATTTTCCGCAGGCCATATTTCCTGACACGCTTCCTCTCTGCATTGCTGACACCACGAATAGTGAGCGACTTCACTTTTCTAGTTTTAATTATTTCATTCAAAAAGGCTGGCAATTTGTCAGATATCCTCATCCCAAATGCACCTTTCTTTCACTTTCAGCTTCCTGTGAAGGCGGATGCTCGGATGAGTTTCATAGAAGCTCTGAAAAAGTGAGATTTTGTTATCATGACTCTCAACATCTTATTTATTTCATTATTTATTATTATTTATAGATGACGGTTTCATATGATTTTATCTTGTCATGTAATCCTATGAATTCTTTTTAAAATTTAAGTTCTGCTGCTTTGTTAGCATTTGTGGGTCTGGTGTAACAGAGAGCTAATTTTATACTTTGAAATGAGCTATTATTCATTTTGTTTTTTCTGTTTGTTTTGTCTGTATTCAGAGCAGATAAGATCCCTGCAGCTCAGTATTTATCCTATGTGGATGCCTGTCAGAAAGAGAGACAGACAGATAGTGAGTATTTCCTATAATTAAACAAGATTACCATCATTTATTTAATTATGTTTGTGGTTTTTTAAGAACATACATTTGGATTCCTTTAATGATGTAACTGACATGGCATGCCAAACAATGCATTTTAAAACGGAAGAGAAATATCCCAGAGTAGCACAGCATGCTAACATTTTGTAAGGCTGCAGTGAGAGGAAGTAAAATCTAATTTTTGGGGTGAGCTGCACAAACAGCCACATTCTTCACCCTGACTATTATCTGGAATTTTACCTGCCAGCCCCCGCACAAACTTTCCACATGAAGTCAGGGTGAGACGATGACTGAATGCAGCCGATTATTTTCAGGAAAACTCTGTGCGAGAGAGTGAGCGGGGATGATGAAGTTTATATCTTATTACTGGTGCTGGACTGGTTGATCTCAATGCATGTAATGAAACTGCTTCATTTCTTTTTCTACTCACCAGAATGTTCTTCTCTGCTCTTGTATACGGTCCAGTTACACATAGCATCAATATCAAAGCAAAAGCTGTCTTCATAGAATCAGACTCTGTTGCTCGGCCGTGTCCTTCTTGTGTTCAGACATGTGTTTGTTTCAGGAAGTGCAGTGTGTTTGGACACTAATGACGATCCTCTGGAGGTCCTAAAGAGTCAGCTGCACGACTTCACACAGCTGGTTGTTGAGGGAAATGATGGAGGTAGGTATTTAAGGACAGAAGAAATAATACCTCACACAAACACACATTGATGTTTCATATGTTGTAGTAAGTGTAGTGAATTCATGATTTGATGTTGATCAGCAGACTTTCTCTACCAAAATAGGAATGGATCACATACAGTGTGTGTTTGTTTGTTCTTCAGCGGTATTCCTGTATTCCTTAACATCTGTATGCAAAGAACTCTTTTTGGATCATCAAAATGCAACATTAAAGGAAACAGTCACAATTTTTAAGTTTCTCACAGTCTGCCACACATTTCCTGTTTTCTCATGTACTGTTAGAGATGTCGGCACAGCTATCCAGGATCTTGCACACACTGAGCGTCATCTTTCCTGGCCGTCCCAACGACTCTACTGGACAAAGAGTCATCGACCTTCACATCAACACTCCTCCGTCTCCCGAGCTCCATGTCAAAGTATGCACTAAATGATTTTACTGTCTTCTCTCTAAACATATTATTGTATTGCCTGTTATGCTATTTCAGACGGCTGTAAGATCGTTAGTGATAATGTGCATTCCTTATGAGTCTATTCTTTGTATCCTTAGGTCGTCAATATGATCCTGAGAAACTTTTGCCAATGCATGTTAGGGTCTTGCAGAGGAAACCCTCCTAATAAGTAAGTAATGCAGCGTTTTCTTAAGCCTTACAGATAATGAGTGAGGAAGAGTAAAAACAACAACTCCCAAATAAATGAGCTCCTAACTGGAGAAGCAGGCTGGAATACTGACATGGAGGTAAAACTATGAACAACTACAAACGGTTTTGAAGCAAAACCAAAATCATTTCAAGTTTATGTGTTATTTTGAATATTTTACTGTTGACATATTTATTAGATAGGCTCTAACTGGCACTATTTTTCACTATAACTTCTCTCTTATTCATCTGTTGTAGGTTTGTAGGCCATGATATCATTCCTATTTAAAACATCAACATTCTCGCCTTTAAGCTAACTTCCACCCAAAAGTCTGAGGCTGACAGATCCCGTCAGTCATGATGTCACCTGTGCCTCGGTGTTGATACTTTTTGTCTCTGCAGACAGAGCCTGTGGGCCTCCAGGTTTGTTGGCATGCTGCTGGGTAGCACACAGTTCCTGTCCAGCCTCTTACACAGACTCTGGGACTTATTTCATAACCAGGTACTTAAAGGAACACCTTTCTGTATATCAAGTCTTTCCATATGTATCTGAAATCTGCAATGGATTTTCATCAGATAAAGTTAAAATGAGTTCCTCCATTGATTGCTCCACATCACTCCGATGGTTTAACTCTTCTGTGCAAAAGGGGTCATCGCTGAGTGCAGCACACGTACTCGGTGTAGCAGCATTAGTGGTCCACCTGCACGCCTCCATTCCTCAAAGTCCTCTGGTTCAGCTGGTCCCACACATCCTGCCTAGGCCCGTGCCTGTTGGAGAAGCTCTGAGCCTCGCGCTGGTTTGCAGCACACACACCAACATGCTTTTCTGTGTCAGGTGAGGTTAGAGACAAATCATTGTAGACTTGTTTTAGAAAATGTCTCTGTGACCAACATGTTATGATGCGATTGACTCAAAGCCCTTGTGTTGGCTTCAGGCCTGGCTGCTACGTGTCCTCACAGTCTTCTTGTTGGTGTCCAGGTTGTGTGTGTCAGCTGTGTGTTACGGGATCTGCAGAGGAGACACACTGCCTCAGCAACAACAACAGGACTACATCATCAACAGCTTTTATAAGAAGGTATGTTATTATGATTGATAATATATAACTTGGAGTTTAAGGGCAGAATGTGCAACATTTAACACATAAATACAATAGAAATCAAGTACATCCTGTAAATGTCTCTCTGAGTCATGACTGTCTACAATGAGTGTTGTAGACCTACAACGATACTGATTTTAGAGGGGGAGAAACACAGATCTCTGTTATGCAGCCAGTTAAAGAAATATGTGACCACACAGAATGGAAATAGATAACTCTTCACCAATATGACCCAGAAGGCCATTTTCTTTAACAGATAACATCTTTTTTTAAATATGTAACATAATTTTGTACATTGTCAACCATGTACGCTCTGATAAAAAAAAACCAGAACATACAACATATAAACGTAATGTCAATATGTTACTTAAACTCAACATGTACACTTACTGTGTTTGTTTAGCTTCTGTACCTCATCCCAAGACTGTTGCCTGAAGCCAGAGGAACTACCGTCACTGCTGGAGGTCCAGTTAGTGAACACCAGGAGGAGAACTTGACCGGTCTGTGGAGCAGCGCCACAGACACCAACAGCAACTGGAGGAAGACCGCCTGGCACCTGTGGAGGCACCCTGCTTTTTGTCAGCTACAACATAAACATCATTATCAGGTAAAGTGGTTCCTGTTTAATTAAGAGCAAATTATAATGTAGTAAGCATCAGAAGCAAATGAGAGGCTTTGAAATATTCACTTTGATGTTAAATTTAACTGATGGATTGATTGTTTGTAAAGTTATTGTTCTCAGAATGGCTGGCCAATGAGCTCCATGTACAGAGAAGTAAAGACGCCCTGTCAGATCCCGAACGGTGAGGCAGAAAACAGTGGCACACTTTCACATGTGCCATTACACACACAGCATACGAAATGTTTATTCACACGGTAACTTTGTGTGTTTGTGTGAATAAAGTCAGGAGTACCAGCAGTGGGCCTGCTTGGAGCACTACCTGCCTCTTTCAGTGGAGCAGGGAGGCTGTGGAGGAGACATGAAGAACCTGTGCACTCATCTGCTTAGTGCTATCATGGACCAGCAGCACTGGTGTGTGTGCATGTTCTTAAAAAAAAGTTGTGTTTGTTATATTTTGTGTTGTAAATGCATGTTGGCTCAAAAATGCCTTCACATTTTTTAGATGTTCTTCTTTCGTGTAGCTGAAGGGTACAGACTGGTTTCATTCAGATGTTGTCCTTTTTTGGGTGGGGGGGTGTAATTTTTAGGGTCTATTTGACAGGAACCTCCAAAAGGACATGATAGTCAAGTTCATGTGTGGAAGTTGGCATGTATGACACCTGGAGCATATGTCGCTCACTGCGTTTAAAAAGTGCCTCTTCATCAGGTATTTAAGGCCCTTTTGGGGTAATGCATGTTAAAGTGCTCGACCGTCTCAGAAAGGGAACTATTTTAACATAAAGTGTGACATGGCTCCCTTAATTCCATTAGCTTTCTTTTGCATTATTATTAGATATACATGCTACTCGTGTGTTCTGCATGGTTTCAATGACCGTTTTGTGTCTGGTGACTTTTAGCTATTGATGTAACAGCTGCTCTTGATTAAAAAAAAAAAAAAAAAAGCATCTTTCTCTATTCCTGATAGAATATTTTCAGGCGATTCCACTCTGACCACAGTAATGCAGCCTGGTTGAAAACATTCATATGAAAAGCGACTCATGAGCAGCAGATCTAAGATGATTGGGCCTCCTTACCAACCTCCTTACCAACATCTAAGTTTTTCTTGAATTTGTTTTCTCAAGAAGTTCCTGAAAATGAAGCATAAAGAATTTAAATTAAGGAAGAATGATCATTTTGCACTCAGTACTCAAACATGTGTATGTTCTCAGGTGTTTGTAGATTTTGAATTGAGCTAAAAAGAACAAAATCTCGGATAAGAAAACTTTGGGTGCATGTCTTCTTGAACTCTGCGTCATTTAGTTTTGAGATTCATTTTCTTCCTAAAAACGTTAAGTGAATGAGACCATCGACCCCCCTCATGTGTGTGCAGAGTCATGGTCTACACGCCTAGTGCTCTTGTCTTAAAAATTCAGCAGTCCATCATACCCACTTTAATTTTACATTTCGGAAAAATGTAACATATCCATGAATTTTATGTCGACAGCAATGAGAGCCTCGAAAAACTTCATCACAGAGTGTCAGAAACCGGAACCTGTCTGCCAGACATCCTGTCTAGATTACAGGTGTGTCTACTGTGTATGTGTGTGTGTGTGTGTCACATCAGTTCAGCTTACACAAGTAAAAACTGTTGATTACCGTCATGTTTTGGTCTCCAACCTGTGTATCTTGTGTGAGTGTGTAGGAGCTTGTCTATGAGATGGAAGTGACCGACCTCTCTAGAAGCCGTCGAGGAAGAGCTGATGTGTGTGACTCCCTTTTTGAGTTGGTGAATCAGAGATGTTCTCCTCCGGGGACCTCAGCTTCTCCCAGCGTGAGCACCGAGCTCAACCTGCAACACACACTGAACACATGGAACAGGTACACACACACACACACACACACACACACACACGACTTGAATGTATGGTCACTAAAGATAATGTCTGCGTGTTGCAGAGTGCTGCTGGCTCTCCCAGCTGTGTTGATCGTTCATATAAAGACTGAAGGAGGGAGGACAGTTCTGGACTGCAACAAGCTGATTGAACATGTCAACCAGCATCAGGTCATCTGTTGAAATGTTGTATCAATGTTTACCAAATCTGATAAGTTGTGCAGTGATTGTGTATGAGAAGTGTCCGCTTAAGTCAAATGCATATTCCTCCCAACCTTATTTCTCTGCTTTCCTCTCCACTTCATGTAACAGAGGCAGGCGTGTTCTCCAGCTGGTTTGCTGTCTTTCCATCTGACAGCACACCTCCTGAAAGTGAGGACCGCTTTGTTTAAACACAGAAAAAGACTCAAAACAAAATGCGCCTCAGTATGTGTACGAGTTCTGGGTAAAAAATAAACAAGTGATGGAGCTGTCTTTGTTTTCTCTGCAGGGTGTGTTATGTGCGAGTGTACGTTGTGGTCGCTCAACGGAGGAATTCAACAGAGGCTGGTCTCAGATCAGTCTACACTGTCCTCTTCTCCTGCTCTCCACAGTGGTAATGTTTGTTCTTCATATAGCTGATGATCTTGATTTACTTATTTACAAGGATGTCCAAGAATCCAACATAGATTCTTGCAAATATCGTCTGCCAACACAAGTTATATGTTTTTTTTCTATTTACCAAGAAAAACCAGGATGAGATGTAGAAAAGTGTGACTGCCAAGCTTGGTTCTCTGCCTCAACTTTCCTGTCAGATCCAATAATATGATCAGTTTGTTTACATCAACTTTTTAATGACCTGCCTATGTTGTTCTGTATTTGTGAAATTAGTATTTTATGATAAAACGCTCATCCTGGTGTCTTTTAAAGTAAAACATATGATTTGATTCTTGATATGATATGATTCTTTGCTGCGGAAAATGTAAACCAAGGCTGGTTCTGCAGTTCTGCTTTGAATCACTTTGTCTGACACCTACCCAGCAGCCTGCAGCAGCAGATATAAGCTTTAAAAATAACTGTATAGATATGATCAGAATTGTTGTTGATGTTCTTAATTTGCTTCTTTAGGTCATAGAGAGCCATCAGTTTTCATTTCAGTCTGTTTATAACAGTTTAAGGAGTTTACAGGAGCTTTAACTGAGTTGTCAGTGTGTATTTGTTTTGCATGTGTTTGTGTAGCACTGGTGGGAGCGTCTGTCTCCTTTGCTGTTGTCTCTGTGGCGTCGTCTGTGTGATGGAGAGCCTTTGCCAGAGCAGCTGCAGCTCCTCACTGACTGTCACAGCTGGGCATCCAGGTACCAAACCTCATTCTCATTTCTCACTACTTTTTTAAACTATACTATAACGTACTGTAGGTGTATGGAATAAAGAGAACTTAGTGCAGATTTTGATTGTGTGGTGTTCAGTTTAGAGAAGGATCCGCTGTCGTCGTCACCACCAGTACCTGCAGCTTCAGCTCTGCTGCTGGCAGCCTGCCTGCACTGTGCCTGGCGAGGCTGTGGTTATGACCCACAGGGCTTTAGTGCTGCCATAAATAAGCTGAGACCAGAGAGGACGAAACAGGTGAGTGTCAAGAACCAATTCACTGACAAGAGTCAATGCAAACCAAGGATTGTGTTCATGAAACCTCTGAAAAAATGTAGTTTATAAATGCATATAGTAAGTTACATTTGTTATAATGCTGACTTGATGAACATTGTTGAATTCAAGTAATGCAGGTAATTGCCTGTAGTAATAGTTTGTAAATAATATTCAGTTCAAGAAAAGTAACAAAAAAATTATAATCATGATAATTGTGGTGAAGTTTTCCACACCACTACACTCGACTGACAGCTTCTGTTCCTTTACAAATAAAAACTTTTGTACACAAACTATGAAGAGCTACATGTTCTTAATTACTTTAAACTACCCTACAGTACATTTGAAGGTGTTAGTGGTTGATTCATTGGTTCATCTATCATTGATTGTATTATGCCTGCTCTGTAAAAAGCTACAATTTCCTCTCTGTATGTTTCCCACCTCTTGTGAATTTACCTGCTGCTGTATCATTTCTTTCTGCAGGTGGTGGTTCTTCTGTTTTTCCTGTTTGTAAACGACTATCTGTCAGCACTTCTGTTTCCTCAGGTAACTGCCACAAATGATTTCCTCAAACAGGTTATGTTATGTTATTTTTAGGGTGGATGTAGTATAGGAGTAGGTATTACAGATCTGTCTTTCAGCCCCAGCTCGTACCTAATGAGTACCATACATTTCAATTCTGTGGTGCTAGCTGTTGTATTTTGACAGTCTTGTTAGCTGAGTCTGTCTGTTTAAAAGATGAAGTAATCCTCATGTCCTTATCTGTCTGATTACTGCTGTAGGAGAAGAGCCACCAGAAAGCAATGAGTGTTTGCACTGAGCTGCTGCGAGTGTTGGTGGACTCAGCTGACTGGCTGCTCATTTTTAATTCAAATGGTATTTCTTCTATGGTCACGTATTGGTTCACTAAGCTGTATACATCATTCTTGTTGCCTGGTAGTAATTATTTAGTAGTTTAACTCAATGCCACTAGCTCTGGCATTAAGTGTTTTCTATTTTAAATATGTATACATTACTAAATACTGTAACTGGGCTCATTTTTCCCTGGCTCTAGATAAAAATGTTTACCATTTGGTAACCATGGTGACATCAGATGAGTTTACTCGACTGATGCCTTGGGCCTTCTACAGGTAAGTGTTTTTACAAACATCAAATGTTGTGCCCCATGTGCAGATGCCACAGTCCTCCAAGTGACAGCCCCGGGTTGAACTCCCACCCTTGGTCTTCTACCCCTCCGCCTCCATCCTTGGTTCAAACTCTATGCACTGTCCTGTCTTCTCAGTAAAGGGCATTTAAAGCCAAAACTTTTGGGGGGATTTTTAGCTTTTATTTGTGTACTGAAGTGCTTAGATCGGAATTGAACCCACGGCTGCTGCAACAAGGACTTTGTCTGAAAATATGTACATTAATTTCAGCTTTGAAAATCTATGTAGATACTTACAGTAATAACATACCTAAGTTTGTCCATGATCAATATTAACATTAGAAAAAGGACAATATAACAGTGTCGTATGTTTGAAAATTTTGACAAATACCCGAACCTACCTTTAATCTGTCTGTGTGTTTAGCCTGCTGCTCCAGCAGAGTGCTGAGCTGCATCAGAGAGCTGTGAGTGGTCCCGGGTTCCTTCATACAGCTGTTCTCTGCTACATCAATCTGCTGCAGCTTTTCCTGGAAGGACACAACCTTACACCAACAACTGAGCACTCTGACCATCAGGTGATCAAGCCTCAGAACATGGTTTTTCTCGGTGTCTAGACGCTGTCACTCAAAGCTGTAACATCACACTTGATGTTAAATCTGTTCATTGTATTGTCAGATGGAGCCTTTCAAGATTCTGAGGCAGGCCAAGCAGTTTCTTCTGAGAGCGATTTCACAGACGTCTCCAACTGCTCTGTCTGCCAGCCAACTCGCACAGGTTACACACACAAACACATCGTATAAATCTGTATTGTGCATCCTGGTAAAATCTTTTATCAAGGACAACTCTCTCAAACTGTATTCTTTATCCCTGCTTTATTGTGTTTCCTGGTCCAGCTGCAGTCTCAGTGTGCAGACCTGGACCCAGAGGTGGCAGCAGCTCTCTCTGTGCAGCTCAACCCTCAAAGCCTCAGCCCCGAGATGGACTTCCTGTAAACAGCTACGCACTCATGTTCAATCAAAGACGTTATCTAAAGTGATCAGTTAAATATACTTCACAGAAACGTCTCACCTTTTCAATTGTACAGCCGTTTGTTCAAATGTTAATCTACTTTACGTCCCACAGACACATGTACCTGTTGTGATATTTATTCAACTGTTCAGATTTTAACGGGAAAGAGTCAAAAACTGTTTATACACAGCTTTGTAAAAAAAAGTTAACATTTATTCACATTATAGACACAGTACTTTATAACACACATGTACATCTGAAGCCCTTTCCACTGTTTACAACACAGACTCAGCATTGTAACAAGTTCATAAAAAACAGTAACTTAATAAAACTGAATGTTTTGAGGAAACGATTCTGTATAACTCTCTGCACTGCGAGGATGTTACACAGCACAGACACGTGCGTTACATGATTACAATATTGCATTATCTGACTAACACTGAAGTAGTTTCTATCCGCTGGATGCTGCATTGTACTTCAGCTGTGAAATCAAAATGGATTCATTTTAGTCCACAGGAAGTGTAAATTCATCTTTACATCACACCTGTAACACCTCAGATGTAGCTGTTGTCCCCTCAAGTTATAATACTTAAGTCTGTCATGAAATCAAAGCATTTTATACACTTTTTACAGAAAAGACACTTTATGTGTTCACTTATTACTTATAATTATCGCCAACTCCACAAGGTAACAATCTTCAGGACAATTAAATACGTTATTGACTGAATGTGTTATATAACAACACAATGTTTACATAGCTGCACCTTTAAATGATCTACTTCTCAAAAAAATGAACTGAAATCTAAAGGATTACAACTTTCAAAGCCAGAATAAGGTTTGTGAAGTGTTTTTTGCTTTCAGATAGTTGACTGTTTACAGTTGAACACTCTCAAGTTCATATACCTGCTGACACAGAAACTATGAGATCCTGAATGGCCCTCCATCATCAGGTTGCACAGACATGTTTGTCAATGTTATATCTGAAGAAGAGCCTCCTGCTTCCCAAACAAACAGCTTAAAATACCTGACGACAATAAAATGTTGAATTTTGGAATGATAGATTGGATCCTTGAAATATATTAGAAGAAAAAGCAGATCTTTTCCAACCTTAGCCCACAGTTTGCATGTTTTTTCTTGCATCTTCAAGTTCAGGGCTGCAGAGTGATGCAGGACGGTTCCTGGTTTGAATTAGGGGTCGACCAATCTTGTTTTTTTTAGGGCCGATTATTAGTTCATGAGACCGATAACCGATAGTTAGAACTGATATGCATTTACTGCATAAAAATAATTGGTCAAAATTTAGAATTCAGAAAATGCCAGCAGTAAACTTTTATTGAAATGCTCAACTTGAGTTTCTCCTGATTTAGGCTGCTCTCGCCTCTGTGCATGTCAGTGGAACACAGGCTTCAGTGTTGATTGGCTATTATTGTGTGACGTCTAGCCAATCAGATAGTGTTGTGGGCGGCACATTGGGTGAGACAGAGTGGAGTTTGAAAACAGACCCAGATGGAAAGACACACCTGCAGCGAAGCCAAAATCTTTAGAATAAAACGGGATACTGTCTGATAATCAGCCAAATGCAAAATATCGGCCTCCGATAATCAGCCAGGTCGATAATCTGTCAGCCCCTAGTTTGAGTAATTGGCTTGTTTGCGTGCTCTCGCTGTGCCTGAATGGGGTCACTCTGGGTATCCTGTAGTCCTCCCATTGTCCAGACACACTTTTTAGATTAATTAGTGCCTAAAGTGCCCAGAGGTTTGAGTGACAGGTAATTGTTTTTTCTCTGTATGTCAGCCCTGTGATTGACAGGCGACCAGTCCAGGCTTTACCCCGCCTCTTAACCAATGAGATCTGTTCCAGACCCCAGCAAACCCTACAGAGATGAGAAGTATAGATATCGGATTATGGATAGATATTTAAGTGTTGGAATTGTTCACGCTGAATGCATTAACCAGCAGCCATTAAACTGTCTACAAGCACGACGTACGCAAAATAATCCCGTGTGGCAAATGCACCTGAACAAAGTACATCCACTAAAAGAGTTTTTAACCCTACAGGTTCAGAGTGTTATTTTAAGTGTCTGACAACGGAAACAATTTATTGTTTGAGGTCAGATACATGTTGGAACCAGAAAGGGCTGTTACATCACATTCTTTAAAGCCACCGGACACCATTGAAAAACAACAACAAGTCATTTTACATCACAGAATACAGGAAATGCTGCCTTGATTAATACATTTAAAAAAAAAGGTTTACTTCAGATTCAAGCATCTGTTTTGTGGGTAAACAATTGTTTCACTCAAACAAGTTCGGAGGCTTTAAAGAAGGCAAAATGGCTCATCTGGTTTCCTGAAAAATGCTTCACCCTTTCACAAAAACTTAATTTAGATTCCAACATATAAAAGAATAGTCCAGGTTTTTAAGATACCCAATTACCCTTTAAGAGCTGCCCATAAGATAACCTAATTGACACAAGCCTGGTCAACATCCTCTGAATTATAAGTTAATGTCGAAGCAAACTTGAATATGAAATTTGACTTTGACATTATGATACAAAAGCTAAGCTAAAATGCTACATCGATAAAGGACTGAGCCAGTTCTCTATAGGTCGGTGAAGTCAGAAGCCAACCATCGCTGTCCAAAAACCTGAAAATCTGGAAACTACAGCAAAGATCTTCAGGACTGGTCCCTTCCCCACAGTTTATGTACTCTTGCAGCAGATCTGTACTCGGAGCCCCTGCTGTCATCTGTCCTGGTCTTGCTGAACCACCTCCCCGGTCAGAGTGATGGTGTGCAGGTTGGCATAGAGCGGCTGCTGCTGCTGGCTGCTGCCTCTCTGACCCTCGGCCTGAGTCAGCGGGTGAACCATAGACATGTGTACATTCAGGTTATGGGCCTTCTCGAAGCGTTTTCCACACATCAGACACGCAAATTCCAAGTCAGCCTCCGCCTTGTGTTTGGTCATGTGGTATTTCAGCGACGCACGCTGGCGACACTGGAAGCCACACACCTCACATCTAGAGGGGAAGAAAACAACCTGTCAACATTTCCAGTGTGCCCTCTTGTCTTTTTTCTGATCTTCAAATTTAATAACTCATTTTTAAATCTAATTTGTATTTATTTTATGTCAGCATACATAGACAGTACTTACTGGAGTGGCTTGGCCCCTGAATGTCTCATCTGGTGAACTGAAAGGTGTTTTCTCTGTTTGAACGTTTGGCCGCACTGGTCACAAATGTAGTTCCTCTCCTCTGTACTCACAGATCAAATGAAGCACATGACAAACCATGCATCAACACCTCAAACTACCAGGGTTCTGTTTTTGTCAAACATTTGGTAATATACAGCTCTGGCGAAAATGTAAAGACTACTCAGCACCATGACATGCATGAAAGTCATTTAATTCAAGTGTCTGCTGAATTTCAACCCCTGACCATCTGTTTCTTTTTACAAAACCAGGTATTGATTTGGTGCCATCGAACAAAGACAGGCTACTTGAGTTTCTGCGTCTAATGAGTCATAATATCACCCGACAGTAATGTGAAAACTGGTGGAGAGCATGCCAAGAGATAAGAAATCTGTAATTGAAAACCAGCTTTGTTAGGCTAAATATTGATTTTTGAACTCTTCATATGTAAAATTATTAGTATTTAGTTATTTGAATATAAATAGGAAAATGTTTTTTGTTTCTCTTAATTTTTCCCAGAGCTGTATGGATCATGATGCAGGGTCTAAATTCAACAACAAAAAAAGATGTACATTTTTCACATACAGCAACATATACACAATACACATAATCAATATAATGCTCGGATAATCTTTTCAGAAAGACACAGAGTCTGAAAAGAAACTTAAATCTTGGAGTTGAACTCACCTGTGTGGATGAGCTTGATGTGTCGCTGCAGGTAGCGGTCGATCATAAAAACCTTGTTGCAGCCGGGATGAGGACAGGGTCGCTGTCTCATCTCCTCATGATGCTCCTTGATGTGCTTCTAAAAACCCCACAAAAGAAGCTGTCATACAACTGGCAACTTTATAAACACTTTTAAATTCAACAAACAGATGTTAATTTATCCTTCTTAATGGTAGTAAGGTTGCATTGTCTTCATTACAGCATTGTGTGCAATAATGAAGAGGCCGCTGTTATACGGTCACCTCAGTGACTGCACTGATGAGTTTACTACAAAGACTGTCATTCTGTTAAAACAGCTCAGGTGTGGTTCTGATGTTTGACATTTCTCATGTTGATTTGGACTACATATTACCATCTTACAATAAAAGCTTTAACACATCAACATCCAGTGAAGGATTACGGTTTCATCTTTTCTTAACATTAAATCATCTGTAATTTACTTTTTCTGCACATGAAATGTATTTTTCAAACATAAAATTTAATTAAATGAACTTTGTATAGGATACCAAATACTAACCTTTAATAGTAATAAACACCATTATTCATCCAATGAAAGTTGATGCATCGCACTAAGTTGGCAAAAAGCACCTTTGAACAGACCTTTCCAGTTCTAATGTTTTTCTAAAGATATTTTTGTGTTTATTAGATTGGGCAGCTGAAGAGAGACAGGAATTATTGAGAGGAGAGAGTGGAGGATGACATGCAGCAAAGGGCCGAGTTCAGATTTGAAACCACCGGTTGCTGGGACGAGGACTATAGCCCCCGTACATTGGGTGCACAGCATAACCCCTAGGCTACCGGCGCCCTTTTGGTTCCAGTGGCATAAAGTGGCACGCTAAATAACCATTATTATTTCTAGTTTTTAAATGTAGGTAGTTACACACATTAAGATTTTTTCTCATAGTCCACTGCACAGCTCCTACATTAGACCTTTTGTACATTTTGTGTTTTTTATTTTACATTTTTAAATTCTATTTTATATATTGTAATAGTTTCTTATACTGTACTATTAAGTTGTTGCTAGTTCTGCTTTATTTACTTCTTAATTGTTTAGCATCAATACACCAAGTCAAATTCCTTGTATGTGTAAATGTACTTGGCAATAAAACCCTGATTCTGATTCTTATTCTGTGCCACCATCAGGACTATTAGTCTGCAATGCCACTTTAGGAAGTTTGCCTTTTAATGGGACCTACATAGGAAGAAGAACTACCAGGGAATCAGCAGAAGAACAATTACAGAACCTGTTTCACTGAATACATTTTGAAAGTCTGTCTGAGTGAAGTCTCACCTTCAAACCGTCAGGAGCTCTGTAGACAGCTGTGCAGCCCTGATAAGGACACTTGTAGATGTTGGGCAGCTCCTCTCTTAAAAGAAAAACACAACAGCATTACTAGAGTTATATTAGTTAATGGACATGTTAACTGAACAAGTTATCAAAATGGACTAAAATACAAAGCTTGGACTTTCAACAGAGTGCAATGTGCTTCTAATTTGGATGGACAACACACTTAACTAGCTGAGATATATTGTATAATGTATTAAAGAAAAGGTAAGATTCAAGTTCAATCAAATGTGACTGACTTACGCTTTGGGTTTGAACTTGTTTTTCCAGCCAGGTTTAGGTCCAGGTTTCTTTTTGATTTTGGGCTCCTCCAGGACTTTTGGGCTTTTTTTTCTCTTAGGGACAGTCACCCTGTGAGCTCTGGGAGGGCAAGATGATTATTGTCACATTCAGCCCACTTTAGCTGTTTAAGAAGTAACAACAAAGTTTTGCTGAAGAATATCTACGCCCACCTCTTGTCTGAATACGGCTCAAACAACTCATCGTCTGATAAACCCGCTTTTCTTCTCTCCTCGAACTCATCCTCTGAGATCCCCCTGAAAAAAAACACAGAAAATGATGTTCTCAATGACCTGGCCTAATCTCCATCTCATCTCTTGAACGACGGAGATGCACCCTGAAACTACGTTGGTGTTCATACAACAAGAACAAAGAGTGACACAAACCTGTCAGACAGATCACTGTCAGCCACTCTTTCCAGCAGCTGGGTTTGAGGAGTAGACAACGCCCCCACAGGACCTGTAAAAACTGAAGGAGGGAAACCACTACTATGAGTCAATGGTTGATACAAACAAACAGATACAATAATTCATTGTGATGAGTTTCAATCATGTGGGGCTCTACTGGATGTGTTTACATCTACTGAGTAATCAAAATGCAAAAGTTCTAGTGTTGCATTAGTAAAAATCAAACCATATTGATACCTGTTACGATACCACAAAAATAGAAGTCTGCACTGAAATTTGAGAAATTTTGTCAAACTTTTGCACGTTTCTGTAAGCTTTAGCATAGCTTTGATACTATACGTGCTTAACAGTGAACCTGCTGATATACAATCAGAAAATATTAAATGAATGTCTTTAACAGCTTTCTTTTCATTAGCGTTGCTGCCTGTTACGGCTGCATGTTTCCCTGTACTGTTTGTCCCTTCTCCCTTTCTGTTCTCCAGCTCAGGTGAAGCCACTAATTGCACAACGAGGCACACCTGGCCTCAGTACTTAAGCATCCAGTGCTGGCTGCAGAAAGAGAGTCATTTGGAGTTGGGACTGCTGTGCCTCTGAGTCAGGGATTGTCTGTTGTGTTTTGTTCTCTTTAAGTTTAAGTTATTGTAATAAATCCCTTCTTTTTGACTTTGTGAAGGTGTTATAATTATTTCAATGGGTCAATTTGTGTATTGTTGTTAGCCCCATAGGGCCGCCTTATGGTGGGGTGTAACACTCGCCCTCTTCACTTTCCTCTTGTGTCACTCAACGGACGATGCTCTCACTCTTTTCACTATCGACAGCTTTGGATTAAAAATACAACTGCAGATCCGTAGATTTCTTTTCAGTTCTTTTTGGTAATATTGAACATAAAGATAATGGAGACTGTATCATTGTAACACATGCGGTATTGAAAGTGTCGACCTTAGTGTCGAAGAACGTTAACAGCCATACTTGGTTCTGTCACTATTTTTCTAAATGGATAAAATAACAGTTATTAATGGGACCATACTAATGTACACAGAAGACTGTTCTCTTAATAAACAAATAACTTTAGTTTAACATTATTATTATATATCATTATGCCACTTTTAGTGCAGGAGAGCGTCTGCTCAGATGTGATCTTCTGCAGATGGTGACGAGAGTCAGAGGGCACTTTGCTGGACAAAAATAACCGAGTGTTGTTTTCAGCATTACATAGTCTGTAAAAAGATTTTTATACAAGCACATATTGGGAGGGATATAAAAAAAGTTTTCCTTTAGTTGTATTTTCTTTGATTGCATACGGTAATGTGATGTTGCTCACGGCATTACAATGTGAAGATCAGCTTCTGGAAATTCCTTACCAGTCTTTGATTTCATTGATCAACACTAATGTCAGATTGACTTTTTTGGTTCGGCTTAAAGTTCCTGTGAGGAGTTTTTAGATGATTATGGAACGGAGCCAAATTAAAATTGATGCTACAAAAGCAAACAAAACCATTATTACACATATTCATTATTTGTATCTGCTGCTGTGGGATCATCAGATGTAGTGATTTATAGCACGCTGCCTCAACAGCCTTTTTATTTAAACATTTTGCACTGAAAAGATTCTCAGTGCAAAGAAACAAGAGGCACACCTTTGTTCTGAGGGGGCGACAAAAAGACTCTGTATGACTCACACCCTCTCGGACCCTGGGACTCTCAGTCTCACCTTCAGTGTTGCTGCTCCAGTCTGTCATCACTGAGCTCTGGGTCTGTGCTGGGACTGCAGGTGAGATGTGTTGAGCCAGACTTCCCACTGGAGTCTTTCCATACCTGCCGGCTTGCTCTTCTTCATCGCCCTCGTCCTCCTGTTCCTCCTCCTCTGACATCACCCTCTCACCGTTACCAGTCCCTAATGCTTCAGTGCTGAGGTTATAAGTGTACCCTGGGTTTGTAGCAGTTGTGCACTGAGTGTCCATGATGTATCTGTGACCATCAACACAGCCCCAAACAGCCTTCACAGAGCCCCAGCACTGGCCCTCCAGCACCTCCTTCAGGTCGGGGCAGAAGTGGCAGCCCTCTCCGTGGTGATGAGCCCAGGAAACTAGACTGTGGAGGCACTTTGGGTCCGAGCTAAAGGAAGGTCGTGCTAAAAGAAGAAAGCAGAATGTGTTTCTGTCAATTGGGATGACCTGTGTTGTACTCAGAAGAAGAGAATGGACTTTTTATTTATTTTTTTTACCTTTTGAGCTTTGGCTCACTGAGGATTCTGGACACTTTGCATTCTTCCTGAAAAACCAAAAAAAACAGCTGGTAGTATTTCTAGTTTTTTTGCCTTAGTTTTTAGAAAACCCCACAATAAATACAAACTTTTAAGGCGGACTTACTGGCTTTTGAGATTCTCTTTCCCCACTGGCGGGAGGTTGACTCTCTGCAGAAACCTGATCAGGATGCTGTGGCACTTGTAGAACTTGGCGTGGCATTTCTTACAGATGAACTCTGAAAGCCGGGGGTCACGGTCCAATTGAACGCCGACCAGTCGCTGGAAGTCTGTGTGGAATAAAAGGGGCGACTGAACCACAGAGTCGGAGTCATCCTCGCCAATATCAACAGAATCCCGAGGCCACTTGTCGAAGGCGTGCCGCAGGCTGCGTGGAGAAAACTTCCCGTGGCAGAGGCGACAGATAGCTGCTGACAGTCGACCTGCAATGACATACATCAGATTATGTTTTTCTTTCATGTTTAGTAAGGAATATAAACTTGTAAATGGACGTAATTTGTAACGTGTCTGATGGTACTACTTGTGTCTCCTGTTTGCAATGTCAACTCCTTACGAGACAAAAAAAAACAGCACATTAGGACCGACACAAAGACACTCACCTGAGGGTCTGGACATGCTCCCTGGATGTGTTTGTGTGTCGTCAGCTGCTGTAACACTGAAGTCTGAGTCGGCAGTTTTGTCTTTTGCAGTGTTTTCATGATAGAAACCATCTGTGGTTACAGGGACAGTCTTCCGCAGTCTCCCTCTGTTTCCAGTCTGCCTCTTCTCCCCACTGACGCTCACTGTGGTCTTTGTCGTGCTAGTCTGCCCTGAAGTCTCCGACTTTGGACGTCTACTTTTCTTCTTCATAATGTATTATTTTCTTTGACTCTCAGCAGCTGACCCTGATGATGGAGCACTGCAGCCTGTACTGCTAAAAAGATGTACAAATTAAGACAAGCTCCAATGTGTTTATTTCAGTTTTTATATCTCTTTGAATTATATAACGCAATTTAATAAAACATATGTTGCTTTTCAGTTATTTCGTCATGTTTTATTTCTTACATTTTTAAAGATTGTCTTATTGAAGGGACAGGACAGTGGAAAGAGTCTGAAACTAACAAAATTGCCCAGCTAAAAATTCATGAGCAGGTGGCCGAGAGGTTAGTTTGTGCGCCCTATGTACAGAGGCTGCAGCCCTTGAAAAAGAAAATGAAAAAAACACCTAAGCAATGCCTGAGTAATGCATAACTCATGGTGAGTTTCTGGAGTTCACCATTAACAAATGATCAGGTCGCCATAACCACATGATTGGTTAATAATCTATCAATCATTCTGTGAGGACATTTTGTCTTGTGATGATTTTTTTGGGCACATCATGTGAACAAGGTGGTACCTCATATGTCTTTTGCTTATTTTTTTTTAATGTTTTAAGGGGTTACATTTTCTCTCACAGTGAATCTTTGCCATGATAAATGAAACATAAGGGCTGTTTTGCAGCATGCAGTGGCTCAAATTGTTTGACAGCAACTCCCGGGCAGCAGGTTTCGATCATTAATTGAAGTATACTGAACAACTCAATCTTATTTCTGATGATCCTGTTTGCTTTTGCAGTTTATAATAGACACCACTGTTAATCTAGCTTTAAAAAATGTAAAGCAATAGTCACATTTATATGTATTTGATATTAATAGCATGACTACAGTTACCTAAAACTATGCAAAAGCTGCATAGTTTCTCAGCCTCTTGGACATCCATGGGTCAGATTTATAAAAAAGAATTAGATTGTAAAGCATAACAAATATAGCGTCATATATAAACTCTTCTCATACTTGAAGAGTAATATAATATAATGTAATTATATAACTTAATGTATTACTGGTTAGCATTAAAAAAAAACACTCCACATCAAATATTGCATCACGAGTCAACCTTAAGTTTGTAGATTTTCCTTTATCATTATTTTGGTATAATATGTAATAAGTTTTATTTAAACAACACGTCATGTTTAAACAGCATAACAGTTTTTAAAGTCATTTAGAAACATTTAAAAAACAAGTTGAATAATAAACCATTCAAAGACTATTTAATAAGCTAAATAAATTATTCTCACATTAAAGTCATTATCCGTATCCACAGTCAACCTGCAATTTCTATGTATTTAATTTAAAACAAACAGACAGGTCTGAAATCTTCTTTAAACAACACGACTGTGTGTCCTCTTGCAGGTGTTAATGCAGGTAGCTAACGTTAGCTGTTAGCATGACCAGAAAAGATGCGTTTTCTGACTAGTGTGTAAAAATGTGAAAATGCATGATCGTTATGACAAATGCATTTCCTACCGTGGATGAATACAAGTCCTAGAACTTGGAAGTCGTGTTGTTTCTCATATAAAACATTGTTTTCATGAGCCAGAAAGACAACACTGTGCGGCTCCAGCGCTGCTCCCAGATGTAAACATTAAAACCCGGAAGTGCTAACGGAAGACAATCCAGGAGGAAATGTGTTACAGCGCCATCTTCCGTACATGTAGAATAACTTGTTTTGAGTCAAGTAGTTTCTACTGCAGCTACCAGAACTGTGTAACTCATTCATTTTTACCTAACTAAATGTCTGGAGATAGGTGTTTCACTCTTAGAAACAGTGAAAGCTAGTAATGACTCTACATTGGATGTGTCTGTGTTGTTATAGGCTTCAACACGCTCACCATGACTGTGTGAATAGTTTATGATTGCAAAATCATTTCACCAGATGCTAAGAAATGTGACAAAACGCAAAGAAATATAAAATCAGACTCAAATACATTAAAAAACAAAGCAAAAGAATATTTTATGAAACATTAAAAACATTAAGTCACTCAACAAAAACGAAACTACACCTACAAAAACTTTATTTTTTACCTTCTGCAATAACATCTTACCTTGTTTCTTAAATGCGCTTTAAGTTTCATGACATATTTTTAAGTTTTTTTTTAACTGTATTTGATTTCAAAGAATATTTTTGCACTTTGTGAATTATTTTTGTGGTCTGGTGAAATGTTTTTTGGGGATATTTGAATATTTGCGCAGTTGACTGTACTTTACAGGAAGTCATCTGTAAACATCTGTAAATATAAAGATACTTCTTTTATAATTGCATTCTTAAAATTAGCAAACTCCTTATGACCCAGGAGTGCAATTGAAAAAGTGTTTGGGGAAGTTGTAACAATGAAAAAGTGTATCTCATCTAAAAGCACACCTTACAGTCATGACATTTCTACTGTAGTAGCTTGTAACATTACTTGAGATTATTTATGTACATGAAAGTGGAAGTGATGAAACTTCCTTTGCAATCCATTTGTGGATTTCAACCCAAAAAAATACATGGTCCTTGGTTTCTATGTCATTTTTGAAAAATGAACAAACGTTGTCATCGATATTAAAACGCAGTCTAAGAAGTTCAGAAAATACAGACTGTGTCTGCCTCCCGGACCCCGGGAATGACTGAATCATGTTCTGTTACACATACCCACCCACTCTTTCCTGGTAAGAGACCAGTTGTCCAGCCAAGAAACTTCTAGGAAATGGTCTTTATATAGCACACATTTTTGATTGTTCAAGAGGATTTACTCTTCTACAGTATTGCGGCAAAAATATATATTTATAATATAATGAGTTTTGATTGTTCAGTTGATGAGTCTATGAGCAGTCTCTCACCAAACGTTAATGAAATTGTACACTAGATAAGATAATCCTTATTGATCCCCAGTGGGGAAATTGAAGTGTTGCAGCAGTAAAAGACAAGAAGAAGCGCATACATATGATGACAATGATGGACAGAATAAAACAGTGAGATTACATACAGATAGTTTTATTTGCATTTTAAAAATAATACAAAACGTAAAAAAAGTCAATGTTTGATACTGATATCAAATTAAAAAAATAAAAATGGATACAAGGCAGATTAAATCACCAGTTGGACAGGGTCTTCTGTGGAGTTTGCATGTTCTCCCTGCATATGTGGGTACACTTGTGTTGTGCTTTAGTAGCCATCTTGACAAGTGTCTACTCTGGATAAAATATTGTGTATTTACAAATAATTCACACAGTCCCAAAAACTGTCTGAACTTTGTCTTTAAGTACTTGTATAAAATGTCATTGTAGAAACAAAACATCAGACCAGAGATACAGGTATGTTTTCTCCCAGATAAATTCCTTTGAATAAGATGTATTCATTACTAATCTATCAAGTGTTTGAGTTTGAAAAACATCAATAAAATTAGCAGTGTTTGTCCATTATCATGAAGTAATGAGTACAATAAAGGAGTATTCCATGAGTTTTCTCTTTTTGTTAAACAGCAGCCAATAAAATATATATACTTAAAGTCAGTATAGTATATAGTAGTAGATCTTCATGTAATCTTCTTGTATCGTGCTGTTTTGCATTTGGTAGTTTGCTTGTATTCTACTGATACCATAAAGAGCTGTATAATGGATTGATCAGACGATTGAGAGATATACTGTATATGCAAAGTAATCTGAATCTGAGGAAACTGAAAGGGTTGCAAATGCATGCATACAGGTCACAGATGCATTGCTAAACAAAATCTTTTGCACACATCTGAAAATAGCTGTGATAAGATCTTGTTAACATTTTGTCTCCATCACCCGAGTCTACACCGCAATGATTTACATAAAGGAGAACTGACTCATGGTTAAGTAGTGATGTAGTTTACCCTGGAAGACACCTAAACAGAAAAGGTTTTTTTTTTTTCGATAGTCAGTACTTTTGGTTCGTATTTATAAATCCATGATGCTTTTTATTCAGATATACTTGCTGTGTTTTTTGGGTGAATGTGTTTTTCTGTTCCTTCCTGGTCAAACAGAGAGCTAATGTAAATATCTTTAATCAATTTATCAAACTTAATTTATATAGATCACAACAAAAGTTACATTCAGAAGCGGTCAAGACTTTACTTTTTTAAAATAATGTTTAAAGAGATTGATCATGAGATTATTATGAATTAAGCACTGAACAAGCACTTATTGATCGGACAAGGAAAAGAATCCATTTGGGCAGAAACCTTGAGCAGAACTGGCATGGGATGGTTTCTTGAACTTTGCTCGTATGGGCAGTTTTTCAACGAGTATCTTTTCTTAAAAGCAAATGCCACCATTCATGATATTTGAGTGGGCCGACCCTTCTTTTTTTTTTAAAGATTCATGTGTGGGCTTTTTGTGCCTTTGTTGGAGTGATTGGACAGTGGATAGAGTCGAACATCAGGGAGAGAGACAGAGGGAGGGAGAGAGAGAGAGAGAGAGAGAGAGAGAGAGAGAGTGGAGAATTACATGCAGGAAAGGAGCCATTTATATTTATATTGGTCGATTAGAAGAAGGAGCTATGAGGGATTTGTTAAAATATGGCAACCAGTCTTGAACATGGTTGATCCCTCTAACTGCAGCCAATAGTATCAATAAAATTGTAATGTAAATGTAATTATTTCACCTTTATTGTGTGTATCTCTTGTGTTTTTTGTCACTCTATTTATTAATTTGGTTTTATTGTCTGTTTTTGTTCGTCTTTCTTGTTTCAGTTGTGAATATGGGCCCTTTTGTTGTGTGTGTGCTCTCTTGAGGTTTTTCAAAAGCTATAAAAATAGTGGCTCTGTACACATTTGAAAATGGATGTACATTCAACTACAAAAAGTTTGGTGCTTTGCATTTATTCCGAACAAGATTAAACTTTGTCAATTCTAAATTTGGGTCTTCTTTTGTGAAAAATGAATCGAAAAGAAGACCAAATACAAATACAAGAAAAATAAAACACTTGGGCATTATCTATAATTTTGCCTCTGAATTTTTAAAATTTCACGCCACAGATGACCTTCACACATGTATCTAAAAATACAGAGATCAGATAAAACACAAAAAAAAGACTCTTCCTCTTTGTGTGGTAGGGAGGTGAGATTAAGAAGACTGTGACATTTCCTTCCACTAAACTAGACACAAGATGTTGGTTGAGTTTCTTGGTAGTGGAATACAGGGGAGGTATGGGGGATTTCTGCCTAATGGCTGTAATAGTGTTTAATGGAAAACTGACGTCCTACACATTCAGTTCCCCAATGAACAGGGTATAAATGAAACGCTGTGATCACAATCAATCACAGCAAGGAGAGAAGAGAAGTTCAGCATCACCAGCATCATCATCCTCATCATCCATACAACATCATGAAGACTCTCCGCGTCATCCTGGGGCTGTTGTTGCTCTGCGTCTGCTGCTGCGATGCCATACGTGAGTGATCTCTGTTTGTGCCTCTTCATCTTCACAGTTTGCTCACAGACATGTTTGTATTGACCTTATTCTTCCTTTGTCACAGCTGAAGGTTTGAGAAGCACAGTACCTACAAAGTGCTGCTTCAAATTTTCTGAGAAACAACTTCCAGAAAGACTTGTGATGAACATAATCGAGACCGACAGCTCCTGTCCACACATGGCTTTCTTGTAAGTTTGTGCTCCATTATTCTTCTCTCATATTAACTAATGTAATGATAAAAAGATTGATGGTCTCTGACCTCCAGAAAGGCTTCATCACCAAATTATTTTCTGAGCATCACTGTTTTAAGTGTTTGAAGTTTTACCAGAACCAAAGTTATAGTCTTAGTAAGAACTGATTCCTTAATATACCTGACTAAACATAAGATCATGCTCGAGTTTAACCTACACAGTCCTGTGTATTTTTAACACACTAGTGAACTTTTATTTGAGTAGATTTCTATCACATGTTGATTTCACTATTTTCTTCTTTATGTTTTGCAGAGTTAAGACCATAAGAGGAAGAGAGATCTGCTTTAAGCAGAGTTTTAAGTATGCTAAGGAACTCTATAATAACCGGCACAACAACAAGGAGGGCAGCGGCCAATAGCCCTGAAGAGGATATGTAATATTTAATATTTTAATGGATGATGATGAACATATATCGATTTAATCAGATGTAATGCTGGTTATGTGCTTCTCTAAGTAAAGTGTGTATTGTTTGAACAAGAAATTATGTTTTGTTTATGTTTTTGTCTTTACCAACCTCTGATTTAAAAAATACATGTGAGACCTTACTGTAGCTGCTGTAAGCAAATAAAACGTTTAAGTTAAGTACTTTTGCTGGCTCTGACAATCCTTATTGATTCTGAACAGTGGAGACAAAAGTTCACAAAAAATCCTCTCCTGGATTACTGGATCAGAGGAAGGGTTAGGGTTAGGATCAGGTTGTGAAATCAGTTCATAAATATGTCAGGAGAAAGGATCAGTGAGAGAGCTGAGTAAACTGCAGAACTCTCCGTGAGCTACAGAGCTTCATGCCGTCTTTGAGGAAGCTGAGTCACAGTACATCTATAGAAAAATGTGACCATGCAGTGTGAACATGCTTATAGGAATAGATAACTGGCTGGATGTAAAGACAAATAGTTGAATGATATTTTGTTAAAACCAAAACTTTAGGCATATATTCAAATCAAGCATAATGAACATTATGTCAACGCAAACTTCACAAGAAGTCAAAGATCTTTGGTTGCTCATGAGAAGAGGAATCCTCGGGAGGAACACAGACTGTGTGCACTATGTGATTTAAGAGAAGTCGAGTATGAATCTCATTATCTTTTGTATTGTCTCTTTTATGATGACTTAAGAACATCTTTGATATAACAGACGAATCAGAATTGTGTTGAAAATGTTGCAATAATATGTGTAGCATTTGGATATGACTCAATTGAAGTATAATATTGCACAGTGGAGAACATTTCTGAACAGGATAATAACAGTGTGGTTTAAATTATATGTATGATAATGATAAGACTAAGCAAGGCTACATATAAACATGTTCTATATTCACATTAAATGTTTATTAAGATATATTCAGTATGGTATAGGCTACAAACTGAATATATGAAGACTGACTTTAAAACATATTAAGGATTTAATATGTGTATATTACAATAATATATAAAGTCTCATGCAGGTGGCAGCATGTTATCCATCATCAACCACACCATCTCTTTTGTCTTGTTGGCATTTTTTTAAGGTGGTTGAACTCACACAAATGACTTCCTAGTGTACTCATTGTGGTTCCCTGCAGATACTCATCTGCTGATGGCTGTGTCTTTTAAGAACCTCCGGAAGTTAGACTATCACAGTTGTAGGCTATGTGGTACAGGATGAAGAGAAAAATGGAAGACTGCCCCCTGTGTTGAAGAACTCTGAAGTCATGCAGACAGCACTGGGGTCATTTGGTGAGGTCATAAGTGGCCTGAGTAGCCAACAGACTATGAAGAGTTCCTTACAACAGGTCTACAAAGGAAGTGTCTTTACAGTTTTCTCATTGATTTAGGCTCATTTATTGAAACAGTCTAAACATCCTCTAAACTGTAAGTGCAATTGTCACAACAGTTTCATGGTACATCAAAACTCTTTTTGAGTCTGAAAAAGATAATTGTCACCCAAAAAAATTTCATTTATGTTTCGAAACCTGTTTTTTACGTCAGTAAATCAGTCAATGCAACCAAAATGGAAAAAAAAAGATTTGTCATTGTGTGAGCCGCACCGGTCGAAATGTTTTGTCAAGAGTCAGTCGAACTCGGAAAAGTTTCCAATAGAAAAATCTCCATTCCTTCGACATCTTCGTTGACACTGACTACTCTATTCTATAAGCCTACAAGTATGAATGCTGCTTTATTATTTATTCTTCAAACTGAGCTTTTTAGATTAGGTCAGTAGTAAACATAAAGGTGACTTCGACTATAATGTAACCTATGTGCTATGAATTAATCCATTATTATTTGTTATAGCCTCTTTAATACTCCAGTCCAGTTGGTGGCGGTAATGAGCCTCCAAGTTGGTTTGTCAATCTCACATAAAAAACAAGGAAATAGAATAAGGAGGGGATCTGTCTGACCATGGCTGCGGTTGACAGTGGGGCAAAGCCCCTTCAAAATGCCATGAAAATGGCAAAAGTTGCCATACAGCTGGACGGAGCGAACAAACCTAAGGTAGGGTTGTACACCGCTTGTCTTGTTATGATGAAGGGAAGATTTTAAGCCAACAGGAAACTGACAGTAAAGATGTAAACAGACGGAGAGGGGCGGGAGCTGTCAGTGGGTTAGCTATCTAATCTGTCACTTAAGGATGTTGTGTCCTGTTTTGCGGTCGGTCCGTAAACGCACCTTCTGTGATGAGCAAACACCTTATAATGAAGTAGCGGATAGAGAGAAAGACTACGGTGAATTTGTAATTACATGTGTCAAGTTTTTTTCAACACTGACTATTATTATTATTATTATTACTATTATGTTATTATTATTATTACTATTCTTCCAATTAAAACCAATAGGTTGTTTTCCAAAAGCAGGAGTGCATTCATTGCTTGTGTTGAGTTCTTACTAATGCTAAAGTATTCATGAGCACCATGCTTTTGCATTACTCTGTCATAATAAATTCATGATACTATTACATTAGAACTATAACACTAGTATAAAGTTAAATATTCACTTTGCTTATAAGCTGACTTCTCCAGGCTGCTTCATCACAACAGAATGATGAAGAATTATTACTCTGAGAAATAATGTAATGTCTGGAAACACTGAACAAGAAGGCTTAAAGGTATTCGCCTCTTTCTTAGCTTCACACACTTACTTGAAGGACTGTCAAGAAAAGAAAGCTAAGAAATGTAAGGCATCTCAAAGATAAGGAATACGCAGTAAAGCTTGTTCTGTTGTTGGAAACAGGAAGTCCCATTCTAGAGATTTGTATTTTAAGCCGATGGCAAACTGATTAATAAAGTGTATGCAAATGTGATTGGGCAAAGTTCCTTTTATAATTGGGACTATTGCTATTTTTTATTGGCTGCAGTCATGTTTACTGTATACAATAATGATAGTAATAAGATACTACATGCTTGTTGTCTATCTGCAGGAAGCCTACTGTGAATACCTCCGAACTATCAACTACATCTCACATGAACTTTTGGAGGAGGCGGGATCACAAAGTAGGGTCTGAGTTGTGACTTATTTAGCCCAACGATCACAAATCTAACCTCAAGATTTGTTTCTCAATGGCTTTTTCAGTTATGTTGCATACCCTACAGACTTGGCAATAGTTAAAAAAAAAAGCTTTACATGGCAGCTTACGAATCAAACTGTCTTGTGCTGTTTTCTCTTTGCTCATCGAAAAAAATCCAAAGAAAGGATAATGGAGTATTGAATATCAAGAGCAGTGGTTCCTTACGTTTGGGACGCGCAGAATAATGAAATACTTTATCTTTGTCTCATGAGCTGATGTTTTATTTTTTTTTAAAATAGGGCCGCTGTGTACCATGACATCTATCATTCTATCAGTCGCTGTGTAGTCGTTCTAATCAGATGTGAACTAAGCAGCTAGAATTCAGCAGTTGCTTGTTACTTGAACCAAATTCAATTAGATATCAAATATCATGCAGGAGTGACTTTTGAAAATACCTCTCCTGACTCTCTCATGTCTCTCTCTCCTTTTCTCTGGTCCATCCTCAGAGGAGGGCGAGGTGGTGGTGGTGGAGGTGGAGCGGATGTTGAGGCTGGCAGAGCAATGTCTGGAGCGAGCCAAGTCATTTATGGGAAAAAGCGCTGACACCGATACCCACACTGACTCCGTCTCTGCTCCCCCGGTCTGTCCTCATAGCCTATCAGAAGCCCGTCAGACTGCTGCCGCCACTGCTTTAAACACAGGTAAATACATCCTCTTTAATCAGAGCCACCTCTTCTAGTCACATACCGTGCAATCACTGCTAACACAGAGCCTGCCTCAGGGGTCACAAGTCAAAGCTAGCCAATGTAAAGCTACATGATCGAGTCCAGTAAGCCAATCAACTCTTTGTGTCTCTCTGTTTCATCTCTGCTCTCACAGTCCCACCATGTGATTCTCCTGTGGACGCAGGGTGTAAAGCGACCAGCCCACAGAAGACAGGGCACCGCAGGGTTATGTCAGATGGTAGCGGGGAACTCTCTCCGTTTCTGCCTCCTGAAATCTTCCAGCGATTACAAACGGTGGAGTCACAGGACGCGTGCAAGAAGTAAGGGGCCAGTTTTTATCAGGGAGTTCAAATGTTGCTCCATTCAATGATAGATATTCTCTGCAGAGAACAACACAGCACAGATAACAGAGATTTCTTAGAATCAGTCTCTCTGAGTTTCAGCTAGATCAGGTCAAAGAATCTTACTCTTTCATGGCTTAGATTCAGTTATCTCAATTTTAGGCATGTGGTTGGAAATACAATTAGAAGGTTTTATTCTTTAATTCAAGTTCCAAGGATTCAACACTGTTGCCCCCTCTCTCTCTGATTGATTTCCTTGCCTAAGGATAAATCCCATCAGTCTTAAGTGTATAGTGGCAAAAATATCCTTCAATAAGATTTAACTCAATCCTGCTGCCACAACATGTAGATATGCTGATGCCTTAATGAACGTTTCTTTAAATTCTTTAATTTTGGGACAACAGTTTTATTACTTAACATACAGTACATCAGAACAATGTTTTTTTATTTCCTCTACCTTCCTTTCCAAAAATATAGAAAATTGGAATGTAGAAAATGTAAAGTTTGAACCATGGTTTAAGTGCGTCAGGGTGAGACTTTAAAGAAATAGGAAACAGAAAATCAATGTGGTTATTTTAAATAAAACAGTGTGTTATATTCTGGGCTTACTTGGCTCATAACTTAATGTAATGAACGCATCTTCATGAAAAGGTAAGGAAAAAGTTATCCTTTCCATAACATGAAGGTGATTCATATTTTGAACTCCCTGCTGTGTTAATGGGGCTTCAGGAAGTAGTCAGCAGGCAGACTTTTTTAAATGCTAAGAATATGCATTAATAATGGGTCATACATTCAAAGTATCCAAAGGATCATTTCTTGGGGAGGACTGTATTAAGGATGCTTTTTCGTGCCTCCCTTAATGTCTAATCACTGGACACATCCAAAACATTTGACTGTGTTTGGCTTCTTGAAATATCACATTTGCACATTTGGCTGCAAGATAAGTGTCACTCTTCATTGTGTTAGGAAACCCAGAACCCTTAAAGGTGGTGCATTTCAACTGGATTTTAAACACATCCATCCAACCTGCACTTGAAACTGAAACATGTTCTCTTTTTGCAGATTTTTATTTCAATGCTGTCGTGTGTGTTTTTCTTTTTGCTTTATGAGTTCTTTATGACAAAGTCAGCCATGTTGATTAGAGACTTTCGTTGACACGGCTTTAAGTGACATATTGCTTTTTTTGTAACATGTGTGTATGTCACACTCCAGGGAGCTGACACCGATTGAAGAAGCATCACGTTTGAACCAGAAGTTAAAAGCCAATTATGAAGCTCGTCTCGCACGGCTCACTCCGGGACAGGCCTATCAGAAGACGTCTTTGGTATGTGTCTTTGTTTGTTCTTTTGTGTGAGAAACACATTTTGTAACCTCTGACCAATATTTTTTTTGGATTTCAGCTGAAGATACTAACATTGATATCTAGAGTCCTGTTTACAGCAGGTATCAACATGTTGTCTGAGTGATTTGATCACAGTTGGACAGACTTAAATACAGGCAGGGGCTTGTCCAGACATTTTTAACTGGGGTGGCCCGCCTTGGGCACACAAATTAATGCATTTTTTTTTAACCCTTTTCTATCCCCACTAATAATATGTAAGTAACACAATTTGGCAACATGTACCGCTAAACCTTCTCAGCTTGATTCTTTAGAGACTCAAAGTCAAAGATGTATGTGCAAAGTCAAAATGACAGTGTTCTGTGCACAGGTTGTAGCCTGTCGAAACAGCCAGAATAGTTGACTTGTACTAAAGTCCCGCCTCTGATTAAAATCATAGATTTAGATTTTGCTCCTCTCTGACGCTGGTGCACATGACTGCAGCTCTCCTCTTCTCCCTTCCTCCTCTGTGTCCTTGTCACTCCCATTTAAGGTGCAAGCAGAGGAGAAGAGAAATGAGAAAAAACCCTCAGTCCAGAAGCTGAGAAATAAGAAATACTATGACTACTCTGATTTAAGGCGCCTGCACAGCTAGGGACATTAAAATTAGCCCTGGCTGTATTTGTGTCCAGTGCTTAATAGAAAATGCTAAGTTAAGATGTTGAAAAAAAAACACACTACTAAATGATTTGATTTGGTAATAATTTAGTTTAAGGTACTTGTGTACCTAAGTACAGCCTCTTATAGCTGCTAGCATGGCTGTAGAGTCTCAGTCGTGTTTATGGATGAAAACACATAAAACACACCATTAGCTTTTGTCTCTGTGGCGTCTAATTCTTCCCTGATTGCACAAGATGGAAAAGTAACTGAAGTGAAAATGAGTGGGAGTGACAGAGTGATGAAACGAGGAAGTACCCTTCAGTCTAGCCTTCATGTTATGCCCTGTAAAGCACACTTTCTAAATGTTTCTGCAGTATACTGCCCCTTATCTGATTCAAAGCTTGTATTTGATGTACAGCTGACTTCAGAGACAAAGCCACTCTCAACAGGCGAGATGAAGTGCAGTTCAACACATATACAGTATCAAATATTCAAACATCTGGAATGTGCAAGTATCCTATAAAATAAATTATATATTTTTAAGTTATTCATTGGAAATAAATTCTATATATTTGTCTGAATTCGTTTGACCACAGTCATTCATATGGATTGATTGATTTAAATAATTGTATTCATTAGGGGCTTATCCAGACTTTTTTGACTAGAGTGGCCCAAATGGGGAACCCGTTTATGCAGAGGTGGTATAAAGTGTTGTGTCGCACATATGAGCATTGATTTAAATTTATTTCTCTAGTGTCTAAGCTGAATTCTTTAAGGACTGAAAAAGATGATGGGAGTCCAGTCGCAATTTAAATACCACATTAAATGCAAAGAAAGCTACCAGCAGCCTGTAGAAACACAGCCTAAATAGTTGATTCTAACATGAGTCCCGCCTCTTACAAGGCTGATATTTGGGGTTAAGGAGTTTTGGGTGGGCCAATCAGATTTCAAGGGTGGCCCAGGCCAATCCCCTGGAACTGCCACTGATATTGTGAAGCCTAAATACTCATAATATACATTTTTTAAGTCATTACATAAAAATATATAGTAATCAAACCTATTAATTTGTATGAACTTAAAGGAATCGTGTCCTTGATATAAATGTATTGCTTGTCATTAAATACTTTGAATCTGTTCACCCATGGAAATAAAAGTCTGAAAGTATATATAATAATATATATATAATTAACTTATCTGACACACAAATATTTTTAAGCAACATAAGATGACAGTTATTTTCGATATTCTTGAAAAGTTGTGTCCATTGTGTAATCTGAACGGGGTTCAACAACATCCTGTATGCTTTTATTTTGAAGTCCGTGTGGTCGTATTTCTGGTCCGGTGTCTCTGTTGATGCTGTTAGATTGCTGCAGCTTGTTGTCGTGAATGAATAGGCTACCTGAGCCAGGAGGAGTGGGATGATAAGATATCGCTCTACCATTCCTGTTATTTAGGTCTCATACGTCTCAGTTAAACAGAAACATTTCTCCTCTCGTCGTAATTATCTCTTTAGTGAAGTTTGAAACTAGGCACAACGAAAAATAGTAAGCGAGACATGTAATTTAATGTTACGTTAAACATATTTACTAATTCAAACAATCATTAAGTTGAAGAATTCGCCGGATATCAGCTTGTTTTACTGTTTTATATATTTTTTTATTCATGGTAACTCATCAGGAAAATGTTTCGGCGTCAGGTGGAGGTTCGTACTTTCTGGAAAACACTGAAGCAGTTTGTGAAGGTAAACCTTTTTATCAGCTTGCTAATTGACGCTGAGTCACTCTAAAACAATGCATACATGCGTGCATTGTCTTCCCACGTCCCGACTCTGTTGAGCAGGAACCTTACAGACCTGTCATGTAATATTTCTTTTGCATTGTTTGTTGTTGAAGTAGTTTAAGTTTAGTGCGTTGCAGGAGCGAACAGGTCTAACCTTTAGTTCAGTGGGCTGACTGTACAGCAAATTACCTGTATGGTGTCTGCAAGCTTAGAAACTTCTTTGGTGATCCATACTTGCTCTAGATGTCACTGTGTTGACTTTATGCAGTCTCTGGGTCGTTGTTGCAGCGGATGATATAATGAATACATAATTAAATAATTAGTTAGCAGATTTGTTGGCTCCCATTCCACTGCAAAATGTAACACGGTGGTAGATTACTTAAATTTAAGTGTAATTCTAATACTTTCAAACCTCAGCCCTATTTTGACATGCTTTTGGGTTCCCAACAAAATAATCAGGAATTGCTCTTGTAGATTATTTCAGACAGCAGCTGCACAACAGGCTGAAATGTCTGAAAATAATTCATCAGGGCATTGTGTCAGATTAAAGTACCGGTACATCCACTTGCACTGCTTATTTCTTTTGCTATTGATAGACTTGTATTATTATTCTAAGTGTTAGACAACATTGTAGAAATGATGCATACAGAGAGTCCTTTTTTGTCAAGACTAAGGTCTTCTTTTTTTAAACCAGAAAGAGCAGTCATATGGCTCTGTTAAAAGCCACTGCACTCACTTGACAAAAGCAATTTGTTCAACCTTTAAAACAGAAGCTGCAGGTCTGCTGCTGTCTCTGTGAGTTAGTTCCAAGTTTTATGGACATTGTTTAGTTGGGCTCATTTTCCTCTGAGGATAACATTGCAGCCATTTAAACCAACTTTTGCTTTCTGAAACAGTTGCCAAACTTTTTGTACCAATTGTTAAATTAGATTCCAAAACACATAAATAGGACCCAGGATTAAAAATACTGGATTTCAGCTGTAAGACATCACTTGTAGTCACTCCCTTGTTTAAAAGTTCACCCCGGTTTGATATGGGAATTTGGGATTGTATGTATTTAGTGGTTTTACAAATCTAACTTTATTTTTTTTTACCTCCAAATGCCAGAGGCAACCGCCTGACCTTTTGTTTCTCCTGGTAATACCAAGAAATCGCGCATTAATTTCCAACCTTCTTTTTGGTTGAGTGAATTGGATTTGAACAGATAAATGTATATCCTCTCCTCTTTTCCAATGCAGACACTCTCTCTCCAGCGGCAGATGATGGAGAACCTCATCATAGCCAAAGCAAGACAGGATGCTGTATCCTTTTGTCGTGAGATTGTGCCCTGTTTTCACTGGTTTTAAGATTTTTCTTGCTTCTGCATTGTGAGTGTGTCTCAGAAGGGATCGGTAACAAACATGATCCACATCTGAAACACAAGAGCCAAAGAGAATGATCTATTTAATATGGACTCTGGCATTTCAGGCATTTAGAAAGTGAAGATTTTTAGTTTGTAGGTTTTCTTGAAATGATGACTTAAACATTATTTAATTGCTTACATTATGGCCTTAGTCATTGTTTAAATGTTGTTGTCTATAAAATACATGCACGCAGTCCTGGAAAAGAAGAAGGCCCTTAAGAATTTCTGATTTTGTAGCACAGGCTTCAATCCCTTTTATTTAAATTTCAAATTGATACATAAACCACTAAACTACGACAGAAAATTGGATACTTGTACAGAAACAAAGTGAACTTCCCTTTAGTGAGTAGAAAGCGAATAATTGAAGCCATCTTCCTATCTGTTCTGGACTACGGGGATGTCATTTATAGACATGCTTCTGCCTCCACCCTAAAATCATTAGACACAGTTTATCACTCCGCCCTCAGATTTATCACTGGTGACAAATATTCCACTCATCATTGCATCCTGTACGATAAAGTTGGTTGGCCTTCACTAACAGTTAGACGTGAACGGCATTGGCTGCTATTTATTTATAAATCACTTGCGGGTAATCTACCAGCATACATCACTTCTTTATTAATCTGGGCTGATAATCAGTATCAGACTCGATCTCACTCACTGGCTAATGTTAACGGTTCCACGAGTAAAAACAAACTTTGGGAAAACATCCTTCACCTATTGTGCTGCACACACCTGGAACACAATACAAAACACATTCAAACTCAATACAATGGTTACCATGGGTCAATTTAAAACCTGATCACAGCTCACTGTACTCATGAGTGTAAATGTTATTAACTGTAGTTGCCTGCTTACTGCTTACTCTTCTGGTCTTATTATCTATGTATTTTGTCTTAGTTGTTTTTTGTCTTTTTTTTTTGTCTCTTATTCGTTTTAATTGTACTCTCGACGTCATTGTAAATGATTTCTCGAGAATAATAATAATAATGAAAATTATTTTAGAAATAGTCCTTTTGTAACTCAGAGTGCTTTATTGATCTCACTGGTTTCTCAGTCAAACAGAATCTAATAGAGGCACTTTAGTGTTGTATACTTTCTTGGCCTATAACAGTTTCACAGAGTCCCCCCCTCCCCACACACACACACAATTTTTCACGTCCTTCAAAAGTTGTAATGCTAAAGAAGCTCCTTATTCGAACACAAAGGCATAAGAACCTACACCTGATCAATGTGAGGACTATGAAGTTAAGATGTTTGTCCTTAATGATTACTGAAACATTAGCTCCAGAGGAAGATGGAGGAGAGGAGACTTCGATTGCAGGAAGAGGCCAACAGGTACGCCACGATTCTCTCAAAAACATTCAAATAGGTTCAAACATTGTTCTGTTTTTAGCTGCTGCCATCTGTTTCTGAGCTTCTAAAAATAGATGAGCGCTCTTAAGCTCCCTTTAAACAGAAATCTAGCTCTTACTCTGCTCCTTCAACATAACTTCAAGGGTAATGTGTGCTGAGCTGATATTTCTATATAATCTAAATAAATACAAAATGGACTGTAATTGACTTTTTTGAATAATTAATCTTAAATAATTGTCTTCTATATTCAGTGTATTTGCTGTTTCATGAATATTGATGCCAGTTATGTTGTACTAGGTTTTCTAAACTTGATAATTATGTTGAAGCGACCCCATAGTGACCCAGTAGTGCACATGTAAGGCTCCTTTAAGAAACTCTGGAAATATATATTGGTGTTGATATCTGAACCTAAGGCATTGAGTAAATTCTTGGAAAGGCTGTCGTCTCTTTTAGAAATTATTTCGAGCAACACAGATATGAAGGTTTACTGTCACTTTGGCTGTTTTACTTCAAATATATCTATAAGCACAGAGTGATGCCCTTAATTCTACCAGTTGGGTTATCCACAGAACGCTGAGGTACGTTTTTGTTGCCATAATTAACACGTTTATTTAACCTTTAAATTTTCATAATCCTTTTTAAGATGCCATTAGTTTTTTAACTGATGATGTTTTGAGAAGAACTAAGTTAACATTTGGTAATGATGATTATTTCTGACAGTGGTTTATTGTTACAGATCAGGGGACAAAGCCAGTAATGCCTTTGTGTTGATTATCTTGGAAGGATGAGGGTTAAGGATATTCATATTCATTTAAAATTGTAAACAAATGATCTGTATTTATAAATGTGCATACAATGATGAAGGATTCATGTTTCACATTACAGGAGATTTGCAGCTCCTGGAGCAATGACCACAGAGGAACAAGAGCAGCGTATTCTCTATACTAACGTCCTGGAATATGAACAAGACCATGTACGTTTATGAATATATGAAATATTAGATAAAGGCTGCCAGAAAGTTATTCATACGAACATGTTTGTCTATTTTAGGACTGGCCCAAACAGTGGAAAGCCAACATGAGGAAGAATCCAAATGACATCACTTTAGTGTCGGCTCTTGTCTCCTACCTTCTCAGGTAACTGATTGCAACATAATCATTATATATATCAATATTCATATATTTATATATTGTTGTGATGTTGGTAGTTGTGCTCCAGGCTACATCCACACTCTGTAAGTATTTTTTCAAGAATATTGTTAACTATCTCTGCCCACACAAGCAGCAAACCTTAATAAACATGTTCAGCATAAGATGATGAACAAAAACATAATTAAAAAAGTATTGATTCTCTCACCCAACTTAATCCTGGACTGATACTGCTGCAAAAGATAGGAACCGCTTGAACACTTGTTTCCCCCTTGCACATGTAAGAAGTAGTAGAATTATAAAAAGCAGATATTAACTGGAGCACGATATTCAACTTTAGTCACAGCTGCTAGGTGAACAGTCACTTTTTGTTATGGGACTGCATGTTGCACGGTTGCAGCACCAAATCAGAGTAGACAGTAACATGTAGTGGTAGCATTAGCTGTAGGACTATGTCGGCCGTCTTTAAGCTCTGCAAGGGACAAATACTGAAGAAAACACAGGGACAAGCATAGAAAAAACAAATGAGTGTGGGGTCATGTATTCCTCCTCAAAGACTGGAGACCACAAAAAAAAAAAATAGGTTGAAGTTACTCAATTGAATTATTGCCATGGGTGAGTGCAGTCGACAGAAAACAAATATCTCCAAGGCCTCAGGCCTTCTCTCTGACAAAACCAAACAAAAGAACAGGGGAATGCAATGGTCTCCTGAGGTTTTCCAAGATCCAGCAGATCTTGTTGCTTTTAACCACTGGAAATGTCCTTCCCCAGTTATAAAAAGCACTGAGTCAGTAGACATTATAAAGATGCCATTATATCTAATCTGTTTGGTGAGTTCTTAGACTTAAACATTTACCAAATGTACACACTCAGCAGTAATTTTATTTGGAAAGGAACTTGAATAACAGCTTCTTCTTTTTTCTTTTTTTTTTACCACTAATCCAATTTTTTGTGTTCAAAAGGTCAACTCAGGATTGCTTTTGATGTAACAGTCCTGTCAAATCATGATGGTTGAAGTTTTTGTTTCCATGAGTTTTTGTGAAAGATAGATAGACTATTACTCAGGATTGTTACAATGCCAAATTATTGTCTGACAAAGACAGAGAGCGAGAGAGAGAACGTGTTTGTGTGCATTCACAAATGGATTCCTTTTAGAGAAACAGTCGAAATGTTTAAGCTATAGATTTGAGTAGACATCTATTCATTTATCTTATTGACTTTCACTTACACTGTGCCCTCAGTCGATCTGACCACCCCGTGGTGAAGCTGCTGAGGAAACACCAGTACAAGGTTTACAACAGACTCTACCCCATCGTCAGTAAAGGCCTGCCTCAGAGTCCTGACCTGCAGCTGAGGCCTTCTCGCAGCACTCACAACTTGCTTCATCCAGGTAGGGCCAGAGTTGGGAGTTTGTGAGGATCACTAAATTATAGTTTCAGGATCTTGTTCTTTTTGCAAAGGCAAAGACTGATCTGAAGAATACCTGAAGTACTACTGTTACAGATATTATTTTGAGATATAAGAATACAAAATGGTGAAATCACAGTAAGTAGGTTTAATACCAGACATACACTAAAACGAAGTCTTCTTTCACAAATCAACTCCTGAAAATGTTCAAGATAATTAAAAGAGGATGACAAACTTTAAAGTTAAACCCATATATTCATTCAGCTCTTCTTTAGCTGTTCTTGCAGCCAAGACTTCAAAGCAAGCTTAACATTTTTGTAGCTCACACCTGACATACATCCATATACTGTATACATATTTAAAGTTGCATGTGACCTTTTTCAGGAACCATAAATGATGAAACCAGAGTATTCTGGATACATTCAGGGCACCATTCATTTCTATGGCTAATAACATGGCAAGCCATCTAAAAGCTATTAAGATATTTCACTTTGCACCATAACAGTGGAGTGATAAGATGGCTCACATCCAAGGGCAATGCAGCCTCAAGTAAAAAAAATTACCTCGATAATATTGTAATGATAAGATGCATTAGCACTGAGTAACTGTGGAGGGAAAGTCACCATTTATTACAATAACTAACAGGTGGGACATTAGCTTTAACACATTTGTGTATGTGAAAATTATATTTACCTTGCAGAGACCCCAAGGAAGCCAGCCAGGACTGTGGGCAGTAGAGTGGGTGGCCAGAGCACTGGCTCTTCTCCCTCACTTTCTCACAACCTCCACACAAACGACGATGAAGATGAGGAGGGGGAGGAGTCTAGCACAGAGATACCAGTGGAACGGGAGAACTCGTTTGAAGATCTTGAACAGTTCCTGACCCAGTTGGACTGGACCGAGCCTCGTGGCAGCACAGGTGACACTGGCTCAGATTTAGAGCAGACCAGTGAGCAGTCAGGACAGGAAGATGGAAGCTTTCAAAACCTGGAGATGAGAGCTCTGACAGAACACCTGAAGGCCATTGTCAAAGACGTTCACATTGCAATTGGTGAGCATGACAAAAACCATGGATGTGTTAGTTTTTGCAGTCGAGGGAAGTGCCTTAAAAGTTTTTCTGGTAATGAAATGTAAACAAACTTTACATTAAATGTCATGATAATGGTTGTAAGGGTTATTTTGTTTATATTACAGATCAGCTCCTGTCACTGTGTTTGCTGTCCTTTGAGTGCCTGAACACAGCCACCTCTAAAGACCTCTGTCTCGCCAGCATAGAGGAAGCCTTCTTCACGCCCCTGTGGAACGTCCTGTTGGCTCTTTTCAGGTAGAACATCCTTAATACTTGTGCTCTGTTAACTGTTTTCATACTATATAGTGTTTTCATAAACAGATGAGGTTTCCTACTGCTTTTGAGAAGCAGATATGCAGTGCTTCAGTGGGATGAAGAGCTTAGTTGGCTCGGGGGCCTTAGGTTACTCTGCAAAAGCACAGCTCAGTATAGAGGACTTTGTATGCTTTAGTTCTTCAAATATTTGGCTGCGGACTACTCTGATTAAAGGATTATGTTTGTCCATTATACACAGACTCTGACTCCATTCTATCAGGTTGTGGGGTCTCCTGTGAAGGGTTTGCAGGGGTGCTGCTTGTCAACAGGCAAGGCAGGTAACTGCTTAGGGCCCCACTCTGAGCCTTTCTTTTAAATTATCAAAAGTTGTGGCAACATTTTCGGTTCATTTGGCTTATTGAAAACTGCAAGTCAACACTGAAACAATTTTACAACCCTGCTAGAGCTGAAACTGGAACTAGACTTTCTTTGGGAGTGATGATGTAAAATGAGGTCAATGTATTTTGTTTTGTTTTGTTTGTATTTGTTTATTTATTTATTGCACCTTGTGTTAGGGGGGCTGTGTTTGATTGTTTGATGTTGGAGTGTTATTATTTGGGGGATGGTTCATGTTAATGGTGCTGTTGTGATGTTGGTTAAATGAAATCCCGGAACATTTGATTGATTTTCAGCTAATGTGTCTAATAATAGTTCCGTGGGGGATGGGTCATGTTAATGCCCAGACACTACAATAAAATATATTTATTCATTCATTTTCCAGATTTTCAAAGTAAGTTTACCTGAATGTGAAACAAATCTTAAACCATACCATCATAACCTTATACTGCAAAATAAGTACAAATAAATTGTGTTAATATATTCAAAAAGTTTAGCAGGATACCAAACTCTGTCATGTGCTATGAAATGTTTCAATATTGCCATATAACACAATTGACAATAGTCCCAATATAATACAGTTCCAATGTCTTTCTTCTGTTCAGCATGTTTCACACAGTGATTGTGTTTGTAAGATTCCTTTTCACCTCAAGGTCTTCCTCACGTTCATCCTCCTCAGCAGTTCCCACTCTAATGACACATATACATGTGAGATTGCTTAAAGTGAAATGAGGCTTCATCTAACAGTGTGAATGTAGGGTCCATGTATTTTTCAGACTCATATAAATAATCTTCTTTCTCTGCAGTTACAGTTCTGCATGAAGGGTCTGCAGGTTGAATCTTGGGGTTAAGGCAAAGATGAGATTGATAAAAAAAAATGTATTTCAAGGTTCAGCTAGCATTTCTAGAACTTGAATAGATGACCCAGTGTGAGCCAAAGAGAACAAAACATCTGGAAGACAAATCTCTGTGTGATGCAATGAATCAGACGAAAACTCTTTTTAAACCTCCTTTTTAAAGAAACCAAAAATTTGGTTGATTTATGTACGTGAAAAAACATGTTTATTTTATTAATTTTACAAGTTCGGACATATACTATTCTCAAACTTTTAATAAGACCCTTTTAAATGTATTCTAAGGTTCAGTCTGACAGGTAATCTTAACACACAGTGTGGCTCAACGTCTCTCTGTGACCAGCATGTGGCAGTACTAGTCTAACTATGTCTCCCGCTTCCCAGATTGTGGTGCTGCTGTAATTCAAATGACCCACAAAGTTTATTCAGTTTGATCAGTTATGATGAAAATGTAATACAATGATCATTACTGGTACAAATACCTGAATACACGTAAACCTATTTTCATATTACTGGGCTGATCTGTCAATGCCATTGGCAAATATGCTGTCATTGTTATGAATTTATGTAGTACAACTGTTTGTTTTTTTTATATATATTTTTGAAGAAATGTAGAAAGGCAGAGTCTTTTCAGCTGACAGTCCTAACATTTGACATTTACATAGCTTATCTGCCCCGAAGACATTCTTTCATATTGGAAATTTGGTCATCCCTTTTGGTCCATGTCTATAGTTTGCCTGGGTGTGGGAAGGCGGGTGACAGTATTTGGCTTTGTTCACCTACCTCTGGGACAAGCTAACATAGTTTTTTTTGCTATCATCATGACCCAGCTCGGCTTGAGACTCATGAAACGGCTGAGCGTAATGGCTTAAAGTCCCCGCAAAGAGAATTTTTTTTTAATGGATTGTGCCGGTCATTTAAACAGTTGTTAGTTCTATTGGTTTATAATGGTGTTTAATTCAGAACAAAAAAAACAAAGAATCTCTTTCTCTTGCTTGCTGAGCAGACTGCACATCGGCACACAGGAAGGTGGATGTTTAAATACTCTTATGAAGTATGATCCTTACGTCCACTAGAAACATATCTATCTATAAGTAAGGCAACCAGTTCAGAGAGGTGTTCTAAGCTTGGTCCCTTTTACCTCACTCAGCTTACTGTGAGAAAATGATGGAGCTGATGTAAGCTGCTGTAGGACGTTTCTTTGGGTGCTGCTCTGTTGTGTCATTTAGAATCTCACCTTTTACAAAAAAGACTTTCAACAAGTTAGATCAATTGGGAAAATTGGGAGTTAAATTAAGCCCAGCTCAAATGGAGCCAGCTTCAAGTGGCCAATTGAGGACCTGCAGTTTTTAGCATATCTACATTGACCTTATTGTTCAGCCGAGGAGGTTGCTACGTTGTTCGAAACAAGCCATTCAAAATTAAAATCCTCTGCCACGGCCATTTTTTATTTCCCCAAACCAAAATTCAATAGATACTACAGTCAGCAGTAGTCAAACTGCAGCTTCGTCACAAACACTCCACTTCATGTGTCTCATTTATAAATCGCTGTAGTTGGAATGTATTCTCTGCCTGGGTTTTCAGTTTGGCAACCTTTGTGTTTCTCTCCCAGGAAAGTCTACAGGGAAAGGGAGCAGGCCTATGAGATGAGTATGAAGCTGTTTAGGGATGCATCACCTGGAGATGTTGGTGTTCCCTCAAAGCTATTCCCCAAAGACCCTGGCACACTGCAAGGTTCCTACCCCTACGAGTCAGCTGTTCAGGAACTCAGGCTTCTCATTACAGACGGCTGTCCTCAAAGAAAGTTAGAATGTATTGGTGAGTCAAACTATGCACTTTTTTTTTCTCTTCATGGTACAGTATGTACTTGACTTGAAATGTTTCAGAAGCTATGCTTTGAAACAAGGACTTCAAAATTGGATATATGCAAGTGCATTATAAAATGTTTTTTCATCCAATCACAGGCCATCAGAAACGTACACTTCTTAAAACTCAAAGTAGTATAATTTCAACTGATGATTGTTCAACTGGGAGGCTCTTCAGTCTCTTTTGATTCATTTATGTCAGCACCACCAAACTTTTAGCAAACAATGCTCGCTACAATTGTTAAAACCCAAAGTCTAAGAATGGGTCAACTGCAACAAAATCTAACGTAGTATTTTTGTGCATAAATACAAAAAAATATATATCTGTATTTATAAAACATACAGACAGAGGTTGTACGCTTGGTACTTTCCATTGGTAGGTAATCTGTGTTGACAAATCCCACATTCGGGGACGTTGGCATTAGGACACGCCTCCAATAAACCATATGTGGTACCAACACATGCCTTTAAAAACCAGATGAATATATTAATCTGGCTTCATAGCAACAGAAATGGAAGTAGGATGAGGTTAAATAAAAAGCTGTATTAAGAAATTAAGATTTGTATCTCTTGCACCTAGCGAACCAAATAATTTAGTTGTTTGTGCACTTAGTGGGGAAGTTACTAACAGAAGAACACACATGCTGCATGAGAGAAGCTGAGACTTTCTGTAAATTCTGTTGGGTCAGAGGAGAAAACACTTAAAGAAATCAAGAAGAAGAGGTTTGATATTAAGCTCAGTGCAACAAACAAATACTGGAGTAACAGAATACACCACAATTTTTGCCCTTGGACAGTGCATGTTCAGTGTCATTGGTAGCTTAGCTCTCTTGGAAAATAATCAAGCAGCTCTCCTAACAGAACAAGCTGGACCAACAGATCAGTGCACTCTGTTGAAACGTGCTCTCTGTCGAGTGCACGGTCTGCTAAATCACTTGATAATGCAAAAATGAGTCATGATACAACATTTCAGATGCCTGACATCTGTCTTTTTAATGTTCTGAGACTAATTATGCAAAGCATCTGTTTCAAACTAGACAAAATCACTTATTTTGGATTTTTATTTAAAGAGAATTTGGAACATGCATCTATGTGAGATTGATCAATGCATGCCATTAACCATTAAAAACAACAACAAAGGGGCTAGAAATCAAATTCCTAAACTCTGGAAGAGAGGGAAGAACGCCGATCCCTAGAGTTTGCTGGAGGGCGTTCCAAGAGTTTTGGGCATCAAAAGAATATGCTGATTTACCAAGTTCAATAAAAAAAACATGTATGTGATATTTAACTGTTATGTTTTATTTCTTGTTTTATTTTATTCTGATAGTGTGTCTTTTCTTTGCTTGTATATACCAATCAACTACAACTTAAAAGCCCACCTATATAATATTGGGTAGGTTCCTCTTGTGCTGTCCTAACAGCTCTGACCCTTTTTAAGGCATTGATTCCATTGAATCCTCTTACTATGAATATCCTGTTTTATCTGGCACCAAGAAATTAGCATCAGATCCATTTAAGCTCTGTAAATTGTGCAGATGGGCCTCCAAGAGTCTGACTTGTTGTTCCAGATCTTCCCACCGATGCTGGTTCAGATTAAGATTACAGAAACCCCTTGAACTCTTTATCATTCATCTCAAACTTTTCCTGAACTATTGTTTGTTGCATGGCAGGGCAAATGATTTGGTTGAAAGTGGCTACTGACATCACAGAATAAGTAAGCTAAGTTGATTTATATAGCACAAAGGTCACAAAGTGCTTTACATCAACAAAAAACAACATGCATATAATAAAAACAGGAACGAAAGAGTAGCTCGTGGACCGACATTATAAAATCCTGCTATGACCAGGATTAATAATTAGCACATTAAACATATATCAATAGTTAGACTGGTTGGACATGTTGACCCATTGGCCTGTTTATATATAAACATTTTCAGCTGCTTTCTGAAAGACTCAACAGAGTCAGAAGAACAAGATGTACAGGGACTTCCAAAGGATTGATGCTATGGCCTCAAACACAGTGGTGTGAAAAAACACTAAACGTTGAGCGTATAAACATTATTATTATTTTTTTTTTTTACATTTGGTTAGGCGCGCATGTCACTGCACAAAGCACAGAGCAACAGCTGTTCAGCGAATGTCAGCGAAGCATCCATCACTAGCTGCACAGTGCGCAGGTTGTGACTTTCTTCTCACTCCCTCCATCCACCCCTCCTTCTCACAGCTGTTCCTTCTGAAGAAGTGTAGAGCGCTGCAGTGAACTCGCAGTCCAGATCGTTTTTAATGTAATGTACCATAATGTTTTAAATGATCAAAGTCTAAAAAATCAGAATAGCCTATTGTTCAACATTCTTGCATTCAATACTTACTTAATTTACAAAGTTTTGCACACCACTAATCATGACAAGTCTTAAAATGTGTCTGGGACAGACGGAAGGTGTAGGGTGTTGGACCTCAGCAAACGGCTTTGAGAATCTATCCTTAAGGAAGATATCGGCCAATATACAAGTATCAGATTTTTTAAATCCCAAATATCGATATTGGTATCAGTCCCAAAAATTCCATATCGGTCGGCCCTAGTTTTAATGCTGTGTCTGATTGGTATCGATTTTAGACAAGACATTGTACACAGGGTTTATGTTAATAGCTTCTCTGTTTTACAGTAAGGACGTTACGTCTGATCTGTGCCTGCGCTGAGGATTACAGGTGTCTTCATGAAGTTGACTCTACACCCAAAACTGCTGCCATGTAAGTAAATCATCACCTTCAACAAGAAAACTCCTTCAGTGATGTGTGTTGCAGTGGGGTTTGAATGTTAGTCTGCAGAAATACAGTTTTTTTTACTAGAAATCTCAAGAGGTGAAAGTAAGAACCATCTTCACTTTAAACCTGATAGAACACACTGAACAGTTTATAGATTAAAGGGAAAGACTACTGTACAGTGCAACATCAAAAACTCAACATGCACTTAAGAGAAAGAGAACTGTATTCTTTTTCATTTTTCTAAGTTAAAGGAAACAAGTAAAAACTCTGAACAAAGCAGTTTCAAGTTAATAATAAGTCTTTCTCCGATGCTCTTTAGCAGACGTGCAGACTTTTTTGACGTGTGTTAGAGTCAGTTTGACCCATCCATATTTAGTAAGAGCATCTAAAGTTTATTTTTGTTGTTGATGTAAATGTAATGGTAACCCCTCTATTGAGATCATTTTTTCCTCTAGCCCTAATTACGCTTCAAATCAGAGACTTCTCTTCATTGATTTCATCCTTTTGATGGAAAGTGAAAAACTGTCCTAACGTCCAGTTGAAATGCCCAAACATCATTTAAAGACTCGGTGCTGTGGTAGCTACCCTGTCAGTTCTCATCAGTGCTCAGATATGGCTTGCTCAGCAGGGGCTCTCCTAGGTCTATTGCCCCCTGTTGAGTGCCTCTTCCTGGCCAGGCCCAAAAGTGGGTCGTTGTGTCTGGATTTGGAACAGACCCAGGGTCCTACAAGGGGCTTCGGGTAGAAAAAAGGCTGAGGTTGGTGGAGTCCGTGATGATGCACAGAGAGCCAGACAAAGACTCAGTGGGATGTTGTAGCACCCATAATTGAGAACATAAAGTGCACTGTGCACCCAATTTAAATTGTTCCGTGTTGACAAAGTTTGACTGAAGCCCCGACAAATAGATGGAAGCTGAGGAAGCTGTTTATCTTCTCGTTGTGGCTCCACATTATCCTCTGAACCACATCCGAGAGAAAGCGCAGTGATGCGCTTCTAACTACACTTGTCACCCCCTAGTTCAACTCTCATGTGTAAGTTAATGGACTGAAAATATTTTGCATCAATATTGTACAAGCAGAGACTGAGACTTTGAACACAACAGTAAACAAACTTAGAGCCAATATTTTTTATACGGTGGGTGGGGATCTCAGACCTGGAATAGAAGCATTTACTGGGTTGTTTGGAGAACCGGTCCTGGGTTAGGACTTTTTAATAGGGCTTAAAACAGTTGACATTAAGATCATGTGGATACCTCTCTAAATTTCAGACTTTTTTTGTGTGCATGTCCACATAATCAATGCTGTTAAAAATATCCTGTGTTGGGCATGTAGTGGGACCCTCAAACATCCAGTATGAGAAGGGGGAGACTGAAAACAACACACATAATATATCTCTCCTCAGAGTTATTTGAGTTCTTTTAATCAAATGCACGAGTGTTTTCTTCTTTATAGAGAGAGATTGAGAGATTGTCTCCTGCTCCATATATGTCTCTTTGTGTGTTGTGTGTGTAAAGTGAACAGAGATGGCAGAGTAAAAGACTTGACCATGCACAGTGCATGCCAAAGCTAACAACCAAAACAAAGTGATGCAATGATGAGGAATACTTTGTGTACTTTTCATCAGTTGAAATAAACAACATGCTGACTAAATGTAGTTCCAAGAAATGAAGCCTGAGTCACGTCACATGGAATTTGTTTTGTTACCTGTTTGAGTCAAACATGACGGAACCAGAGAAGAAGATGATTTTTTGTACTTATTTTTTAGAAACCAAGAATGCGATCATATCTGACATGTCAGGATATAATCTGTAATCGTGTTTGCAGTTTGGCTCGAATATAAATTGTGTGAATCAAAACCAGAATTTCAGAGGAACAAATATTTTCCAAAGAAAAACCCTGGCACTCCGAGCGCATCATAAATATTTTTTCTAACAGTGTCACAATTGCCAGAAGCATTGAGAAGTGAACTGAACTTTTGATTTTGGATTTGATTAATAGCTCCTTGAAGAGTGCTTATGTGAACTGTCTGTTTCTCTGCATGCCATCTGCCAGAGTTGACATTTTTTCCGTCCTCTGCACAGTTCCATGTGTGACTGCCTTTCTATCCATCTCTTATAGGTTGCTTTTCTTGCGTGTCTGACTCACACCAAGTGTTTTCCATCAAGACCTGACCAGATTAATCTCTATTAATAAAGTCTGCAAATGATCACATAATATATCGGCAAAAGGAAAATATCTTAAGTGTTTCAAGTTGAAAGACTGTAAACAGTAAATAGTGCATGAAATTACACTATTCCTGAGCAACCGCTGGCTACACCTGAAGCCCCCCAGAATGTCTTGTTGCTCCTAGAGTCTTAATTGTCATTGGACGTTTTGGACTCAAATACTATACTATACTATATCTTCAACCTGTATAGCCTTATCACCGGTATCTCGCTATGAGCTTATATCTTTTCTGATTGGCCTGATAAAAACACGTTATGATTGGATTTTTATACAACACATACTTCAAGATAATCTGGTAGGTAATGGGTTCCGAGTAGCCTTGAGTCGGGATCAGTCCCACGATTGTCGTGAAGGAGGAATCGGACCTCAAATCGGCCCGATTACCCTGCAGTCTGAGCCAGGCTTTAGAGTGGGCTCTGACTTAATAGTTTGCGAAACTGTCTACAACACATGTAGCAGATCATTGCAGTGAACACACTCCAGTCAGAACTAGAATTGGTTGACAGTGTATAATAATGTTATATTAGCTTTACTGATTTTTTTCATTTAGGAAACCAGCCCTCGAATAATTGTTTAACTACAAATAGAAGTGATACGTTGTGATTCCAACTAAAAATGAAACCAACACATCAGTAATCTGGGAGTTTATTCCCCTTCTTTATCAGTAAGTCTCTGACATAATAATGATTTGAATGCTCCCCTGACAGACAGACAGACAGACAGACAGACAGACAGACAGACAGACTCAGAAGTAATTAATTCATGTTACGTTTTAGCTGCATATGAAGCTGTCCTCATTGTCTCCTATTTTCTTTCTGCCTACTTACTCTGTCCCCCACTGAGTTACTAAATTACAATCTCACACAATCTGTGTTTGATTGTGTGAGATTGTATTGTGCTCCCTGCCCTCCTTTAATCTCTCACCAGAATTTCCATTTTCATCGTTCTTTGTCCTTGACCAACTGGGTGCTCATTTGTTCTCTTGTGCGCTTTTGTCCAAATCCCTTTCTTTTCTCTCTCTATTGTGTTGAGAAATTGGTCACCTCTCTTCCCCTGTATCCTGTTATTGAGAATTGTTCCCCCCCTATCCATTTCTGTAGTTTTTCTTGACTTGTTGTACTCTCTACTAAAATTGAATCACAGCATAACCAATAATAGAGCATACTTTCCTTTCTGAAATCAGCATTTATTCATGTGTGAGACTGCTTTGTGATGTTGGAATGCAGAGACACCAGTTTTTTCGTGCGAGATGATCCACGTGTGTGTTTGCAGTAGTGAAAACAGGAGATTTTAATTCAGGCTTGTGACTGTGTATGTGAGGTCCAGCTCTCTGTGGTTACATGAGCCTGCCCAAACCTTCCAGAACCTGCAAGAGCAGGATATCCAGTTGCATGAAGCTGGGTCAGTCGAGGGCCAGCAACCCACCTTCTCACGCAAAGTAGCAAGCCAGCAGTTAGCCCTGCGTGTGAGTCCTGATAAACAAATGGTCACTGTCTGCACACAGGGAGAATGCTATCAGGCTGTCATCATCTCCCAGGCTGCAATCTGTCCTCCCAAAAGATCTCAGGGAGAGGAAAAAAAGCTGTATCATTTCCCTCCCTGAACACTTATCCCATTAAGAGCTACATTTGATTTAGTTTCCATTCAGTTCCTCTGGGAGCTCATGCCACCACACTGTCACTCTTCCCCCCCTCTTCTCTTTTTATTTACTTCTGTTTTCCTCTTTTACTGAACCTGCCCTCTCCTCCCCTCTCTCTTTTTTCTGACAGCGGAGCAGATGACCTGCTGCCAATCCTATCTTTCGTGGCTCTGCGGTGCCAGTGTCCTCAGCTGGTGGCTGAATGTGCGCTTTGGAGGAGTTCATTCATGAAGCGTGAGTCACCAGGATGGAAAAAGATGCTTAATAACCATCTCCTTTGTTTGCACCAAACATACAAAAACATGTCTGAGTTTAGTCACTGTTTCGAAGAACGTCTTTCGGCACGATCAGTTTCCCAAATCTGAAGAAGTTGGCAAATGATCTTTTACTCAGAACTAGTGTGCCTTCAGTTAACTTGATAGAATCCTAGCCAGCTTGCACACAAGTCATCACTGCAAATACATTGAGGGGTTACCGAGTTTCAGGGCTTTCAATAAAAAATACATTTTAATCTCAATAAGGCTTTACCTGACATAAAAGATATTTATACAGTGCCTTTATTCATTCCCATTCCTCTTCATATGTGAGGTGAAAATATCAGATTTCAACAAAGTCAGAGAAAGTAAAAGTGTGCATCTTGCTCATATTGCAACAGCACACCAGAGGGTCAAATGGAGCTTCACTGATTTAATAGCTAGTCATCACCAGAGCAGAAACGGTCTATTGTCACGCTTTCCCATTTGCCAGACCATCCCCAAACCTTGCTGCTCACAATTTGCTCATCAAGAACATTTCACTAGTGTCATTAGTTATGTTGTTTTCAACTTAAAATACTAACGTTCGAACAATACCATATGCAGTACTTTATCACCAAGCATATACCAAGAGAAGCAGACCAGTTAGACAGGTCTGGAGGGCCGGTTGTTTCGGGTTGATATACTCGGTGTCATTGCATGTGAGTTCAGACCACACCCAAGCGGTCTACTTGTGGCAATAAAAAACGGTGGGTTGTGAAAGTCGTCTGGTTAGATTGGCAATGGCTAAGGAATGTCAGGATATTTGGGATTTGGTTTTTCTTCTCTTAAAAAATCCCGCTGGATGTTTATGTAGTTCAGTGGGTTGGGTTCAAGTAAAAGGAGGGGTGTAACCAAAAGGCTGTGACTAATAAAGCCAAGACGCTTTAAACTGATTCGTTAGGGGAGCTATTTGTCGGTGGATTTGGGATTTTGGTCAAGGTTAAAAGCCTAAAAAAGGTAAAGTAGGAAAAATGGAAGAATTAAAAAAATGGTTCTTTTTGTCTTTCATTCTTATATTTAGAGGTTTTCCTACCATTTCATATAAAGTCAACAGAGGTTGACCATCTGTAAATGTAGACATCATGGAGGTTGTACAGGGAAGGTGAAACATGAACAAAAGACCTTGGACTGTTTCACGATGTACAAACAAATATAAACACACAAAAATGAGCAGTCTTTGTGGATGTTTTTGGTTTGTTACCTAATAGAGAGTAGTTTCACATGATGTTCAACCTCCTTCAGTGAAAGGACAAAATAGGGTTATGTTGTTGCTAAGCCTACATTTATAATTAAAATAATAATATTACAGTCATGTAAAATTTAAAAGGATTGTTGGATTGATTTGTGTATTTTATAATATAGTCTCCAAATTTCTGGTACATTTCTTCATGAAATAGTTCATAATGTTTGCAGTTAGATTTTTGTATTCTACAGTTCAGCATGAACATTTGGGTAATCTGCAAAGCTAACGCCACGTTAACTTCACAAGTTTGCAGACCACAGTCAAAGGATAAGCATCTTATCTCCTTTCCCAACCACTCAAGTCTTTGTGTCTATCCGTGCAGTGCTGCGTCCTTGCTCCAGTCGCTCTCGTGTCTTGCTCTCGTTAGTTAAAGGTCAGCCAGAGTTGACTAACTCTCCAGCCGACCTCTGTCTCTTGTCTCTGAGCAAACCTCCTTCCTCATCACTTTCCCTCCGACATATCAATCCCCCATCCATCACTGCACTGTTACCCAATATTTCCTACCTTTTGATACTTGTATTACAAATCTTACCATGTAGAGCAGAAATTATTTCTCTGTTAGTCACCATTGGAAAATGTTGGTGTGGTAATTTCTACTCTGTGTAGAGAAAATGTTCTGCTGTGTTCCTATTTGATCTCTTACAATTTTCTTGATGTTGCTATTTCTAACTGATGTCTTGTCCCCTTGCTTATTTTTCAGCTACTTGATAGGAGAGGAAGGTTACTGTCTGACCTCCATGCAGAGTGCCTTGGCCTATGTTGAGTCTTTGCACACAGGAGGATCTCACCTTTTGCCCAACAAGCTCATATGAAAAAGGTAAAAGAAGGTCCATACGTGATGCTCTGATAGAAATCATCCATCCATACACTAATTAATGAACAGATAAATTATGAGGAGTGTTTTATTTCCATGTGGTGATGAAAACTTTAAATTAATTTAAAATTGAATAAAATGTATGTGATTCCAGCCCTGTTCAAAGGCTCTGCAGATAAAACCAAAGCTAGTGTGAAATTGATTCATTGAGAAATATGACCCTTTACATTTTGGAAATGGACGAATAGAAAGTTGACCTAGTGTCAGATTATTTTTGTTTCAATACTGTTGCATTATAGACAAAACGTAGCTCATTGCAAAACACGCAAGACCAAAAGTGGGAAGAGTAACTTTAGAAATGGAATTTAGTTCAGTCTGAAGGGACTTGGGTTGGGAACCGGAAGGTCACAGGTTCAAGTTCTGGTACGGACCAAAGTATGGAAAATTGTTGTATGTAACTGCTTGTCCGCTGTGTGCAGCCCCCTCACTCTGAAGTCTCTGCCTGTATGTTCATGCGTGTATTACAGTGTATTTCACGTGTGTGAGTAGCTTTTGTCTCAATAGCAGAGTGTAAAAATGAATTTCCCCCCCTGGGATTGATAAAGTATATAGAATTTGAAGCACTCACTGGTGTCTCAGTGAGTTCACTGTATGTGAGACCTGACTGAACTGTGATGCACCAGTCCCTCTGAGCAGTTGTGAGGAGAGATGTGTTGAGAGAAAGAGGGACGCATGGAGTGAAGTAGACTGAGACTGATGCTTTACTCAGGGATGAGCGTGTCCCTGAATGGCTTGTCTGGCGCCCAAGGTGATGTTTCCACACTGCTACTCAGAGTGACGGGCCTAATGACACTTCATTTTATAAAATGTGACAACCTCAGCTGGCATCCTCCAAAGCTCTCAGTGATAGAATGGTTCCTCTACAAGCTAGTTTTGTAATATTTGATGAATATTTAATTTTGAAGCCTGCTATGCTGCACACAGCTACATATCTACTGGGTGACTGAAAACAGGATGCATTTTTCAGTATTTCTCACTGGAGATTTAGTTAGAAATTACTATATAGACACAGTTTATCCACAGTTGTTGTCAACAAAAGGACTTCATCAGCCCAGTCAAAACAAAACCAAGAATACAGCACTTGTAACAATGCAGAGAATAACATTTGATATTATCTTTAAAAGGCCCTGCAGTCACTGGACCCTCCTGACAGTTCAATCTGCAGAGCACAGCCACTGTGCTCCAGAGAAACAGCTTAACCTGCAGCTCCTTGCTAGTTGTGCAGACACGTTACCATACAGACACATTGACTATTTAACAGAAGGTCTTCTTTTTACTCTTCTTCCAACAGAGAACTAAACCAGCTTGTCTAAACCTGTTTCTTCACCAGAGGACTCAACCAGCCTGAGTGGTTTCTAACCAAATTGAACCCTACAAGGCCAGACTAGACTTTACTGCGGCTTCCTAAAGATTGGTTTTGGAACAGCAAAGCAATGTTGAATTGACTTACACTGGATTGTTATAAGGGATTATTGTGTGTGGTTGATGTTCGAGGGAACTATTTGAAGGGATGACATTGATTATGACTCCTTGGAGATATAAACCAGAATATTTTTTTTCTGTTGATTTGAACATATAAATTGTATATTGTTGCTTTTTTATTAACCTACTAAAACAGGCACTTTTATAACTAGACACTGTTAATGCATGGGTGTGTCTGTTTGTATGTTAGAAAGACTGAATGAATTATATTATGATGTACACTTTGGGCGATGAAGAGTTTAGGGTTCATGCAACACTGGTTGATTGTTTTTAGTTCAGACAGTAGATCTATTTGCAGACTTGTCTAACAGGCAGAGAGTGGAACTGGCACAGATGTCATACAGAAGGAATGACTGTGGGTTTTAAGGTTCAGCTTGCAGTGTCGCTTGTCAGTCACTGTTTGCATGTAACAGCATGTTGGATAACTCTTCAGTTAGGCAAACAGAATTATGCTAGATGACTGTATGCTAGTACTAACTGTGTGTAGTACCACTGTCGCACTTTGTCCGCTTTTGAAGCGTGTGTTACTATTTGCTAGACAAGCCACAGGGACTGCAAGTAACAGTGAACGCAATTTGGCAATTTAGATTTATTCAGTTTTGTTTTCTGATCGAAAGGTAATTGTTATAGTTGCCTTGTATCTGTGCGTCCACTTAAGTATTTACTGATTTTTTTTTTTTTTAACAAGCTCAAAAATCACTGTACCATTTCAAGGAGAGCTAAAAACGTAGACAGACTCTTTTTTTTTTCACAGCCTACTTTTATAGTTTTTTTTATCCACTTCCCGATGCTTCTCTTGATGTCTACAACTTTTCATGTTTCACTTGATATGACTGGACAGAATTCTTGACTGATATTTTAAGCTACAAAAAATACTTTTCTATGAAGCCATTCTAACAGTTTTGTTTTAAATACAGGTAAGTGCAGACCTCAGTCTGTGTTCACCTGAAAGGATCCTGATGTTTATGCATTTCATTTTCCAAATCATGTTGACTTGAGTGACTGTTTTTAAAGCATGCTGATTTATCTTTTCTTTTTAGTCTTACTGTAAGTGTGTGTTTACCTTATCCAGGCAGTCATTGGCATCTTAGTGTACCAGTGTATGAATGAACTCACAAATTTTTTAGCCCCCATTAGTGTCGTGTGTGTGTGTGTGTGTGTGTGTGTGTGTGTGTGTGTGTGTGTGTGTGTGTGTGTGTGTGTGTGTGTGTGTGTGTGTGTGTGTGTGTGTGTGTGTGTGTGTGTGTGTGTGTGTGTGTGTGTGTGTGTGTGTGTGTGTGTGTGTGTGTGTGTGTGTGTGTGTGTGTGTGTGTGTGTGTGTGTGTGTGTGTGTTAACAGTGATGGATCTGAATAGTCCAAAACAATACTTTGTGTTGCTTTGGTGCATTTTTTGCTGGATATTTAGGAATCTGGATTCTTTAAATTTGAAACTTGATGATCATCAGTAAATACAAATATGATTTATTATTGGTGGATGGGGATAAAATATGCAATTTATACTCTGGTTTCAGTAGACTTGACTCCACTGTCAATTACAGACTGAAACAACTGTTTTTTTATGTTATATGTTCATTTTATTTAGTTTGATTTGTTTTCTTGCTTGATGCTATTTAATTGTCCAAAAGATGTGAAAAGATGTCATAAGAACTGCTTTGAATTTGTAACTGTTACCTTTATTTTGTGACCTGAATACCAAAAACAGAAAACTGTGTGTTATAACTGACAATGTGATTCTAGTTTAAAGAGCAGGATGCTATATTTTGTAAAGTGGAAAAAGCTTCTTAATTTTGTGAATTATCCATTGTTCATTCCTTTTATAAAACAGAATGTAAATGTTGTTTCATTATTAAACTGTTTTGAAGTGAAAGGTGGGAAATGTTGAAATGGTAAGGATGAATGTATTTAAGAAACTGGTCAATAAAGAGAACAGAGAAATATTTCAATATTTCAATCAGTTTTTTTTTGTGGTTCAAAGTTTTGCTTCTCCTTCACTAATAAGAGTTATAAAGTAATGCTGCAGTACATGGTGTTAACAGAAGTTATCAAAAATTCTCCAAAAAGAAAGATGTCCTCTTCCGCTGTTGCAACCATACAGTGCAAATATGCTAATGCTAATATGCTACGTTTTTGTAGTTGTCGGCTGTGGCATCTGTTAAGGCTAGCACTTGCTGTTAGTTTCATGTTGCTATTCATCCATAATAATGAGTATGTGAAAAAAACGTTAACATTCAAAATGTAAAGACAAACGAACAGACATAAACAGTCCTATTGTTGCATTTTGGAGTTTCTTACCATTTATAGACATTTCAGATTGTTAGTTCACATTTATTCCAAGTGGACAACAGAGACTAGTCTATACAACCAGTTTCTGAAGAATGGTGGAGTTTGTGTCTTCTAGTCTTTGAAAATCAGTTCTTTTGCTAATACCATGCCCATCAACCATGCTGTTTGAATGAATGTGTGAATGAGCATGACTGCCTCCCAGACTAGTAGGCGACTCAGAAATATAGTTTAGAGGTTGAGCTGAAGGCTGACCCCTTTTTTTTTTTTTTAGTGTGCCCAATTCTGCCCAAGATGTTGATGGACTTCGATTGGTTGGGAGTACTGTAGGCCGAACAAAAGTTATCATTAATTAGAGTCATCTTTCGGTCTCATTGATCCTTACTTACAAGAGATAGGGCTTTTACAGTAGCACTTCAAACAACCATCCCCGCCTCCTACATCCCAACACTAACAGCAACTGATGTGACATGTTTTTTATTTGGCTGTCAGTTGTTAGGATGTCTGTTTGGGGTTGATGCCTGGGTGACTCAAGAGGCAGTGAGGGGCACATGGATAAATAGCAGCAGAGGAAAAAACAACATGCCACTATGAATCAGTCAGAACAGCACCAAAAGCCACAACACCACCCTTCATGTCAACCTCTTCTAACTCTTGTTCTCTTGCTCCTTCTCTTCATGAATGTCCTTTTCCTGTACCGGTGCTTTGTTGCCTCAGCTTCAGAGTTTCATGGGTCCATTGCAGTTCAGCAGGATTATTTCCTCTTCCCAGTGGTTTAAACTAACAGCAGACACTGTAGTTTAAACCACCTTAGATGTATTCTTGGCACAGCTAAAACACGACCACTCTGCCAAGGTGGGCTTCTAGTGTTAACTGGTCGAATAAGCCATGAGGGCCTGTGTCCATGAACTACGTTTTTTTAAATTAAAGGTGTTCCACTTTGCACCCACTACAGGCTTGTGGAATTTCAGTCCCAATGACTTAATATGCAGTTTTTTTCTGTTGAATTTGTTTTCTGTATTTGTCTGTTTTTGACTTTACGTTTGGAGCACTTTTGTTTTGTTTTTTGGGTTTTTTTGCACTCATTAGTTAAATGTGTATTTAGTCACTTACAGATTGCAAATCCGCAACAGGGCCGTAAAGGATTTCCACTGTCAATAGGCCATACATTTAATCTGCAAAAACATGAGGGGCATGGCATGTGAGCACACAGCTGAAGCTTCACACACACACATACACACACACACGCACACGCACACACAACACTGTTCTGCCCCTGTTACTAACTTGGAAGGTGGTGCATGTCTGAGTGTCATCACTTTAGGATGTCTGTGTTTGGAGGAATATTTGTTGATGCTGAAGTCTTCCCTAAAATCACTTTGGCCCTATACCATTCATTTCTTACCCCATTAAGGTATTACTTGAGTGAAAGGTTGGCATATTATATCCGTGTTTACAGTTCTGTTTTGCTGTAGTGTCAGTGATTGTGTGTCCTGTTAGCTGGATGGGACACACCCTGGTGGAGATAGCGTGACTTGAGAGTTCTGACACTGTGCTTCCCTGACCTCAAAGTTGGCTGCTGATATGACACAAACCTCTTGAGTATGTAAGCCTGTATCAATAATTTCCCAAAGTAACAATCATGTCAGCAGCTGTTATAAAGCACATACAAATGGGCTCATCATCCTTCCGTCCACTTTTTCCAGACAGGGAAAGGTCATATCTCAGTTTGGACACACACACAAACACAAACACATACACAATCTCTTGCCTGCATAGCTGCCCTGCCCCTCTGGCTCAGGCAGCCTGTGGTGTTGGTTTTTCAGAAACTTTACGCTTTAACACAGCTTTAGTGAGGTCCCACTGCGCTCTCACGAAAGGCACAGCTTTTTACTGCCAAGATCACAACTTGTTTTTCATTCTTGTTAAACATTTTAATCCCTCTCGTCTTGGCCACTCCAGTTTTAATCAAAAGCAGAGCAGCATTTTGACACCCACCTCTTTACTGCTGAATACTCTTCTTTCCTCAGTGCGATCATCCCTGCATGCTCATGCGGCACAGAAAAAAAACCATCAGCCGATGACTTCATATGTTTCCTCTTACAGTACTGTATGAACTGTAACTCAGCAAAATAAATATGTTTACTCTGAGCTCTTTCAGTGCAATTACCCCTATTTACCTAGGTTAATGAAATCCCTTCTGCAGCATACAACCACTTTTATCCTGCTGTCCTGTAATAAAATATGGGATCCAGCCAAAGTAAATTACACATTCCTGTTTTTTTGGCCCTGGGTTTGAGCCTCAGCATGTTTTATTTGGTCCGAGATTGGTAGACTAAACCTTACACCGCGTCACTCCCATCTTTAAAAAGGTTTAAGAGTGTACATGTCAGTGCCTCTGTTCTTGTAGACATGGCAGTGCTTTGGACACTTCTTTGGACTTTTGTTGTCTGCAACATGCCGACAAAGACTATGTCAGCTGAACTTTGGCATTTTCTAGATTTACTATACTGAACTTTTGTGATAATTTAGTCTACTGTACATATTATACAAATGATGGTTTTTAAATAATATAAAGATATGAGAAAAATCCTGTCAGATGGTTTAAAAAATCTGGCGGGTATATTTTAAATGGACATCACTCATCTGCTCACAAACACATGAACTGCAGGCCCATCGGCAGAACACAAAACAGCGTTTTGTTCAGAAACGAGTATTTACAAAATTAAAAAGATTTAAAAAAAAATGTAACTTTTATTTAACTATTTAACCAGGTTATTAACACATTGAGATCAATATCTCTTTCACAAGGTTAACATGGCCAAGAGGGCAGCAGCACATACCATAATAAATATTACATGATTGAGAAACACAAACAATAAGCATGACGGGTGAAAAGATCATCAAAATAATTACAATGAATCCCAACAGTAACATTAATATTAGTACAACATTTTGTGCCAACAACTGCAATGACCTTTCACTTCAATACAAAAATGTGAGCCTGATGAGGACAAAATCTAACAAAAACTTTGGAGTCATTTTGCTAAGAAAAACACTTACCATGTTGGCGCTTATACAAGGCACTTCACTAAAAACACAAAAGTTAGCCTCATAGCTTATAGTCAATCGTTGTCATGGAACTGACAAAACAAGGCTCTTTCATCAGAATTCAGACTGGCTTTGTCTGATACATCAGGGCAGCAGATTCATGCATTGATTACACTGTACTGAAATAATCAATCTTATTCTCATGGTCGTATTTGCTGTTTTAAAGGATGAATGGACATTACTATTTTTACACTGCAGGTCACACTTACCCATTCATACCACATTCAGGCTCTTACGTAAATTGTCTATCAGTGCTGATATCATACACATTCCCACATCCCTGATGCAGCAGCGGGAGCAATTCAGGGTTCCATGTCTTGCCGAAGGACACTTAAATATGTGACTATATGAGCTGGGGATCGACCCTCAGCATTCCAGCGGAGAGAACAGACTCTCGACTCTCTGAGCCACAGCCGCCCAACATTTCTTTATCATTCAGTTTCATAAAGAACAAAAACAAATTGCTGTCCTCATGGCAGCACTATTCAGATACCTATATTATATTTAGCACCTCTGAACCATTTGATCAAACAATATCATGATATTGATGGCACTATATCTTGATGTTAAGGTGTTAAACTTGATTTGTCAATATTTGACCAGCCATTTGTGCTGCTAAAATCCTGTTTGTGCATGTGTATATTTCAGCTATGTGTGTGTTGCATGATTAACAGAGTGTAAAAACAGAACTTCCCCTTGCGGGGATCAATAAAGTAAATCTTAATCTTAATCAAAATTCTACATTATTCTTTAACTTACACTTCTTTCTTTTTGGCCTGCCTGGTCGTACATCAAAGCAAATATTTTCACCCAGTTTTCTGTCATTTAATCTGATCACTGATCAGTCACTAACCTTTGTGACTGATCCTCTGTCTATTGAGTCTCCTGTAGAAGGCCGAGGCCCCTCGTTCCTTCTTAAACAAAAGAAAGTTTTCTTTTCCTATTAGACTGAGATCAGTCATCAATAGAGGCAAATGCTTGTTTGTTCGGGTGTGTTTGACCTTTCCGTCTTTCTTAGAGGGAGATGGGGGGACAGAGAAGAGAGAGTGGGGCCCAATGGGCTCTCCTTTGAGGTTCAATTATATTTTCGACTAATTGAGTCAGCCAACAAGTTCATTTGACTGACTACCCCCACCTACTATACTAATCTTTCATATCCAATCCCAGTCACCCATGTCCCTCGGGCCTAATAAAGCACGTATGCATTAACACGGTATACAAGACAACAATGGCCCCTCTGATAATGACTGTGACCTCCAAACTTCTGTTCAGTTTATCTAAGGGACGTGGTGCCCCAAATAACAGGTTGCACATATAGGGGACTATAAGGGGGTCTGTGGCATGCTGGTGCTGGTAAACAGGTCAAATAGTCACGCTATGGGGATGTAAATGTGTCAAAGCACCCAAACAGTCTTTCTTTTCTGCTTTTTATTCATTTACTTTTTTTCTATGCAATCCCCATTGAGACAACAAACCTTGCCTTTTACACAAAGGCACATTTTCAGGCTAATTCAATTCAGTTCAATTCAGTTCAGTTCAGTTCAACTCAGTTCAGTTCAATTTAGTTCAGTTCAGTTCAATTCAATTCAGTTCAATTCAGTTCAGTTCAGTTCAGTTCAATTCAAGTCAATTCAATATGCTTTATTGGCATGAATGTGTAAATATATTGCCAAATAGTGACAATAATTTTATAATCACAAATTATACAATAATAATAAAAATAAATAATTAATTATTAAAAAGTATCAATAATAATTAGCGATAATGATATTTTAACAAGAATAACAATTAGCTAGGCTATATATATATTTAAAAAAATCTGATTGATTGTCTGTGATGAATTTTGCAGCTATAATTTCACAGTGTGGTTTCTCTCAGCAGATATGGGAGTTTTTGTGTGTGTGTTGTGTGCTACTCAGGGTTTACATGTGTTATCTGGGGGATGTAATCCTCCCTCACAGCCTGATATTTAGGGCAGAATCAGAAATACTTTATTTGGGGGGGGGGGCACTGAATGTGCTCTTTTTCTGACCAGCACATCGTGGAGTGGGTGATAGACATTGTCCAAGATGCAACGCAACTGAGTTAGCATCCTCCTCTCTGACACCGCTGTCAGAGAGTCCAACTCCACCCCAATAATGTCACTGGCCTTGCGGATCAGTCTGTTGATTCTGTTGGAGTCCGCTACCTTCAGCCTGCTGCCCCAGTATGCAACGGCAAAAAGGATAGCACTGGCCAACACAGACTCATAGAACATCCTCAGCATCGTCCTGCAGATGTTAAAGGACCTCAGCCTCCTCAGGAAGTAGAGTCGACTCAGGCCCTTCTTGTAGACGGCCTCAGCGTTCTTAGATCAGTCCAATTTATTGTCTATGTAGACTCCCAAGTACTTGTAGTTGTCCACAATGTCCACACTGACCCCCTGAATGGAACTAGGGGTCACCGGTGCTTTTGCCCTCCTCAGATTCACTACCAGTTCCTTGCCAGGTTGAGCTGGAGATGGTTCTGCTCACACCATGCGACAAAGTCACCCACCATAGCCCTGTACTCAGCCTCCTCACCCTTGCTGATACATCCAACTACAGCAGAGTCATCAGAAAACTTCTGAAGATGGCAGGACTCTGTGTTGTAGTTGAAATCCGTGGTATAGAGGGTGAAGAGGAAGGGAGACAGGACCGTCCCCTGTGGAGCCCCGGTGTTGCTGACCACTCTGTCTGACTCACAGTGTTGTAGGCGCACATACTGTGGTTTACCAGTCAGGTAGTTCACAATTCAGGACACGAGGACTCCACCTGCATTGTCGTCATCTTCTGACCAAGTAGAGCCGGACGGATGGTGTCAAAAGCACTGGAGAAGTCAAAAAACATGACCCTCACAGTGCTGTCCGGCTTGTCGAGGTGAGCGTAGACCGGTTCAGCAGGAAGGTGATGGCGTCCTCGACACCTAGTCGGGGCTGGTAGGCGAACTGGAGAGGATCCATGAGGGGCCTGACCGTTGGTCGGAGCTGATCTGTACTTTGTCAGGACTTTTCTTGTGTGTTTTATTTTTACAGTGTTCATGTAATCTTCCAATGTGTAGTAATTGTTTAGGGCCAAATTGCATTTTAATTTATTATGTTTTTGAGTTATTTCCTCAAAATATTTTATGCATTTTTCTTTTTTGATAATTAGATTTGGTCGAATCAGGGGGGTGTTAGGGTCCTGAGCCTGGTTTGGTAGTATTCAGGTGTTGCTGTGGTCCTGAGGCTGTCCAGCCTAGGTCATGTGATCCGGGTGAAGCCTCTAAACCAGCTGGTTGAGGGGACTTTTATCTGGCTTCAGCTCTCGGCAGCTCAAGGCAGTGCAATGGTCAGACTGGGGGTCACTTGTTTTTAGGTGTTGATAGAATTTGAGTGCTCTTTTTGGTATTTTGAGGAGGAGGGGATATTGGCTGAGTTCTGCTCTACATGTGTTGTTTGGGGTCTTTTTTTAAATATGTAAGAGGTTCTTACAGAACTCGTAAAATTTTTCGATTATTGTTTAGTCCCACATGTCAAAATCCTGATTTAATTTTGGTCCCTAGATTTCACTGCCATACAGGCTAATTGGTTCTAACACAAATTGAAAAATGTTGAGCCAGATTTTAATTGGGATGTCAAATTTGATATTTCTTCTGATTGCATAGAAAGCCCTTCTTGCTTTGTCTCTCAGATCATTCACGGCCAGGGTGAAGCTTCTTGTGGAGCTGATCTGCAGGCCAAGATATGGATAATGTTTTGTGTGTTGTAATTTAGATGTGCCCAAATAAAATTGCTAAATGTTTTCCTGGCTCCTGGACTGCTTCTGGAAAGGTTTACCGTCAGGGCCCAGGTCTGACTGAAGTGATGGAGGTGGTGCTGCTGTAGACACTCTTTTGTAGGAGACAACAACACCAAGTCATCAGCATAGAGGAGACCTTTGATTTCTGTCTTGTTCTAATAATAATGATAATAATAATAATAATAATAATATTAATTGTTTTTGGTATAGCACCTTCCACAGAGCTAGGTGCTTTACAAAATATTACCATAACAGTAAAAACAACAATTAACACACCATGATGGATACACAGGAGCCATGATGTAGGACATATCTGGTTTATTGGACTTTAAAAGCAAAATGCTGCATATTTAAGCTTCCATTTGACATATTTAAACTCTGCATTAAGGGATAAAAAGGACAAATCCATGCTGGAACCTTTGTGTACGCAAATCAGTCAAGTTCTGATCGGGTGTTTCATCATAGCATGCCAATGACTATTACTATTCTGGGGCCAATATCTGCATCTGCAAGGGGTCAGAATGCTTAAAGTGAAATGCGTGTAGTTTGGTCTGACACCTGCCACCATTTTTTTTTACTCCCCAAACTGACAAACTTACTATCACACTGTCTTTTGCAGCACTAAACAAGGTGTGCTGAGGTGAGAAAGTATGGAATTTCTAAAATAATTCTACCAACAACTACGTCAACACTTTATGTACTTGTTCACTTCAAGCATATAACCAGTCGGAATGCTTCAACAACATGCTTATCACATTGTTTAAAAGCTTCTGAAATTGCTAATATCTCCCTCTCTCTCTCTTCTTTCAAACCTGTCACATTGTTGTGTGGCTTTAGAAATGCTAATGTGCCCTTAGCTACAGTTTTCTTGGAGAAATCGGGAGGTAGTATGCAGCAATCGCAGGCTGTAATGTCAGACTTTCCTCTCCGACTTGAGTATAGAAAATTGGATAAATAAAACATATGTTTAAACATATTTCTATTTAGCTGTGATTGGGCAACACATCACATAAATGTGTTCCTTTTATTTATATAGCAAAATTTGATTTTGGGGTGTTCATACTTCTGAAGCAAACCACATGCAGACAGTGTGTGACTTGCTGGATACACAGGAAATCCAACTCATCTGGAAAAGGTGGATAGACTCCTTGCAACTTAAATACTAAAATCGGACATTTTCTACAGGCTTGCCATTCATTTTAAGAGGGCTTAAATTTACAATGTCTCTTCCACAAAAGGTTACGAATGGTTTAGTCTGTCAGGCTCTTAACATCCCATTTAGAGTGCCCCTAGTCTTCAGTATTCCCAGGATCTTTTTCTATTTCATAAAATCTAAGGAAGGTCAAATCATCAACAAAACTCACCTACCAGCTACATCTACACTATTGCTGAGTCCTTAAAATGTCAGACCAGGAATCAGTAGTAGAGATGTATTCCCCCAGTCTCTACCTGTTGCTCTTTTTTAATTTCAGGATTTGAAAAGATACCCAATGGACTAGTCCAGTTCAAAAAGTAACATTTACATTCAATACTAAATTGACACAAGTCCAACTTTGTTAAATATTCACAAATTCAGTTTTGATCAAACGTATTTGAATGTATGTTTACTAGCTCACTTGTTATGTTTTTTGGCAATTATGCCACCAATTTGCAAACTGTGGAATAGCATGAAACTCATACAGAATAAGAACGAACCGGCGTCGACCCACCAAGACACAATATCATATCTCATTGGGGTAGTAGTTTGTTTTTTCGACCTGCTGTTTAACAGTCAGTGAGAACTCGAGTGAACTTGGCTGTATTGAATCTAAAATCCCTCCTTTCAGATTTGCCTTCAGAGCTCTAAATTTTTCTTTTACAGACATATCACAACAGCTCGTGCAGAGGAAATAGTTGCTTACTCAATAGGCATCAGATTATATACAGTGTCATTTGAAGCAACAATTGAAACGGTGTGCATAGACAGGGTTCATAATTCTTGGAGAAGAAAACAAACAAAAGAAGAAGATGTAAATCTTTTTTTTTCTTTGAGAGTGTTCAGTGAAAGTAGGAGCAGAAGAAGAAGTGTAGATGTGGTAAAAGACTCTGGAAGAAGAATTAAAGGTCCTCTCCAGAAGGACAGTCTTTAGGTCAGCGGGGCAGTTGATTGTAAAGACAGTGTGGGAGGTGTTTGGTCTTCCCACAAGGGCGGTGACGGCTTCGCCCAGGTCCAGGTGGTTCAGGTAGCCGGGTGCCATGCGCTCTGGAGTGCCTACACCTGTGTTGATTTTCACCTGCCGGAACCAGTCAAGACAGGGAACGACAGATGAGGTAGGAAACATTTACAGAAGGTTAAAGAGAAGCAGTGTGTGACTCTGCACAGCAAACATTTAAATGTTAATGCTTGGTACAAAGTGCTTTACCTGTACAAAACACCAAACAGAAAGATTTTACCTGATGACATCATTCTTCCAAGCACAGCACAAGATTATAAAATAAATCCTCTAGTTTGTGGCAACATCAAAGAAGGAGAACCATTCTCACGAGCCTTAAGTCGACCTTAAGCTCACCAATCGTAAATAAACGCGCAGACAAACAGAGGAAGCAGTGTTTTTAATTATACAGACTTTTCATTAAGAACTGCCTTCATCAACAACTGTAAACAGTAATCATGTTTCTGTCTTTTTCCATGATAGGAATAATGAAATTAAAGCCTTCTTTGTTACATGAAGTCTACAGCAGAGGAGACTAACCTCCTTGTTGCAGCACTAATACCAGTGAAACCCATCATTACCCCAGCTCTGTTCAGGCCTACAGCTTTCCAAATGTTACAAAATCTGAAACAATTATTTTCCACACCCAAACATAGCTGCCAAAAGGTTTGTTCTGCTGCCGTCTACGATTAAAAAAATACAATAACTAAATGATTAATCTTGTCACTGATGCTCTCATTTGCTTTTGAGGGCCACAAAGAGACGTCATTTTAAACTCAAGTATAAACAATAAAACACACGGGGTATATTTTACTATGGTTCTTACTTCTATACTTCAAGATCATTTATCCAATTCTACTCAGTAAATTACTGAGAGTACGGCTAAACCGCTTCAAAGAAGTCTTGCACAAATGTGATGGGTCATGGTTTTAATGTCAGCCAAGCTGATTTTGAAATAAAGCAACGGTGAACGGTTTCAATAATACTTACACTGTCTCCTTGAACCTTTAAATAATGAACAGAGTGACTACAGTACAGACTTTGACCCTCTGTTAAACATGTATTTGTGGACACTACTAGTCGATAAGACTTTTTATTTTATAGTACATTAGTTGTTTATAAGGATGTACAGTATCATATGTTAAAGTGTTGGCTGACTAACCTGCAGTATTAAATGAGTTTAGGGTAAGAGCAATCTGTCTACTCAACTACTCAAGTGTGGCTTGACTACCTGTTGTAGTCACATCATTATACCTTCATCACATAAATTGTGTTGTATACCAAAACTTGTAAAATTAGACTCAAGTGTTAAAGTCTCACCTGGTTGAGCTTGCAGGACACATCAGGGTACTCCTCTCGTAGAACCTGACAGAAGGACAGGGTGCTGGCAGCTCCGACTGTCAGGAAGCCTGTACCTGGCATCAGCAGCTTCTCACCTGCTCCTCCTGTGGCACAGAGCAGCACAGGTCAACAAACTCAATAAGCTGTCATTTCACAGCTTTTCCACCACTGGGCAGAGTGGCTTTGTGCTAGAGTTGGACCTGCAGATGTGCTTAACCCATTCTTACATCTGTCATGAAAATGTAAATAGAATGTGTACATAAAGAGAAAAGTCATGTCATGTCATTCAGCACAAAAATGTTTTAAACTTTCTTGTTAAATTTGAAATGTATAATTGTGCCATTAAAAGGCTATTATAAAGTCAGGTGACAGAGTATACATACACTAAAAGACAAACCGTGGGTTTCAGTATATTTGACCAAAAGTCAAGTTACGCCACCTCCAAAACATGACTTCCTTCTTTCATTGTTTGCTTGACAATACAATCTTTATTCTATACTTCTGGGTTGAATAGAAAGAACACTTTGGTAAAAAGCCCTGAAGGCTTACAAACATCTTTTGTTTCACCATCATGTCATTTTATCAATCTGACTGAGAATTAAAAGCTTGAGTGTCGAAGGACCAAAATAAACTGACAATTAAATAATCAGTAAACTAGTTTTAAATATGTTCAGTCTGACATAAATAAAAGAAAGATGTCTTCCATGTTCTCCATGTTCAATATGATATATGTTCCTATTTTACAAAATACAGAAGACTTAGGTGCTTGCCAAAATGCATACATGAAGTAGTCAAGGACAGAGATTCATGGATTATAAAAATATCACAAATCTTTATTTTAGTTTATTGGAGAGAATTTTAAAACGACTGAAACTTGCGTTGCTATAAAAACTATAATCTAACAAATGTTAAAGCCTTTACAATTGAAATTAGATTTAAAAAATTTGGTTCAAGCAATAAAATAACAAAGTGGAAGAGGCACAAGTCAAAGTGATCAATGGTAATCTGTACACTTACATCATGCATATTTTAAGGTAAAATCACATCTGAGATCTCCTAGAGATTTAAGTTGAGTAGAGGAAAAAGGTTAGAATAAATCTGAGGTCTTAATTTTGCTTGCTTTAAAAAATAAATACAAAACAGGGTTTAATGCAATGCCCCATGGTTTCAGCAGACAGCTACATTCAGTCAGGGAATAACTTCTACAATGTTGTACATGTGTTTGACTTATCCGTTGGCCAGACACACAACTACTTGCTGCTTTTGTTTGCTGGCTGGGTGAAAGCACAACTATAAGATAGCATGTTCACCATATTGATGTTTTAAGTGATAAAAAAATAATACTGAAGTTGATTTGTTCACCCTATCTGGCCAAAGAAAAACATTCTTAATTTACAGAGCCTTAATATTTGTCTTCTTGGTATACCACCGAAAACCAAACAGCATATAAGTTCATTTTCTAATGTGTCTCACATGAAAACAAGCATGTACTACATGGTGACGTACATTTGACAGGGGTTCTACTATCAGTAGAAAACAAAAATCACAGGCAGTCACCTGTTATGAAGGTGTAGGTGCTGTTGGGGTCGTCTCTCACCAAGGGAAAGAAGGCCTTCCATGAGACAAACGTGCTGAAAAGTAATGTCTCAACCACCTAGAGAGTTGACAACAGATACAATATGAAATAATTACCCATGAATCAGAATTTCACTTTGGATTACATGAAGACTTGGCTTGCCTGAAAATGACAGCTTTAAAACTTCTGCCATCAGCATGCAATATGATCAAATGCAAGAAAGAGTTATATCTACTCAACACCATTGGCAGTGCCAGCTATTGATCTGGTTCGTATGAGCGTGCTCACCCACTGTAGGTCTTTAAGAGACTGTGTGTGTGGGGGTCCTCCCTGCCACCAACTGAAGCCCAGAGAAGAGACGATGTCTGTCACCTTCCCCACCGCCTTCAGCAAGGCCTGTTTGGCCTGCTCTGCTCCCTCCTCTGATCCTGAAAGGGAGAAAATAAATTCTGTTACTGTGGTCAGGCTGACAATGTCCCATTTGTCCTCTGTGTTAGAGTGTGATACAGATAGATAGATAGACAGATAGATAGATAGATAGATAGATGATAGATAGAGCAAACAGATTGATTATTTGTTTATTATTTCACACTGTTTTTAACTTGTACCGCAGGGTAGGTGTCAGATTCACACTGAGTTATACATTTGACTGGTACAAGAAATCAAGAGGAGATTTTTTTCTATCAGAAATCTACACATGTAGATGACAAGATCATCAAAGAGATAAGATAACATAAAATGCAAATTCCTCACAGGAGTTTTAAAGTTGAGCCATTTACAATCACTTTGAGGAGTGTGCTCAATGAGGCACGCTGACATAATCAATTCCAGCCAATCATCCACTTCCTGTCTCCATCCTGACCTTCTGTTACCCAGTCTCACAAGGACTCCACTGAGCAGTGCCAGAGCAGCCGCCAGTCCTGTCTGGTTCCCTTTCAGAGCCCAAGCGACAACAGTTCCTGGCTCTCAGCAGGCTGTCCCTGCCAACATGGAGCCTGAACTGTCTGACCCTCAGCTAGCTGTTACTGTTTCCCTGATCCTGGGCTGTAGCAGTCACCAGCTCCGCTGTACTGTGGTGTTCCTCACTTCCTACGTTTCAGCCGCTTTTTCCTAAATTAAAACTTCATAACTACATAGTCTACCTTACTAGCCACCCGGTCAACATCCCCAGTCTCATGCTGGACATGTGCAAAACAAGCAGCCAGGCCTTAAGCCTGTGTCTTTCTGCTTCTGTCCTGGCTGTTCATCTGAATGATATTCTCAGCTCTGCTCTTCAGCTCCAGTGCAATTTGTGAGACTCCTGACTCCTACCCTGTTCTGTGCTCATGACAAGACCAGGTGGGGTTTATTCATTCATGTATAGGGGTTCTGCTATAGGCTGTTTTTTTTTCCTGCAGACACACAGACTGGACTGCATCAATGCATTTGATTTACTCCATTTTCTGGTGATAACGAGTAATTCCCGGTTGTTTTCTTAAAATTTTGACTCAAAGGATAATCAAAGGATAATCAGATCAATTATTCTGTTCTAATTGGAAAACCAATTATGTAAATAACATTATGTAACTCTGTTATGTAAAGTGACAAATAAATGACCTTGATTTCTTACAGACAGATATCGGGTTGAGAGGGAGGATAATGTAACTCGACAACTCAACTCACCCACATTCCCCACGATAGTAGTGAGGTTATCCTTTGTGTTGGGAGAGACAAATGAACGGAGTCTCTCCAGTCGGCTGCTGTCCCTGGAGATCACTGCAACTTTGAAACCTGTGTAAACACACATTAATATCTTTGATGTATAGACAGTGTAAACTGCTCTTTTAGATACATTAGGAATAATCCCTTTGACATGAAAACAAACAAAGACCTACAGTGTTCTAATCTGTTTGTCAGGGTCATTGTAGGCATAAATGTGACGCAGCAGCAGATGGTAACTTTCTGCTCAGTTAAACAGGAAAGCTATGGATATACTCTTGCACAGCGTCCTCCTGCTCCTTTCTTGCACTGGTTCATGCAGAGTGCAGACGCAGCACAACACAATAAATAACCCAAATAGATCTCAGCTTTGGGGCTGAAACAGTCTCTAATCAGGGATGAAGATGGTCCCAAAACTGATTTGACTCGTACCTTAAACCACAAAATGTAATTCAAGAAAAGATAGGATAGGAAGTACAGAAACTGAGAGTGTATGGCACTTTGTAAATCAAACCAACAGCAGAGAAATCCCAACAGTTAATTCATTAAAAAAAACAATTAAGCAAATTCTGACTATTCCTTTAAGCTTCCAATATAAATATTAATAACATATTTCCACCCAAACACATGCAACTGTTATATGAAAATGGTTGCAGGTTGTTTCATGTTTTTCATCTCCTGACCTCTCTCGTCCTGCCTTGTCACAACACACATTTCGGTATAGTCATGTAAATCCCTTAAAAAATACCAACATTATGTAAGTCTGTCCTCAGCCCCAAGCACTCTGAAGATATAACCTTAGAAATAAGCTCAAATATACAGAACATATTTTCAAATAAAAAGTATGGACATTTCTTTAAATAATTGATACATATAGTATTTATTTAACAAAAAGGAGAGAATATTGAATTTGTTTATATTCTTATACACAAATTGTAGGCTACTGTATTAAGTTTTTAGGGTGGGAGACAATGGGGAATATGTTAACAAATACTAATTTGTTTTACAAAAGAGCATTTCATTAATGAGCAGTGTTGCTCAAAAACTGTTCTCTGACAGAGGTGTTCATCAAATAACAGAACATGTAGGGTATATATGGTAGTATTTACACAAGTTAAGTATTATATGATTTTTAATATGATGCTTAACTATTTAACTTTCATTTTTATATAATTATGTTTATTCTGTAGGCTATATGTTTGCCAAGGAGTGATTGAAAAGTTATTATCGTACACAATGAATCAAAGCATTATTATGACTTAACCAATATATTCAAAATCAAATTAAAGCGCAATGATTAAGATTAGAAATATAAATAAAACCAGTGGGGTCTGAACATTCTGAAATATATTTTGATGCCAGTCTCCAAATGAGATTTTTGATTTCATGGCTTTGGGGTGAACGACTCACGGATCATTCTGAATGATAAAAAAAAAAGGTGTTTCGCACACTGATGGAGAGCTCATCGCAGATACTGTGGACCCCAATACCTGATCATTAGACCTGTCCATGAAACACAAGTGTATAAAAACAACTATTTATGAATGCAGGTGCGAAATCAAAATAAGATTAAGGCAGGTCTTCGGCAATGTACTTCAAAATCATTTTCATTGACTATTAAACCGAAGCCAAATGCTCAAAAAATGTTAACTCTGTATTATATTGTGAAAGAAATCAATGGCGTTAAGCATGTGAGACAGATAGGCTGTGCGTAAAACTGTTTCCACAGCATCCTGGTTTGCTTACCTTGATCTAGAAGTGCTTTAACTAGCCCAGAGCCCACAGTCCCCGCTCCTCCAAGAGCTAAGACAACCCTGTCCGAGTTTGGCATGCTGGCTACAGCTGCAGAGACCTGCTGGAGGCTGAAGGATGCAAAGTCTGCCTGAGAGAGAAGTTGAAGACTTGTGCCGAGCACCACGGCCGAACCATGTTTTTAAACCAAACTCAGCGGGCACAGTTCCGCCCCTGTACACAGAGTCACTCAAGCCACGCCCGTAGATATCTGAGAAAGGGCTATATTTCTGTGTGATTGTGTTTAAATAGATTACCCACCGATTAAAACTGTGGATAACTCAATTTGTGGATAGCTCGGCGTTTAAAAGATGAAATGCTGCCATCTTGTGGATGAAGCACGGTACTGGAATCAGATATAATATATATATATATAATATGGCGAATCAAGTTTAAAAAATAGATGTTAATTTCTTTAAGTTGTTATTTTCCTCATTATTCTAACACACAATTAGAAACACCCAGAATAATGCGACGAAGTGGAGGGGTGGACGTCAACATCTGACTTATTGTGCAGGCAAAGAAAACATAATTCATGTCAGGAAAAATCGGTTTGAAAAATGTGTTTTTTTTTACATGTTACACCGTTTCTGTAGATTGTTAGCGATGTGAAATGTGCATTAAAAGTTTAGTAACACCGTGAATGTATTTAGTACAGTGGATTGTCAGAGGTGGTCGAGTGGTCAAAGTATAAACCAGTTGACAAAGTGGTTTTCATTTCATTTCCTAAAGCCTGTTGTTTGTTGTTCATGTTCCTTGTTATTATTATTTTTGTTCGTAGAGATCATTATAATGCCTGTAAAGTAAATCTTTATCTTGCAGGACTTGACTTCCCCGGCTCACCCTGACACTCATAAGAAGCGTACCCGCGACGCACCGGGGGAAAGTCCGTGCCACGTCACGTGACAATGTTTACTTTACCTGGACCGTCAAACACCTCACAGCAGCACGATGTTTGACATGAGTCATTGGTAACATCAGAAAGTGGCAGGTGAGTCAACACAAGCTTTGTGGTCAAACTTTTCAGCTCTGACTGAGGGGCGTCCATCGGGGGCACCTTAGCTTAGCACCTTATCTCTTGCACTGACATGTCATTCATGAACTAATGAAAGTGAATATGTCGTCTCCTCTCAACGCGGTTTCTGTGTCACCGGGAGTCAGCGTCACGACCGTGAATCCTCTTCCTTTTGTTGTATTTCTGAGGGAGATGTGTTTTTACTTCCTGGGTCTCAGGGTCTGTCACACTCCCCGGCCCAGGTTTGAAGTGGATCCTTCGTTGGTAGGTGGATCGTGTGCTCACCATTGACTGATCTTTTTTGTAAGTTTGTCTTGTTGAAATGGCACATGACTTTTTTAAAAGTCTGTCTTATTGTAATCGGTAACGTTGTAAAGAAAGCGTGTGTTGATGATGGGTGTAGATGTCATAAAGAGGCTAACATCAATGCTAACATCAGCTGTACCTTAGTTGTAGACTACATTTAGCTTTTTGTCTCACTGGTGTGATGGATTACAGACCAGTTTAACTAAACTGGTGTTATGAAAATATCTTTTAACGTCTTATTTTTCTTTTTCTTACAGTAGTGTTGTTTCCATAGGCCCAAATGTCTCAACTTTCACTTTCGCTTATAGGCTTTGAGTGTTTGAGTGCAAAACAAATAGATTAATAAAAAGGTAAAGCTACTCTGAAAGCTTCAGGATGTCAATACTGACTTCTGTAATAATAACTGTTACCACTGTCGATAGTTTCTTTGTTTACTGAAAGCCATGTTACATTTCCATGTAAAATGAAGTTCTTGCTGTTTTCTTTTTGTTAATTAAAGGTTTGCAGTCAAGAACCAACAAAACAGATCATTATGAAAACAGCAGAACATACATGAAGTTAACATGAAGTTAACAACAAGCTTAAGGCGAACAGAAACACAAAATATAGGCTAAGAACATTAATATTTAAAAAAAGAAGAAAGTTTAAAAGTTTCCTCAAAGTCTTCAGATTTGTGGTGATTAGAATTGGTGTGGACTAAACTTTCCTGAAATGATGAAGTTTGTTCTTTAGTGCAAACCTCAAGTGTAGACTGGAGGCTACCTGACAGCTCATTGCCTCACTGCTGTACTCGAGGTGCTTCTGCTGAGTTTCTGTGCGACTTCCTTCTTGCCGGCATCTGGTTGAACGACATTCTCTCTGAAAATCTCTTCCCAGTAGTTTACAGACTCAGTAAAGGTGATCAAGCATTAAGAAAAGTGCATTCATTAGAGTAAAACACTGAATGTACCTGAACCTAAGGAAATAAATGGTTTACTTTTGGAGTACTTTAACACCTGCAACACATGTATTTAGCAATCAGCCTGCATTGTATTTGGTTTAAGGTATGATGTTGCTCCTGATAATGCGTGTCAAAACGTTAAGTGTCAAACTAAGAGTCATCCTGACTTTTATTTATATGCTATATAGTCAGGCGGCTTAGGTTTTCCACATAGTCTCCATCACCATAGCTTTCAATTTTGGAGGGGAGCCACTTCATCAAGATGTAAAGTCTATAAGTGCCAATATGTATTCCAAGCCACTTAGAAAGTCAACATTGGTGTCAGTATACATTTTAAGGGCCAAGGAATGCATTCAAATATCACTAGATGAATATTTGTGCAAAGATCCAATTTTGGCAATGTATTACATCATTTTCCTTAGTTCCTAGGCAGTTGGACTTGGAACCGCCATCTTAATGAAGCGGCTCCCCCCAAAAAAATTGAAAGCTATGGCGATGGAGACTATGTGGAAAAAAAATGTGGTGCTTTTGTCCGGCGTGTCCCCATAATTTTGCTAAGCCGCCTGACTAGTAAGAGGAATTGAATTTCTAATGGGAAATCGCTGAGCAGGCTATAATGGCTGATAACTTTGTGGAAATGATAAAGACACAGACTTAAGATGTGAAATTAGAAACAGTAGTTGCATTGCTCTCTTAAAGGCCACCAAACAAAGACAGTTATTTGACCTCACATAACATGCAACTTGTTCTTAACCACTGCCTCGATGGATTCCTACTTTTGTGTTATTTTGTACTATACAGTTATTGTGATTAAATCCAAGCTGTAGACAAGCAACTTCTGTATTTTGAAGTGTAAAGTACAAGTGATTAAGAAGTCTGGTTGCTTGGAGGAGAGCGACTAACTCTTCACCAAAAAGTTCTTTCCCTATAGGGATCAATTCTGTAATGTTGTCAGACACCCAGGGCAATTATTGGAGACTGAAATATAAAATTACCTGCAAAGAGTGCATTTAGTATCACAGACGAACAGGCGCCATAATTCAACCTTTCATTTGAATGTCCTGTCTGTCTTCCTGTCAGCTGAACGAGAGACATGAGCGGGGACGGGGACCTAGTGAGTGCCTATGCTCACAGTTTGGAGCTTCAAATTGTGGGGAGGGGCTCCAGCCTGGTGTGTAGGGATGAGGAGCTGTGGAGCCAGGTGGAAGGGCTAATGAGGGACCGGGATGCTCGAGAGACACACTGCCTGGGTCTCGATCCACTGACCGTGATGGAGGAGTCACTGCAGCAGCAGCAGCAGCAGCAGCAGCAGCATCTAGCACACGATGGGTCAAAGGCAGGGGAGGGCTGCAGGGCCTTGAAAGAGCATTTGAGGTCCTGGAACAAGCGTCTCTGAACCTGCACCTCTGTCCCTGGAGGGAAGAGTACAAAGTGATCAAGGTTGGATATAAAGCTGTCATGTCAAATTTGTTCAGAAATTGACTTTTTTTAAGATTTTAATTTCATAAAAATTGAACTGAATGTAACACACATACTGCATGGAGGCAATATGGGCTTTTATTACAAACCTACAAGTCTGAAATGCTCTTTTTAACTCCCAGTGGCGTACCTATTGTGGAGGCAGTACAATATATATGTAGCATTAAAGTCCAAGACAAATCTCCTACAGGGACATTAGGGTGAATCGTGTCATGTGGTAAGATTTGATTTATTATTTTGAGTTCAGAAACAAAAAAAAAATCCTTCCAGTTTGAATATAATCTTGAAGAAGCCTGAAATGTTTTTCCACATCAACCCCTTTTTAAATGTCTCCTCTTTTGTGTCCAAGATGTACTCTGGTGTGTTCACCCATCATATCAAACCGATGCTGTCGATGCCACAGATCGAGAAGCTGTTCGGCCTGCTGGGATATAAACCCGGCTCTCGGCCAGAACAGCTCCGTCTCCAGTCTCACAGAGTCAGTCCCACCTCTCTGGACGACCTCCTCTGCCTCTCATGTGCCTTCTTCTTGGCCCGCTGTGAGTGCCGCCTCCTTCTGCTGGCTCTGGGAGATTACGCTGGTGAGGTCCTGTGGGAGCTGGGTGTGGTGAGAGAGAGGCAGACTGGACAGAGTCTGAAGGTACGTCTCTGACATGTCAATCAGTAAATCAAGGTCAGGTTCTGGGGTCAGTGCAGGCCTGTAGAGACCTAACAGAAACATACAAGCGGAAACAGTTTCGCTTTTAGCTGAGGATTCATTCTCCACGTATCTCAACAGGTCGCCCTGGACAACACCAAGAAGATGCTTGTAGTGGAACAGCAGCTGATGGTGCATGGAGATTTGGAGGTGGATCTGTACACAGACCTGCAGGAAAATGGACGGCAGGCAAGGGCGGCGGTTGATGACGAGAGTCCCCAATCTTTAGCATGGGACACTCACAATAGGGCATCTCCCCCTGCGATCAAAACACAAAGCAACGGAATTGCGTCCTTGCCCTCCCCATCCACCTCCCTGTCCACCAGAGAGCCTGTCTGCGTCTCCACACTTAACTGCCAGCTTAAGACGCCACCAGAGTCACACGCCACCAGAAGCTCCTCAACCAGCGCCAGGCAGCGCAGGCGCCTCGCTGAAGACCGGCAGCCACACAGTCTGCAGGTAGAAGTCTGCAGAAGTGAAACTGCAGCAGAGCAAATGTGCGGCTGTCTCCAAAATCCTCATGTGTGTGTTAAACTTTGTAGAGACTGCAACAGCCTCCACGATATCAGCTGTGACTCTCTGAAGCATTGCAACACTGAGCGTCACTGCGTGAGTTTTCCTGACAATCCAAAAGAAGAGATGGGAAAATTGGGAGCAATGTCCCGTCATACTGGAGTTAGGGCATCACCTAGTCTCACCAGCAGCAGCGCAGCAATGTCCTCCTTAGATCTGAGGGAGGAGTGCAAATCGATGACCGCACCAATCAGCTATCATGACTGCTGTGACCTCGCCCAGCCGGACCCCCAGGTCCTGTGTCTCAGCTGCAGTGTTTTCCACACTGGGTCCTGCAGAGGGATTCATTATTGCGAAGCTGAAGAACATGACACCAAGTCTCTGGGAGTGTGCTCCTGTGGAAATAAAGCTTCAAGAGATCCTCTGGTTCTGTGCAGATATTGTGGGAATGAGTATTGTAGGGATTGCTGGTACAGAAATCCTTTGACATGCCCCTGTGGTGAAAGGTTTGACCAGTCGTCTTGTGTGTGATTTATCTGGATAGTTGTGCAGTAATAGAAAAATCACAGTGCCTTAAATGAATTTAACTAAACAAGAAATTCAATTGTTGCCTTTATACTGACATGCAGTATTGAGTGTGCTCCATTTTTTTCTACTTGCATCATCTCTCCGAAACTTGCATAGTTACCACTCTCAAGCTGTTTGAAATGCTTTGTACTGTTCACACATGGCGATGTGATAACAGCTTGTGCTTTCTTTTGTCACTTTAATGTAATCTTAATGTAAAGCACACAGAAGTCTGTTTTCATCTGTTAATGCTGCCTGTACTGTTCACAGACTGGATTAAAAAGGGTAGATATGTCACTTTTCTGTGTGAATGTGTTTTTTTAATACCCGTTTTAGATTTATAACGGAGGCTTTAAAAATGACCCTGGAAGTCAGTGACCCTCATCATTGGCCCTTTCTTAGATTTGCTTTCGTGAACATGTATGCAGTCATATATATTTTGGATTGGACATTCAGTCAACATTTCTTTTCAACCCAAAAGAAAATACTTAATTTTTTCGATCGCTTGTTATAATCACCAGTCCACTTAAGAGTTTATTACTGTGCAGACACAACTGGAAAGACACATTGTTTTGTTTTTTTCAATTACATGAACAAAACAAGTCATGGACATGTGACCTTCAGAAGTGGATCTTATTAAATGAAGTTTTGATAGTGACCTGAGTGTGATCCTACTCAGAACATGACATCATCTGTCCACACACTTGCAATCTAAATGAATAGATTTTGCAAACACTTGTTTTTTTTCTCTTCCGTCAGGGACACGGCTGAATTGCCCAAAGAAGAATCTCCAATATTGAATAACACATCTGTTGATGCCAATTTGACGTATGTTGTGTGCGGTAAGTCAGGTAGACACTGCACATAAACATTTCTTCCGCTGCTAAGTCACCTGCACACCTGAGCATAGGCAGTGAGAGAAAGGAGTCACAGGTGAAAGGGGACAGGAATCAGGAAGCCAGTTTTTTTTTTTTTTTTTTTTAACCATGTGTGTGTGTGATGTGTTTTTGGATCCTGTCGTGTTTGTCATATTTTTCATACACAAGCCAGGCCTTGCTCGAAAAAGAGGTCATTTGATCTCAAGCAATTCTGCCTGGTAAAATAAAGGTAAAATAAAATAAATTAAACAAATTCCATGACAGACATTGTTTTTTTACCCACCATGAGTTGGAAAGACTTCAGATTCCCTCCAGTGGCCTTTCTTTGCTCGTTACAATGCCACTACAACATCTTAAACCTGTTATAGCCATTTCTGTTTCCTCGTCTTGCCTGCTCATGTCCAAGACATGTCCTGAGTCCCTGTTCAAACTTTTTTTTAGGCTGGGTGGATTCACTCATTGTTCCATTCTCATGTAAAAAGGGAACTGCCACCTTAATGTTAATAGTATCGATGGTGGAAACATTTTGACAGATGTTTTTCATTTTAATGTCTCTCCCTGAGTCGGAAATCAAGGAATTTACAGAGCTCCAAAAGCTTTCCAAAATCTTTTAACTAGTAAAACAATTTGATTCATTCACAACATTAGTTCCAGATGAGGGTCCAACATAAAGCTTGTTTATATATTGAATTTAGGCCCAATACCCAGAGCACACAGTATCTTTAAGATACAATATTTGACAACTTTCTTAATGTCAGGCCATTTTTAGTTGATTTGAAAAAACACAATCCACCTTGCATCCCCCATTGAAGAAACACTCGATCACTGCAGTAATGGATTTTCAGTTTAAACTCATCTTGATACGGGCTGTCTGTTTAAATGAAATATATCACTTCCTGCATAATGTAGGTTAACAGATATCTGCAAATGAATGCAGAATCTGAAGGTGAAAGATTTTCAGTTTCTGTAGCTAATGTCTTAGTTTACGGTCAGTGGTATTGATAATCAAATCTGAGCTGGCTTTGGTTGTATGCAAGACAACAGTCCATGCAGAGACCAAAAGAGGTCGAACCAATGCCACCAATATATCCCAGGAACACCTCAGTGATTGTCTGCAAGAATTTAAATTTAATGAATTCCTCTAAACAGATTCCAGCTTTTGAGAGAATTTTAAAAATCTGTCTGAGGTGTTGTTTTTAATCAACTCCAGCTCCACTGTCCAGTCCAAAGTGGCTTTTATAAACACAGTGTAGGTTGATCAGAAATGAAGTGGATGTAAGCAGAAAAAGGTGGAAAATTAATATATACAGTTAATATATTACTGTTTAGATATCTATGTAACTGTTTGGGATCTGTCCTTCTATTCATTGTATGACTGCCAGTTGATGTTGACGAAGGTCTTGCTGTCCATGCGGTCGATGTACAGGACTCCATCCAGGTGGTCCATCTCATGCTGGAGGATACGAGCTGACCAGCCTTGGCCTGCCACGTCACAGCCTCACCCTTCTCATTCAGACCTGCATGAGGAATATGCAGAGGGAAAAGAAAAAATACACTGATGTATAAGTAATGTGGCAACATATAGGAAACAGAGATTCAATTAAAATTAAAATCATGGTGTAGTGTCAGTAACCATTAACAACACTTTTTGTATTCTTTAAAAATAGATCGGATAACGTTACTCAAATGTTGCACTAAATGACAATTTGTAGAAACAGTTGTATATAAAATGAATTACTTAATTCTAAAAATGCATACCAGACACTTCCACGGACAAGTATCGTGGAACCGTGGCAGAGAAGCCTGAGATGCTCTCGCAGGCCTCCTGAAAAAGCACAGTCTGTCCATCCAAGACTCTCAGCTGGGGGTTGACAAAGATCCTCAATGGCTGCGCAGAAAGACCACGGACCTCCCTCGATGCAGACGAACTCTCTTCCAACATTTTCTCGGGATATTCCAGAGCCAGGATGCGGAGCGGCACCCCAACCTGAGGCGCGCTTAGTCCCACGCACTCCATTTTCCGCATCACTTTCACCAAAGTCTTGATGACCTTCTGGACCTCAGGGCCTGTAATGGCTGCTGGATCAACAGCAGCGGCATGAGCACGCAGCACTGGGTCCCCTACCTGACACACATGTCCATAAGGAGGACTTGGAGGGGGTTTGATCTTGTGTTTCATGTATTGAAGGTATGACCGCACCTTGACACTACTGGAGTAAGAGTGACTGCTGGGTACAGGCAGAAAGGGTGAGATAAGAGGACGACAAGTAGAAGTTCTTGTTAAACTGAATGTGACCCTGGCTTCGCAGAAAGGGACTTTAGAAGCACAAAGTCTTAATCCCATCCTTGAGAGCTGGAGCAGAGAAACGCCTGATTTCATGCTCATGGTGGGGCTGCAGTTAGAAGTCGCACAGTGCTGTTGAAAATTAAACATAAGAAGGATAATTAGTATATTTAATGTCTTACACAAGTGTAATAAAGACCCAATGCCACATGTAAATACTTGGTGAGATCACTGCTTTGATGAGTTATTTTCATTCAGGGTCAACCTTGTCATGTTGTTTGTTTTTTTCCGCTTGAAATACTACATTGATAGATAGATAGATAGATAGATAGATACTTTATTGATCCCGAGGGAAATTCAAAGCATCCAGTAGCAGGTTACAAAGATGTACATGACATGAAACATTTGTTACAAATTAAACACAAAACTGACGCCCCCCCCATACATATATATGTTAACCTGAAAAAAAGATTTAAAGAATACCCCTAGATGAATCAAACTTAAACTGTGCAATTAAAAATAGATTTATACAAGAAATGTACATAACCCGTGCAGGGATAAAAAAATATATGTGCAATTGAAACAAGAACCTATAAACAGTTGAGGAAAAAATCTGTAATTAGACCTGAATATAAAAAAATAAGAATAAAAAAGTGTTTACCTTTACATTTCCAAAAGTGTGACAATTAAGTTACTATCATTTATTGTTGAGCAGGTTATAATAATTTAAAGCCTGTGTGTTTTAGGACGTTTCAATTGCTCTGATTGCACATGTAAAACAGGATAACATCATGTGCTGTTCTACCACTAGAGGGCACCAACTTTACAAACATTTCACACCTACAGCATTGTTACATTTTAGTTAATTTAATCACATATAACAAAGGCTCATATTTGCACATACCTTTGTTGGCGAAACAGGTTTTACACTTCCTATATGTGTTTAGTTTCTTCTTTTTATCGCACTTAGGTTAGCAATCCCACAAACACCGCCGACGGGGTAAGCAGGTGCATAAAAACAGGCACGCTTCTGTTTCAGCACAATCTACCAACTCTTAGGCATGTTGCTGCAGATTAATTCAAAGCGCGCTACCAATGCAACACAAAGTACTTTCACGGCTGAGTACGGTGCATACTGTGACCGTGAAACAATGTGTAGGCTTCGCTTCTAACTAAGAAAGACACACATATTCAGGACAGAAGGTGAAAACCAGCAGAGGAGATGCCAACGACTCTTAACAAACCACTTCCTGGTCAAGAAGGCTAGCGGGCACAGGGAAATTCAAAATAAAAGTGTACACGCTTTGCTCGCGTTCTGAAACGGCAGCACTGTTCCTTCAAAACTTTTATTTTGAAAGCAACAAGTAATTCGACTAGGAATTGATTTGCAACGTTTCCAAAACGAAACGATTTTGGGAACAGTCTTAACAACAAAAGGGGGTTCAAAGGTTTACTTCCTCAACTTGCCGGTACATGTCCAGCACGTCGGTGGGTGGGCAGGTGTGATTATTATTCATGAGTGGGAGTTTAAACGGTGTGGCGGGCTAGCAGCCGGACACTGACCTCCTGATGGACGGAGATCAGCTGCAGCCTGGCAACAGATGTTTACAGAGTTTCCCCAAGCTGCCGCTGTGGATCATCGAGCATGTTTGGGCTCACAAACTCATTGATCTACAGGAAGGTTGGTTTCTTTTATTATCTTTTTTTATTAATACAATGTTTAACTTGTTAATGCTCTCTGGTAACATTGTATTTTGATGCCTGATTTGGTTTTAAGTTAAAGTTAAGAAAGTTTTTGTTGTGCATTTATGTGTAAAATCTAAGTTACCTACTTTTACATAAATATTGGTAACAAAAATATAACTTGCAAATCGCACAGTTCACCACAGTTTATCTATATGCCACCACATGTGTACATATGGTGGTAAGATGATTTAAATACTTAGTTATTGACTCTTTTCATGTACATTTTGAATCCAGAGCCTTAATGTTTAAAGTGATGTTTATACTTTGGTATTCATTTCTTATTACCATCAAAACAATAAGAACTTTAACAGTTTATTGTACCACAATTTTGCTGTTTTCCCTTTATATTAGACCAGGACATTCTTAAGGCAGGCCAATTGAATTGTGATTTTTAATTGTATAATTCAGGTGATTGGGTGGAGACACATGCATCATCAATATGTTTCTTGACCTTTTAGCTAAAGTGAATCTCTTTATTGCACTGATGAAGTAAAATAATTTGTAAGTCATTACTCAAATACTGTGCTTAGGTTCAATTTTGAGCTACCTGTACCTGCAGATATACATTCTCAGCTGCTTTGTTTGTTTACTCCAGAGTATTTAAGAGTGAAACTACATTTTTACAATAGTAATCAAAATTAGGGACGCATATGTATCGCTCATATTGGGTTAGGTTTAGTTCATCAACACATCAGCAAATAATGTGGCCTGAACCGATGTCAGTAGCCGATGTTTTTCTGTTGTGTCATATCAAATGTGCAAGTGCATCTAACTGTTGCTTTAGAGAAGTTTTTTTTATTGGGCAGAGGAAGTCACTATTGGACAAACTGTGATCTTTTACATGGTCAAACATGAGTGAAAATGTCGGCATTGTGGGAGTCAGTCCTGCACCAGAAGAAGCAATGAAAAAAAAAAAAGAATCGGCTAAATTGGTATTTGAATCATTGGTATCAGTATCAGCCCTGGTTTTCACAATCAGTGCACTTCAGTAATAATTTCTATTTTTATAACTCCCAACGATAAGAATAAATACAAGTGATGTGATCAGTAATATAAATTTATGCAAATGTAAACAGCTGCAAATGCAAATGGCCCATTGCAAAAATAAACATACTTGCTTTGTAACACATGTCTAAGATTAAAGAGAGGATATTTTAGACCAGTCAGTGCAAACCATGGGAAATCTTTTTAAATATAAATTGGAATCTGAATATGTGACATGCTCTCTGTTGATTTTTTCTTCTTTTTTTTTTAAAACAGTTGTGACCTCGTCAAAATGGCCAGAAATCAACTCACAACCTCTTAGCCTTGAAGATTCATGGAGGTTGCGTGTTGGCTCTGCTCAGGTGTATTTCATGGTGAAGAACAGGGACACGGAGCAGTTTGAGAGAGCGCTGGAATTTCTGGAAGCAACTTTCAGCCTTCTGCCGGGACTGGTGGCTCCCATCAAACACATGAAGATCATGTTTGGCCTTAAAACCATGGTATGTGAATGACTGTAGTTTGAGCATCCATTGATTTGACAATCAGAAGAAATCAGTGTTACTTTTTAGAATGATATATCCGTACAGTTTCCTGATTTGTGTTCCCCTCCCCCCTCTTTGGTGATTGTCTCTTATTCCAGGTCATTATTCAGATGCTGAGGGAGGGCCGAGGAACGGTTGACACAGTGTTTAAAATCAACCAGTTCTTCCCAGGGAAACTACCTCAGTACCAAAACCAATGTGTAAGTTTTGAAGCACCATATCTGTTCTGTAGAGGTGTAAAACATTTTCTTCCTAATGCTATGGTTCATAACTATATCAGTTCTCAAAAACTATGTTAAGACTAAGAAAAAATACCTCAGTTGAAAAGCGTTGTTTTACAAATGTAAGAAAAAAAAGACATTCCTTTGCTAAAATTTCACAAAAAGTCTTTCTATGATGTTGGATGTTACAGGGACCTAATATAAACTCAAAATAAACAACAGATTATATAATATAATATTACTATATGGTTTGGCTTACTGTGTTTTAACCTTTAAAACACAGAATCATAACCTCTCTATTCTGATACTTATAGTATCTTTAGATTTGTGCAGATTTAGAAAAGTATTTGAAGCAGTTTGACTTTGTCTTGCAGATTTTAGTTAACATTACTACTCATGACTTATTCCCTCAACTCTACGGAGCATTTCAGGATCTTTCAGCTGATAGTTTTTGATTTCCTTTTTGCAACTTCATGTTTGTGGATCACTCTCATTACACCAACAAACCACAACAACAGCAGCAGTTTTAGGAAAAAAACAAACAACCTGATGCACTTGTCCGCATGCTGAGAACAGAGCTGGACGTTTTTCACCTCACTATGCAGAAGGGATGAATGCAGGGAAAACTGAAATAACCATATTTCCATGATACGATTCCTTGAAACCCAACTGTTTACTTACACCAAAATATTACAGTAAACAAATGTCTTGAATCCTTTAATTAATTCATTATTGAGTTATTTGGGCTCTTTAGGGGAATCTGAAAACCTGTAGACAAAGCAGAGACGTGTTATCAGCTTCTGGCAGCTTTCACATCCAGCAGCAGCTCTCTGGTTAATATAGTGAAGATTTATTTTACAAAGAGCCAGATACTTTCCTCAGCAGTAGGTCGACACTAAAAACAGCAAAAATTAGTTAATATTGCACCTGAAGTCATCAGATGGACAAAAACACGACACCAGACTTGATATCATATCAACTTAGGTGATGATAAATTCAGTCAGGACCACTTTATCAAGAAAAATGACCTATTTTCCCGTTATTCATATTTGGGGGTACAGTATGGCTCTGTTCTGGGATCTCTCTGCCCTTCCACGTGCTTACGTATAAAACATAAGGCAGGACACAGCGCACACTCCTGCCTTTCCCATGCACACATGAAAGCCAAAGACAGGAAGAGAGCAGATAAAACAGAGCAGGAATCATGACAACATCATGACATTGATTAAGTCAGAAGAACAGCATAAAAGGAGGAGATGGGGTGCAGGAGGTTTGCAGATGCTCTTTTAAATGCCTTCAGAGGGCGCAGCAAACAGTAGGCGGGTTAGAACAGCTTAAAAAAGCGGCATGAGTTCAATTAACCAAAAGGAAGCCTAGAAGCAAATCATCTGGCTGACGAGTTATTGCACGAGGTCAGCTGTTGTTAAAACACTGGTATGATAGCAGAGCGGGACTCCGTGACCTGCCTGAACCAACTCTACGCTCAATGTTTTAATGATTTAAATTTGTACTGTGTTTCAAGTGCAGCCAAACACTTTTCTAAATGGAGTTAATTTTGCACAAAATGTTTCGATGGCCGTCTGAATCTTAATCAGTACAGTTTTCTACTGCAACACTTTGCTATGACTAACCTCTGTTAGTATGAAACTCATACCAGTAGTTAATGTGTCCATTGTTGTTTAACAGAACCAACACCAAATGTTCCTAATGAAGAAGAACCATCTGGAATTCAAGAATTTTGCACAAGCGCTAGCAATGGACAAGGACAAACTTAAAGATTATGTCGAGGTAAGTGTATTTCACCATGGTGTTTCCTAACAGTCGGCCTGAAGTGAAGGGTAGAAAAAAAAGGTGCAAGAAAATGTTTACGTTCAGAGTGACTGCACAAGCTCCCAGTTTTCATCAGTCAACGGCCAAAAGATGTGATTCTTCCTTATCTTCTCCTAAATCTTTTGTGTGTTAAGTGAGTACACCGCATTGCTCTCCCTCTCAGGCCCAGGGTGTGGGTCATTTTCTGTCCAGCAGGGTGCGCTATATGTCATCATTTTAAGCATAAGTATAGGAAAATGTACCAGAATAAACATACTGGGCTGTTAAGAGTGAATAAACGGTTTCATGGACCCTCTGGAACACGGGTATAAAAGTCCACTGTACAAAACGGTAAACAGACAAAAAGCAACATTGTGGACCAAAAAATATTTATCCTGTTCGGTTAAATAAACAAGTTGTGTTTGCACAGGATTTGTGCAATCTAGTTTATGATTCTTCATCACCTGCAATTCTTTGCACATTTGTAATCTTTAATATAATAAAAACAATATCTGTATGCAACTCAAAAGAGATTTAACTTAGGGTTGTTTCAAGGTGTCATGTTAAGTGCTTTCTGTCTTTCAGAATCAGATGGAGGAGCAGTACGGCGAGCATTATGCTCAAAAGGTAGAGGACAGGCTGCTGCACTATCTGCACAGGCTGGAGACGATGCTGCCAGGAGATACCTACGTGGATAAGGTGTGTGTTTATTGAAAAATGAATGAACACTTTGCTGTGTTAAGGCATGTCTTGTATTTTGGAGAACCACTGAAAGTACTGAGGATGTAATGGTCTTTTTATCTAAACCACCATCCTCTTTTTTCTGGACATCAACCTCTGAGTGGCAAGCTCAAATGTAATAATGTTGTTGTTGTGCTGGATTAAAGGTTTGCAAAACAATGTAAGGGTTATCCGATATGTAAAAAAAACTCCTTGTCAACCACGGAATTAGAGAAAAATGGCTGTACTGTGATTATGGTGAAACAAGAGTAAAGGTGTGTTTCCATCATTTAGGCCACTGGAAGCTCAAATCCATAATGGCATTAGCTATGTAATAAGGTGTCTTGGGACCATAATAATCCTAATCATCTCAATCATGTAAGAAATGAATGAATTGACTTTTCTGCACTCTTTTCTGTTTGCTGTTGTCCAAAACTAGATTTCAAAACAAACATTTGAGTACCTGTTTTAAGCCTGTGGGTGTTAAGTGCCGTGTTCTGTGATAGTTGAACTTCTTTATGATATCATGGCAGAAATTGGTCCTTGATTGGATTTGTATTCATTTCTGAACGTTTGAACATAGATACTAATGAAAAACAGTCCTGTGACTGAGGAGGAGAAGCTGTTGGTGGAGGTTGTGACTTCTGCCCCGCTGACCATAGCGACAACTCTGAAGAAACTGCTGCATTGTGGTAAGAAACACCACCAAATAACACCTAACATGAAGAATGTACTGTGTCATATTCACTTCATGTATGTATCCAGAACCAGACGACATCTTTTTGCCTTGTAATAAAAAAAAACTTTAACATAGGGTATACAATAAAATAATGAAGCTAGTTAACCTATTACATTAACAATTTAGTTAAACTTAAAGTGCTCTACAATTAAAAAAAAAAAGAGCAAATGAATATGAACTGAATGCACATGGAAGATAGATCTTAGAAAGGTTGTTGAACACGCAATGGTACAATATATATTACCATGGAAACGGATCAACAGCTTTATACGTGATAAGAAAAAGACATGACATTTTCTTCAGTCAGCATTTTCTTGTTTAGTAACTTCCAATGTTGGATTAAAATAGTACAAACACAGTCAGAACCATTGATAGGCCGTATTTTAAACAAAGGATCAAAGGATCCAGGTGCTCGCTTTCATTGTGATTCTCAAACTGGAAGTGTTCAGCCCCAAAACAACCATCACTCAAATGACATCACTTTGGCAAGTTTTCTTTTGGTACGCCCTCTAAAATGGAAGTCCAGATCAAAAGTGGAGAAATGTTGACACTGACATCTTGTCAGTTGAAAGTCTGTGCTTCTGTTTTTTCCCCACCTTTATTCAGATTCCAGAAATGTATCTAATAAATAGTTACATAAATGAATGGACTTTATTGAACACCTCGCTGCACTGAAACAAATGAATGTCAGGATGTTAACTTCACAAACCGTGTATGAAATGACCCTTCACTGTTCAGCATTTACAATCGTCCTTTCAGGACCTTCATCACCAACAGAGGTCTGAAGGGGCTGTGAGCCGAGCTGTATCTATTTTGTTTCTAGGAGCTCAGCTAGTTTTTAGTTTAAAATCTGTTTAATTTTCATTGTGTCCAAGGTTTTTGCTGGAAGCCATATGAAATCACTGCATGTGTTAGAAATAAGCTTCTCTTCAATGCTCTCCTCCACGGCTTCAGAGCCTGCATGCTATCTTTAGCTTACGTGCTTACAGTATATATATTTTATAACAACTTTAATATTTGCAGCAAACAAGTTTAATTTTTTTTTCTTTAATCTTTGAGCATAAGTACACACCTTTGTATACACATGCTCTCCTTTTATTTCCATTAGATGTTGCTTCCTGTTGTTCAGAGATGGATTCTGAGTCATCAGAAAATGGAAAGAATGAAATGGAGAGCTCACAATTCATAAAGTCTGCTCTGCATGGAAGCTCCTCAAGGGCTCTTCTTAGGTCAGTGGAAACCAAAAGACACCTGCATGAGACTGACCAAGGTGTGTCTAAGGACAGCTGTTTTCTGTTGGAGAATGACAATGGCTCAGGTTTAAGGAGATGTCAACAAACAGAGGAAAACTGTGAGGTTGTCAAAAGGATAGATGAAGAGAGCAATAATGAAGAAAAGGTGGAAACAGGACAGAGAGGTATTGAAGGTGCTCAGAAAGCCACCTCCTTTCCTCAGTTCTGCTCCAAACACCAGCGATGGGTGAAGAGCATCCTGCAAGCGTGTCCAAACGAGTGCTCCCAAGAGTTGCAGCTTCAGTCCAATGTTTCTTCATCTCCTGCACTGTTCCTGTCATCCTCATCCGGCTCTTCATCAGGGGATCTCACTCCTTCTGGCCTCATCCCATTAGCCCCTGACCAACAGCATCCACCATCACAGACATCCATCATGGCATCTGAACAAGCAAATCCTGAAAATAATCAGACCTCTGGATCGACTGTAACATCTGGGACTGAACCTCGACATACAAGTGATGCTCTGCAGCTTGGGCTGTTGTCACCAGTAGTTCGATTGATAGACATTGCCACAATCAGAGGATTCTCCCCTCACTTTAAATGGCAAAAAGCACTGCCAACTCGAAAGCTAACCTCAAGGGATGACGCCATGCATCGCAAAACACTGAAATACTCCTTATTGAACCAACCAAAAGCCTTGGAACGAAAAACTCCTGAATACACAACACATGAAGTACAATCAGCCCCTGTAACTGGGGATGTATCCACTTCTACCTACTGTTGGCAATTTACTAGACAGCATTCTTCTCGACCTTTGAGGAAGTGCAGACTGGCTTGTCCTTCTAACATCTATGCAGCTCTACAGACTGGGGACAGAGTCAGTCGAAGCACTTTAGCCCAAACCACATGTCCAAACAGTTTTCCACTCCTGCGTCAAGAATTGAATACCTCTGTTACTCCGACAAAAGACTCTATGACCTCTACTTCTCAATCAGGGACTCTAAACACAACACGTCCTGCTAACCAAATCCCTTTAAACACTGAATCATCTCAACAAGTTGTCCTTCAAAACTCCATCAATTCTCATCCCGAAAGACACACTATCACGACACACGTCCCAGTCGTTTCCACTTCCTCAAACTCAAATTCTCTCTCTGTCAGCCCTGAGACCAGCAGAGCCCAAAGAGCAGAGCTAAGGTTGTCGCTGAATAGTCAGGCCATGCTCCTGCAGTCCAAGCTGCTACAGCCGTATGTGAGTCTTGTCAGGCTGAGCAGGCAGGAGTGCTTTGGAGGGAGCATCTCCTCAACTGGACATGTGGAGGCTGTGGTCCAAGACAGCAATGGTGATAATAGTGAGGACTACAGGATGGAGGCAGGGGAGGATGCAGATTCATCCTTTGATGTAAATGTTCTTTACTCGAGCTTCTCGTCAAGCAGTGACAGAGAGAACCCGCTGGATTGCGACCCTGACTACAAACCTAGCAGGAAGAAGAAAATATTTTTTCTAGAGTATGAGACTGCAAGGAGCATGAATCTCATATGAGGGTTGTTACATATTTATTAAGTGTGAACAACTTTTTCAGACCTATGCTCTTACTGAATTTTTTGATATATGTGCCATTGCCAAGGTGTACACAGGACTATAAATGTCAGTTTTCAGTTTGCTCTGGTGAAAGACGTATTTCTGAATATAGTTTCTACATTACCCATATACCACAGTGTGCCTTAACAGCAGTGTGCTGAAGATCAAAGTCAAAACCTGAACATCAAAATAAAAGAGTGGCAAGATCCCTATCCTTCAATGTTTGTACTTTTTTATTCAGCAAAACAATTGTATTTTATGATATTGAGATGTTACTGGAAATGACATACAACAGCAAGTGGTTGGTTATGCAGCCTGACAGAATGTACACTGTCACTAGATAATGTCTGTTCCCTGTCAATGAGAATCTGCACTTTACACAGGAGAGACAAGAATGATAGAAACCAGACATTTGACTTGATTCAAACCTCTTTGTATAACTTCAGTTGGTGCTTTGCTAGTTAAGTCTCCCAATGTTTTTGGTTCTGACACTATTTAGCACTGAGTTCAGTGCTGCAAAAAGATCACATTTCCTGATATATCAGTCTATCTTATTACTTCATTTAGCTCTATCTCAGATATTAAAATTCCCAGTCTAAGAAGCTGACAGTGAAGTTTGAGGGGAATGACCCTCTCGGCTTGACTCATTCTTTTACGATTGTTGCATCAAAGTAGAAGTCAAGTCCACATCGCAATATGAAACAGACAAACTGAAGTTTATTCTTAGAAAATAGACTTGAATGTGCTAGTTTAAGAAGCTAAGGCTGCATTAGAAAATATTCTTAAATTAAAAGAATAACAACTTTGCTATATTCAAAAGATTAGTTGGAGGTTTAACCTCAGGGAATTTTAACCTAACTTCCTTCTGATCAATGACACTTCATGAAGCCTCTCAGGGAAGCCCCTATAACTTTTATTAAAATGCCAAAGTTTGTGACACAGTTATCACTTAAATATATGTTATCACATTTGAACCAACTTTTTGAGTATAATGATAATCAGGAAAACTTACTGGTTTCACTGCAACACAGTTTTATTTTACTTCATCAACATAAAGACACAAGTAGAGAGGAACATTAAAACGTGGATTTGCTGTTTCTGCTTGCAGTAAACCCTTCAATCTAAGAAACATTCTGTAGAGGAACATTTTTTCAAACTTTAGCTATTGTGAACATACTTTAGTAGGTACATAGATTAAATATACGAACCCCAAAAAGGGCACAATATAACCTCTTTAAAGGGATACTTCACCTATTAGCATTAAGCTTTGTATCATTAGAAACCTGGTAGTATTTTTGAATGGTCGTGCATCCCGCCCTCATTTTCCCCTCAAATGGGAAATCTTTGTATTTCTGAGTCTGAAAAGGAGCTTCCAGTGACGCAAAATGACGATTTTTGCGTCACTGGAAGCTGTTCTGGTTAGCCGGGTGAAACTACAATGCTAGTTCCTCATATTTTCGACCACTGAAGCTACAGACCAATCACAGATCAGTGGGTGGGAACTCACTCCCAGAATCGAAACTTAATGTCTGCCATATTGCTTAGTAGCTATGCTAACAGGCTCTATGGAGAAAGCTGATAATGGCGAAAAAATATACTGTAAATATAGAGGCGAGATGGCTGCTGCCAACAGGCCGGTCTTGTCTTTTGGCTGCCGCTCCCCGGGACACAAGACCGGACTCTTGGCAGCAACCGTCTCGCGGCTATATTGCTATATTGCTGGCCGCACGGGCCGGCTCGAGCTTGGGCAGACTGGTAGTGTCTGTGCTCTCACTGTTTGCCTATGGACAAGGACATAGAGTCTGTTTTCTGCCAGGAATTTCCAAGATACCAATTCCTTCTGGAAAAAATCTCTGAATCAGTTGAGGAAATGGCCGTATGTGTTGAAGTAAATATAATCAAAATAATTTGAAATAACAAATGAAACAATAAATGGTTTTGTAATGATTTAAAAGAAAAATGTGAAAAGAGAATCATGTTGTGAGAGAATAATAACTTGGAGCTACTGATGTGTTGGACAACGACTCTTACTCTAAGTCTGTAGGCTAGGGAACTCCTTGTATGAGTTCGGGGAGTCCTCCCAACTCTGACTGGACACCAAAACGAAATTTCTTACTTTCAAGCAGTAGTTTCACAATTCCCTCTGGATTGTCCACTCTGGGTTACCGGGGATGCGTTGCAGGATGATAGCCGCCTGGGCAGTCTATTCAGGAATCATAGGCTGGTAGAGATTGGTTGTAAGCAGCAGTTGAGACTCGTTTCCTTGATCACGTCCTGACATCGGCTGGTCCAAGTTGATAAAAATATTCAACTTGTAGGCAGGCACTTGTAGACTTGTAGGCAAATGCAAGTTATCTCTAGTCAGATAAAAATTAGTGATGAAAAAGAGGATGAATGAAAAACGACACGTGACGTTTACGTGCGGCGAAAACGTGGAAAAAGGAATCACATGAGATGATATCGTAAGAGTAGCTGTCAGACCAGCTGATCACTCTCTTGAGAATCAAAAAGACGACTTGACCATACTAAAACAAAACACAATTAACACAAAGACAACTAACTGAGAAGTTGACTGCATCTCTAGGCTAGGGGTCTCACTCAGAGGGGGAGAGACGACCGCCAACAACTTCATGATTTAAAGTTTATTATTATTATGTTATTTGTGATCAACAAAAAAAAAAACCCTGACATACACGTGTTCAGGACAAGATCAGCAAAGTGATAAATGCTACCACTGTTCAACAGGGGGCACCAAAATTGGCACAGACTTATAGTTACCCACAAGAACATTAAAGCAAATATTTGCTTGGTTGCAAATACAGCACAGTTTGCATTTTTTTTCTGGTTACAGTCTTCATGCTAGGCTAGGCTAAACCAAGTAGCTTAGTGTTTGCCCAACAGACAAGGAAGATCTTCTCATCTTACTGCAGCTGTGGCTCAGTTGGTAGAGTTGTTGCCTCTCAACTCGAAGGTAGAGGGTTTGTTCCCCAACTGGGCAACATGTGCAATGTGTCCTTGGGCAAGACACTTAACCCTGCAATTGCTCCACCTGCCCTGGTGGTGATATAGAATGAGATTAGTTACTTCTGATGGGTGATACTACATAGCAGCCATTGTGTGTGAATGGGTGTGAATGTAGGTTAGGTGTGACATGCAGTGTGAAAGTGCTTTGAGTAGTCGGTTGACTAGAAAAGCTATATGATTTCAAGTCCATTTACCCTTTGTATAAGTGAATAAGCACACTTTTCAAAATGATATGCTGGTTATCCTATTCAATCTTTATTAAAAAAGGAAATAATCTTCAGAAAAGGTAAAGGGGTAATAATGGACTGGAAGTGTCTAAAACGGTAAATTCTGGTTGCCGTTTTTTGTTTTGGATTTTGAAAATTTCAAAAAATCAGAGAATCGAAAAAGTACTTTGACTTTTCTGTTGTATTTTTCATCACAAGAAGTACACTGATTTACACAAGTCTTATCCAAACAGTTAATAGAAAAACTCTTAGTCAATTATGCAGAACAGCTTTAACACATGTGTGTTGCTACATAAAATGTGTTGCTACAAGAAGTCTGTTGTTATTTAGCACATCTATAAATGACAATAGAACAACAAGAGTTTATTTCAATTCAACTTCACTCTACAAAGAGACAAAGAGTCCAACACTCAAAGGATATAAATACACACTACAAACAGTCTTCTGGCAATATGCACTTGTGCTGTCTTTGACCTTTCAATGAGACTCCAAATAAGTGACAAATTGAGTCATGGGTGAAGGAACGTTTATAATGCCAATTTATTATCCTAGCAATAATGACATCTCAATGTCTATTTCTCTTACATTAGTGACAACCTCCATTCTATTTTGCCCTTTGATAGTTGGTTTGGTTGGATTGCATGCAAACTGTCTTGCTGTTACATTGTCAGATATCAAACACAATGTGTCTGAGAACGTTAAAAATAGGCTTTTTGGATTTGAGGAAAATATAGCCTAGTTATTGGTGACTTTTTTTGACTCCTTTCTCCTCTCTTCCTCCATCCACATCTTATTAAAACTCTAAGTAGTCAACAACAACAACAACAAAAAACTGGTATTCTTAAAATATACCACATTTTGTCCTTGATAAAACCCTTTTCTCAACATAACTTGTCTCACACCTGAACAAGTTTTCCTTTAGCAAGATCAGTTTTATTCTTATCATGGCCATTTGGGGGCGGCTGTGGCTCAGTTGGTACAGGCGGTCCTGCTTATGCCCTGATTACATGTCAAATGTTGTTTGTTTCTATTGTTGATATTGATTGATTCTACTGTGGAGGCAGCTTCATGTGTGCAGCACTGGAGTCCAGCCTTTAGCTTTTGCTGACTCTCTTTGAACTTTGCGGTATCAAAATAAATCTGCAGCATCGACCTTAGTGCTGAGCCTTTTTGAGGTGCATTTCAATTCTGCAGGTTGGATTCAAGGTATGTTGGTTGAAACACTGGCTTTCCCACTTTGACAAATCTGAAGCCTGTGCCTGTGCTTATGTGTGAGCTACTCTCAATCAGCAAGGGTTTTACACTCACTGTCATTTATGATAAATGATGTGTTTCCTTGGTCAGCCTGAATTCAGTTTTCAGTACCAAAGAAGCCAAATCTATTCCTGCAACACTGACACCGCTGATTTATTTGAATGTTTTCTTTTTCAGTTTGATTAAACTAAAATTCCAAACTATCAATTCTCAAGAACAACAACTCGTGCAGTTTTACATATCAGCAGTTGGAGGTTCAACCAGTGCTTCATGAATGACAAAATCAACTGTGTTTGTTGTTTCATTGCCTGATAATAAGAGGTGAAATAAAAGAGCCGGTCAGGGGCTACAACAAGCACATAGCTCCATGGTGCATTTACTAGCAGGGGTAAACGAGTAATTCATACACAATAAACATGGAAAGATAAGATCCATGTTTATAACCCTGGACTTCCTCTTTAATGATAATCTAAGTTCATTCAGCAGGTCAGTTATCAGCTGTGAAATAATTCAGCATGTTTTAGATGGACTGACAAAAGTCAGATGGGGACTTCTCCATGACTTAGATTTTAAATGCGACTTTTCTTCTGGCGCCACCATTATGTCAACAAGTTTTATAGTGTCTTTGCAACTTTTACAACCAATGGACAGGCATGCACATTGAGCTGGACATTGACAGGGATGTGTTAAGACTTACTCTAGCTCTGAGCAAGGA